AGAGCTACTTAAGAATCTAATTATTCTTAAAGAGATATAATCTAATAATCTAAATCTTAACTATCTTTTTAATATTAAGAAATACTAATTATAGCTAGAATATTTAAGAAAGATAGTTAAATATCTTTAGAGAAGAAAGAAGGAATAGAACTAATATTATATTATATATATATATAATTTTATTATATTAATAGTTATTCTAATAGGATTATAAATTAAATAAAGTTAATAAAAGTTATTTAAATAACTTATATATAAGATTCTAATTAATTAATTAATCTAATATTATAGAATTATACTATAGTTATAAATCCTCTAAGAGGGTTTAATATAATAATAATATACTTTAAGACTATTATTAAAAGATTATTTTAAATATATATAAAATAATCTATTCTTCTACTACTCTTTTAAGTCTATCTCTTATACTTATTTATATTAAGACTTCTAAGTCTCTTCTTTATTAAATAATCTAATATATCTAAGATTAATAAGATATTAATCTTTCTTATCTTTATAATATCTAATAAGAAGAATAAATATCTTTTTAATAAGATTAAAGAGTTTACTTTCTTTAAGTTCTATCTAAATAGACTTTATAATTACTAGTAAAATTAATATTATTAATATCTATAGCCTTTTAGTCTTTAAATATAAGCTTTTATAGACTATTAATATAATAAAACTATTTAAAAGTCTATATATTCTTAATATAAAGATATCTAATAATCTAAATCTTAACTAGCTCTTTCATATTAATAAATACTAACTATAATTAAAATACTTAAGAAAGATAGTTAAATATTTTTAAAGAAGAAAGAAGAAATAAGATTAATAGTAATTTTACTATATTAATAGTTATTCTAATAGAATTATAAATTAGATAAAATTAATAAAAGCTATTTAAATAATTTATATATAAGATTCTAATTAATTAATTAATCTAATATTATAGAATTATACTATAGTTATAAACCCTCTAAGAGAGAAAACTATATATATATATATAGTATAGTATTAATTCTATTTCTTCTTTCTTCTTTAAAGATACTTAATTATCTTTCTTAGATACTCTAGCTATAACTAATATTTATTAAAATAAAAGAGCTAGTTAAGATTTAGATTATTAAATATCTTATTCTTAAGAATAGTTATATTCTTAAGTAGTTCTATAATATTAATAATCTTTAATAAGCTATATCTAAATCTTAAAAGACTATATTTATAGTATATCTTAGCTTATATTTAATAGATAGAATAAAAAATAAATAATATATAACTAAATAGTCTTTCTATAAATAAATGTATACTCTGGATATTAGGTATAAAGTTATATTAGGTCTGATTTAGACTAGATTCCTCTAGCTATCTTACACAACCAGCCTCCTCTAGAAGAAGAGGGGAGAACACAACAATACAGATAATTCACGGTCCAACACAAGATCCTAAGTTTCGTACCGGTACCACTATGGCGGTTTGGTCCATAGAGCCCACTTTTGCGCCGGGACCATCTTGACAGGGTGGCGCTCAAAGCTCTCGTCAAATGCCTCGCGGAGTGCATGACGGCTGTGTCATTGGCGAACAACATGTCGCCACTCTCTAGAGGTATACAGACATGGTTTGCGTTGGTGATGAACTGAATAGCATCTGTCGCCTCAATCTATGCTGCCGTTAGGGCCGGTAGGTTCGGATCGCACTCGGCGTCATCAGGGAGGTCAGGCCCAACGCCCTGATCGGCACGTCCACCAAGCCCGGCGCCTTCACCGAGGAGGTCGTCAGAGAGATGGCCCGGCATCACGACCGGCCCATCGTCATGCCCCTGTCGAACCCCACACGTCTGCATGAGGCCAGGCCCGCCGACATCCTTAGGTGGACTGACGGCAGGGCCCTTATCGCTGCGGGATTGTCTGCTGACTCTGTTAAGGGAGCTTAGGATAAGGATAGAAAGGAAGTAATAATTAAGATTACTAAGTATAATAACTTAGTCGTCTTTCTAGGCATCAGGCTTAGTGTTATACTGAGCTAGTCTAGGCTTATTATAGAGAAGATGCTTATTATAGCTATTAAGAGTGTAGTAGAGATAAGCTCTATTCTTAAGGATCTAACTATATTCTTACTATTAGATATAGATATTATCTAGGTTATAAGTATATAGATGGTATATAAGATTATATAGACTGTTATTTAGAATGGTCTGGCTATAAAGAAGGGTATATCTTAGGATGATAAGAAGCTAGAGAAGTAGATTAGAGAGTAGATATAGGATCCTATATATAGGCTGCTTAAGCTTATAGATAAGACTAAGACTAGTAGGCTAGTATAAGATAAGATAAGGATGATTAGAAGCTTAGGTTAGATTAATAATAAGTAGCCTGCTTATACTAAGAGAGATTTCTAGATACTATAGTATTATAATACTAGCTCTATAATATTATAGGTATATAGTATAAAGATTAGTAAATCAGCTATAAAGTCTTAAGACTTTAAACTCTAGATTAAATTATATCTCTATAATATTCACTCTTAGCCATCTTAAAGTGTTTAACGCCCTTACTATATACTCTAGTCTTAGTATTAATATTAATCTAGCTAATATATTTAGTAGTTAGTATATCACTAAAGAGCTTAGTAATCTTCTTAAGACTCTTCTCACCCTATTTTATACCTATTTTAGTCAGTAACTTTTAAGGGTCTTATAAATAGAAAATAATAAGAACTTATAGTCTTAGAAAGGAAGAAAAAGTATAAACAGCTAGTAAAGATATTAGTATAAATAAAGAAGATATAAAACCTCTAGCCTATATCTATTAATATAATTAGTATGACCTATAAGAGTACAATTATTATAACAGTCTTAATAAAGACAGTAAACACCAGGCCCTTAGACTATAGAAATATAGGAAATAGCTCTAATAGCATGATATAGATTATTAAGTTAAAGAAGATGATAAATACATCTAAGTATAAGAAGATAAATATAATAGATGCCTATATATCAGCCTGCTATAAAGAGGTCTGTGCCTGTGCCTACACCCTACCGCCTAAGAAGCTATAGACAGTACTTAGTGTTATATAGATAGAGATAATAGCTATAAGCACCACTAAGCCTATCTATATAGTATATATATATAGCCACTAGTCTGCTATAATAAGTAGATAGATAATAGCATCTAGCATGCCTATTATACTGTATATATCACTAATAAGCAGTAATATACAGCCTATAAAGCCAATCATAATATAGAAGATATTCTAATAGTTCTAGATTACTAGAGCTCCTAATAGCTATCTATATATAAGGATAAAGACAGTCATAATAGTATAGTAGGTAAAGTACTATAAGAATATAGTTACTAGGGCTAAAGCCTAGCTACCGCCCTACTATAAATACTTAAGAACGAGCTACTATTAGATCTAGATAATCTCCTATACAATAAGATCCTAGCTAGAGATATTAGTACTAGAGTAGAGATAGATAAGGACTATTAGTATTTAAATATCAGTAATATATTTTAAGAAGGGAGTAATAAGAATAAAAGTTTAATATAAAGAAAGACAGCTTAATCTACCTACTTCAGCCTTCTTAATATAGTCTTATATAATAACTATTTAATAGACCTTAATTAGCTTTTTATTTATAATAAGAGGCATAATAATAAGGCTTATAACTTATATTAATATAGTAAGAAAGATATAAACAGCATCATAATCATAAGTATAATAAGAATAAGAATCTATATCATAAGTAGGATCCTCTATATAGCTAATCCTATAACAAACACACCTATATACCTAACCTAGTTAGCAAGTCTGAACCTACTAGCCTATATCATGTCCTATAGGCTGACAAGAAAGCCCTGATGCTACAGCAACACTACCTCAGCAATATACACAGACATGACAGCAATGATCTACCCACACACAAGCCCGCCAAGCAGGCGGCCCGCGATCATCATGCCCACGTGCACGGCACCGGCCTGCAGCGCCGCGGCGACGATGGTCAGCACGGCGGCGAGGCACAGCGTGTACTTGCGGCTGTAGCGGTCGGCGAGGTAGCCCACGGTGAAACCGCCGATGGCCTGCCCGGCCACCCTGTGATGCCATACCTGTTGAAGCGTAGCGAAATTTTGTCTCGATCGGCGAGGTTAAGAGGACGGTGGCATCTTGGAGGCACGACTTTATAGTCTTTGAATCTTCAGATGGTGGAAGTACTCAGTCAGTTATACCGGCTCTAGCATGTTGAAGGCGTCGAGACTGACGTGTCAAACACCCATTCCTTAGTGAGGGTCTTCACAATATCTGGTCGCTTTGCTGCCAGTATATTGTACAGATTCCAAGTAGTGTCGCGCCACTCTTCGCTGTGGCGGCGAGACAATAGAGACCCGTAATTTCACAGTTGTCGGTGTAGAAGGACTGCAATTGCGCTCAGCGTGTGATAGAGCAAGGCAACTGAACAAACATACTAGTGCTGAATTAGTAAAACCGGGAGGTACAGCAGGTTGAGAGGCAGACTTCTCGTCGGGGACATTGACAACATGGGCTGTGGATTTCGTCAGAGTTAATCTTGACTGGCCGGCTGGTCTCCTGGGGCGCTTACTTAGCACATACACCCCAAGGTCCAGATCGTATCAAGTTCGGCCACACCTTAACTTACGTCTCCCTAGACTTTCAATATACCTACAACAACCGACCTACATAGAGGGACAAGGCTCCAATCACCAATTCTCCCCAAGAACTCTATCCTAAGGAGAAACAGCTCTATATGGACTTGCTGTACAGCGCGAGAGGGCTGAAAGTCACGGATCAACATGACGTCATATACGCTTCTCTGGGAAGCCCCCTCGCCTCTGATCAGGATGGAGAACTGATGATCGAATCCGACTACAACGAACCGCCTGACCGGTTGTATATCAGAGCGGCCCATGCACTACTTCTCAACCCTTGCGAGGCGCCCCAGATACTTCTTCGCGCTGTGCATGGGACCAAAGAAAAACTCCATGATGATGTTTCCGTCATGGGTTCCGCGCTGGTCGACGTTCTCGGACATCGATGCCCAGCCTCTGCCATTGACCTATACCTACGACCATCGCCTGAAGCCATATGCTGCAGGAGGCTACGGGTCAGCATTCGCGGTCCATATCAGCTCGGATTACATCATCAGCGTGACTGGATCGATTGTTGACGTTGTGGCCTGGACATCACTGGCACTCAAGGTCGAAAATCTCCGGAGTAATGTCCACCTCTGGAAGCCTCGCTTCAGGGACAGTAAATTATCTGCTATAGAAACAACCTGGTTGTCGCTGCTCGATCAGGCGGAGCAAAGCCCCGAGAGTCTTGTGTCAGACCTCAGTCTGACAGTGGTCCGCGGGCACCAAACCTCTTCAGACTATGTACAGAATTTCCTGGCATATTGTGAGCTCGTTCGTAAGTTGGCTGGCTCGGAAGGAGACTCTCCATTTCCATCGCCTAGCCCTGGAGAGTTTTCGCCTTCGGATGGAGAGTGGGCTCTGACAAGATGTCGGGATCGGCGCATTGCCTATACTGCTAACAAAAGAATGGCGCTGGTGCCATTGGTAGCCGAAGATGAGGATGTTTGTTGCGTTGTCAAGGGTATGGCTACACCAGTTATCCTTCGACCAACGTCAAAGGATACGTACCAACTTGTGGGAGATGCATATGTGAATGGGATCATGAACGGCGAGCTGTTGTAGTCAGGCGCGGGAGGATCACTTGAATGGAAGACAATACGACCACAGTAGGAAGTATAGTCAGAATGGCAACGGTTTTCTTTTAGCAATTAACACCAAGTCAGGGTCGGGTATTAACGTGAGCCAGAGCGTCTTCACCGAAGCTCTAACACTCAGCAACGTTCAGGTTGGCACTCTAGCTTAGGTCCTCAGCCCAATGGCTGATGAGTTGTGGATGCCGGAGGTGCTGTCGGGCAGTAATGCACCCCGGACTGAGACCAATTTAACGCCAGTAAAGCTGCTATACATTGCAATTGCTATGATCCAGTCAAAGACTCAAAACTTCTTATTGCATAATGCTAAAGTGGACAATGTTAATTTTCCTATTCATAACCCATCCCTTAGTGTAGTGTCTGGAGAATTCGATCGTGAAGTCACAAAGTTTTGATCTGGACAATTATCTTACTTTGGTCAGTCTACATCAAGGAGGGTAGCGCTTCTCGAAACCACCAACTCTCCCACCGTCGAGATGGGCACTCCACCCATGATATCGAACACAGCCAATGGCGCTGCAAAGTCGCGCCGAATCCAGTTACGGAGTTCCACCGCCATCAGGGAATCAACCCCGTAGCTCGACAGTGGCTTGGAGAGCTCGACGTCCTCGGGCGAGATGGACATGGCACGGGCCAGCTTAGCAACAAGGGAGTTGATCACGACCTGAGCCTTCTCTTCCGGGCCATTGGCCGCGCGGAATAATACAGCCGGGTCCGCTGCCTGCCCTGCACTGGCGATGGCATTGCCGCCCGCGATCCGGGAGAACGCTGCGAAAAGAGGACGCTCTAGCAGCGCCGGCGGCTTCTGCCCCTTGGCGAGAAAGTCGGCCGGTGTCCGCAGTCCGACCAGCATCTGGCTCTGCTCTGGACTCTCACTTGGCCTTTCAGGATCGCAGCACAGAGTCAGGAGGGCCATCAGCTCGTGGCCGTCAACCTGCTGCATGTCTTCGCTTGCCAGCCGCTGACGTTGGAAGGCCGCCGTCTCGGCGACAATCCCGATATCCCGCATCCAACCAATATCAAGGGACAAAGCCCTCTGGCCGAGCTCGACGCGGTGTCTCGCTAGGGCATCCTGGAACGTACAGCCCGCTGAGTACTGGGAGGTCGCCGCCTGGCCGACCTGCCCGGCCAGAGACGACAACAAGATGAAAAAGTCGAGATTATTGGGCAAGAGACGATGCAGGTTCCATGCCGTGTCCACCTTGGCTCTGATGGCTAGTTCCCACTGAGCAAGCGTCATGTTCTCAAAGAGGGCATCCTGCAAGACCAACGCCGCATCAATGCACCCCCTGATGGGTGGCATCGTGCGGGCACAGACGTCAAGTACGCCCGACAACGCCGCCTCCGACGCCACATCGCACCGTGGCGCGACGACGCAGACACCTTGCAATTCCAGCGCGGCGATAACCTCGACTGCTTCCTTGGACGATGCTCCAGTCCTGGATGGCACAATGAGATTCCTTGCGCCACGCGCTGCCATCCACTTCATGATGGCCCGACCTATGCCGCCGGACCCCCCTGCAATGAGATACGATGCGTTGCCGTCAAATTCCCAGGGGCGACGATCCAGCAGGTATTTCTATAGAGAGATGACTACGTGTTAGTGAAGGACTCCCGGGATGTGGAGTTGGAGGGAGGAGGTTGGACAGGCGATACTCACGGGGACAATATCCTGAGCGCCCGGCTCGATGACAATGCGACCAATATTCTTTCCGTTCTGGAGCGTTCGGAAGGCCTGCTCGAGCTGACTCGCAGGGAAGCAGTGCACAGGCGCAGGCGTGGCCCCTGTGTCGCGCGTCAACTGCATAACCTTTTGCAGCAGCTCGGCCGTGACCTGGGGGTCCTCAATCATGATCTCGCGCAAGTCTACAGCAGAGAAGCTCACGTTTCTCTCAAAATGGCGCATGGAAAGCCCCGAGTCTGCCAGGATATCGGCCTTGCCTATCTCGACAAACCGCCCGCGTCGAGCAATGCAAGCCCACGAGGCCTGGAGAGCATCCCCCGAGAGCGAGTTGAGTACAACGTCAACGCCGCGTCCATTCGTCACCCGCATGATCCCCTGCGCGAATGACGTGTTGCGACTGTGGAAGATGTGTTGCTCGGGGATGCCCAAGACGTCGACTAGGAAGCGCCTCTTTTCCTCGCTGCCAACGGTCGCGTAGACGACCGCTCCTTGCATCTTGGCAATTGCAATGGCCATTTGGCCGGTGCTTCCCGCTGCCGAGTGGATCAGGACGGTCTCTCCCCTTTTCAGTCGTGCGATGTCCACAAGTGCATGATACGCAGTCATCCCAGGGACGAGGACCGCCGCCGCCGCCGCGAACGAGACGTCGTCTCCGGGAATCTTGATGACCGATGTCGCAAGCGAGCGTGGGTATCGGCGCATGCAGCCAGGTGCAACCATACAGACCCGGTCGCCCACCTGGAAGTCTACGGTGCAATCGTTACCAACTCTGGTGACGATGCCTGCGCAGTCAACCCCAAACGTTCTCTCCTCTAGGCGCCCTAGAGCCTGCAGGACGTCACGGAAGTTCAAACCCCAGGCCCTGGCTTCGATTTCGACCTCGCCGGCCGCTATCTCCAGGCCGTGTTCAATGTCCTCTGTGAAACACAGAGAATCCAGCGTACCAGCCGTCTTTATCGAGAGGGACAGTGCTGGGCCCTCGGACCAAGCTCCTTCGCGGAACTGAGGGGTGAGAAGAGCATTCAATGCCTCGTTGCCGCTGACATCCTCCGTAGCTCTACAGGTCTCGAGGAGTCCGTGGCGTACCACGTACTCTAGCTCTTCAGATGATCGGTCAAGGAACGAAGCTGCGAGTACCCTGACAACGTGCTGTGCGGAGGCCGCCGAGGTTGCCACTTCCGTCTCGATGGCCAAAGTAACGATATGGCTGTCGGCCGCTTCGAGTCTCAAAGAGCGAAAGAACCCCTGTGCTAGACCATAGAACGATGACTGTGGGTCATCAAGGCTCGATTCATTTACCCAGAGTAGCCTTTTGGCGTTCTGCATCAGGTGCTGCATCCATTTCAGTCTGCCTTCGGTCATGGCATAGAGGAATGGAGAATCTAGACTGGCCAGGCACAAAACGACATCGTCCGGACCCTTTTTGCACGCCTGGAACTGCTGCAGGGACAGCATACTACAAGAGTCTGCTCCTGCCCGAGCTCTCATGTAGTCGGAAACACTGTTTGCCATCTCGGTTTGCCTGGTCGATGCTTCGTCGACAACGACCAGGACTTTGTAGTGGAGATCAGCCTGTACCTCCTCCTTTTCCACCGCAGTCGAAACGATGATGCTGCAAATGTGACACCGTGGCTCCTCAAAGTCCTTGAGGACTAGGTCATTGCCGGAGTAGCCGCTTGTCTGCAAGCAGTCATGCCACTGGTCTTCATTCAGGAGAGGCGACATCTTGCGCCATTCCTCGCGTGCCAGCCACCACCCGGGGACCAGACCAAACGAAAAGTTCACCGCCACATCCTCCGGTGCGATCACTTCGAGGATGAGGGCCCGGCCTCCGGGTTTGAGCGCAGTCCGCACGTTCTTCATTGTGCCCACCAGATCCGCTGTGGCATGCAGCACGCTTCCAGCAACAACCAGATCATACGAACCCACCTCGAAGCCTTGACTCTCGAGTGTGCGTTCCAGATCCAGGGTCTTGAAACTTATGCGGCCCTCCAGCGCCTTCCAGCGCTCACGTGCTCGCTCAAAGAACATGGGCGAGATATCGGTGTAGGTGTATTCCGCGAGCCTCAGACCTCCGTGCTCTCTCTCGAGCGACAACAAGGACGTGAGTACATGGCCCGTGAAACCGCCCGTCCCTGCGCCAACCTCGAGGATACGCAGGCCTGGGGTTTCATGCGAGGCAATCTCGAGGAAGGTGTGCATGCGCGTATCGCAGATCTGGGCAAACATGTCTGCGTAGAACACGTCGGCCAGGTCCGAGTCAAAGACAACCTCGAGCGGGTCTTTAGCCCCCAGAAGAATGCTCTTCAGCTCACGCACGACGTTGGTGTGCAGCCTCCAGGGCGGGTGCATGGCTTCTATATGTTGAAGCCGCTGCTCGAGCTGCTCATCGCTCATCGGCGCCTCAAGGTCGTCTCTCGCGGCTGGCTCGAGTGTGTTGATGTGGTGTGTGATCCATGCCATGTGCCGTTCAAGGGATGCGGGCACCTTTTTATGATCCGCGGCCGTCATGGACTTCATCGTCCTATCGAGGACGACGTTCATGACAGAGGTCAATTCAATGTGGTGCGCAAGCATCGTCATCTCATCCTTGACCACACCACCCTTGAAACAGGCTTGTTCTAGCTGCTGCGGGTCGAGCATGCTCAATTGCGGTTTCCACTGGGCTTTGTGCAGGAGTTTTCTCCCCGTTGTGGTTCCCTTGTCCGGTCTCGAAACAGCTACTGTGATCATATGCTCAATAGACATCAGGACTGTCCCGTCGTCAGCGAGCACGTATATGGTGCCATCCTCGCCAGCGTCCCGCTCAGCGTTCGCAATGCCCCAACACGCAAGTGCTTTGGTATGTGGGCTCTGCCATCCGGTTGCCGAGAACCAAGCGTCGATAATTTTGACGGGGACATTGGTTGCTGACGTCGAGGCGAAAGCCTGGGAGCTCGCTCGCAGCATGTGGAACACGTTGTCCAGCACGGCCGGGTGCACCATGCTTGTCGTGTGGAACTGCGTCTTCGTTACGTCAATGCGAGCGACGGCATTGTTCTTCCCGTCCCAGTGGAGGCTTTCGAGCAGTTGGAACCAATCCCCGTATCTCAATCCGTGATCGGCGGCATTGCGGTAAAACACCTGTGAGTCGACCGGCCTTGTGCAAGCCCCAACTGCACGGTCATACCGATGCAACACGTCTTCATCGAGCAGTCTCTTCTCCTGTTGCATACCAGCCTGCTCAAAATCCTCCTCGTATTGTGCTTGAATGCTTGCCGAAAAGCACTGCGACCATTCTTTGTTGCGATAGCAGTATACCCGCACATCGGACCAGGTCGAAGATTTTTCGAATGACTTCTGCACCGGCCGGAGCTCGACAATCGTCTCCGTTCTGTTCTCCCATGTCTCACCTACTACTATGGGACTCAGGAATGATGCTTCCCTGACGGAGTAACCCACAACCGTTCTGTTGATAGGGGCCACTTGAAGAGCGGCTTCCATGGCCATGACAAGCATGCCGGCTGCTGGGTACACAATAGTGTTGCTGATCTAGAGATGTGGGTTAGTGTGATAATCCCTTGGTCTTATCGTGCTGGATCTTGCGCTTACATTATGGTCTGCAAGCCACGGGTCCGACTCGGTGCTCAAGAACTTCCTCCATCTTGGTTCCAGTGGATTCCAATCGGAAACTCGCTCTCCCAGCGTCTCGCCAGTCACGGCTTCGCGCAGTCTGTAATCGCGGCTGATCCGCGACTCTGCCCAGTATCTGTTGGAATGATCAAATGGATATTCGGGGCAGTCAACGAGGAAAGGTCCGCCCTCGTCGACTTGATTCACAGCAGGGATTGACACTGAATGTCCGTGGCCAAACAGCTGGCCGACAAATTCAAGAGTGGTCTCAACTGCGGAGCGGTCCCGGTGCAAGACGCACGAGTATCTGACCCCCTTCGCCCGAGGGCCGGCTGTAGCAAGGGAGTCTGCAATGGGCCGACGTAGGGCAGCTGTCGGCCCTATTTCAACGAGATCTGTGATGTTTCCAAACCATCCGGTTTTCCATGTCGATGGCTGCTGCGACACAGCCCGCACGGCATCGCCAAAGCGAACCGGAGACACCATGTTGTCCACCCAGTACTGAGCTGTCGCCAGTAGGGCCGGCGGGATGCCCTTGCCAGTCACAGTGGATATCATGGGAATGACGGAGCCCGGCGCAGCAGATACCAGCTGCCCCATTTGCTGCCTGTAGCTGTCAGCAATGGCAAGCATAGCAGGCGAGTGATATGCCACGCCGGTCTTCAGCTTTCGAGCGAATATATCATCTTTGTCTGCCTGTTTCTTGACTGCATCGATCGCGCTGTCGGCACCAGACAAGGTACAGTTCAACGGGCTGTTGATGCAAGCCACACAGACGTCTGTAAGACCGACCTTGTCGAGATAGGCTGGGACATCGTTCTCGGCAAGGTTGATTGAGATCATGGCTCCAGCTGTAGAGCTGCTAGCCCGAAGCTTGCCAGCTAGCAGCCCGCGAAAGTAGGAGACTTTGCAGGCCGACTCTAACGATAAGGCGCCGATGGCATACGCAGCAGCTATCTCTCCCGAGGAATGGCCGATGACTGCCTTGGGCACAATCTTGAATGACCTCAATAGCTCTATCAGAGCTAATTGCACTGCTGTCGACAATGGCTGGCTGTACTCTGGGCGGTCAATGGTTTCGCTGTTGCGCAGTTGGTCAAGAAGTCTCCACTGAGACCCAAGACGGCAATATATCTCGCTAATTCGTGTAAGGGTAGCGGCGAATACTGGATACTGGTGGATGAGGTCCCAACCCATGTCCGCGTACTGTGCTCCCTGTCCTGTGAAGACAAATGCCAGGCCGGCACTCTCGGTACTGCGCACCGGCTTGGCCGCCGAGAGGCCGACCTCTTTGACGATGGGCCCGTCAGTGACAATGGCCCATGTTCGCCACAGCATGCGACTTCGTCGGGCGGCCAGCGTATAGGCGAATCGGTCAAGTTTGACGGGATCCCCGACAACATGGTGCTTGAAATAGGCTTGTTGACCTTCAATCACTCGCTTGATGGCTTTCTCGTCCGCGGCAGACCATACAAGAAGCCGAGACTTGCCCGTACCATGACCGTTGGTCCCATTCAGGTGCGTGCTCAATGTGTCATCGCTATATCCATTGGGCTGCTCATCGTTGCCTAGACATTCCCACGTACCATTCTCTCCATTGTTCGATGCATTTGAAGTGGTGCTATTAGAAGCAATGCCGTTCACTGTGGCAGGCGTAGCTGCGCCCGATGATTCTTCATCCCCGTCAGCCTCGTTCTCAAGCGTCGGAACGGATGGCACAAGGCTTGCGGCCACCACGGTGCAATGGTTGCCAACGACGCCACGCTCTTGGAGATAATGGAGCGCATCATCAAGGACGACGTGTGTATTGCTGCCGCCAAAGCCAAAAGAGTTGACGGATATCCGTCGCAGTCCGTCACTTGGCCATGCAATTGCCTGCGTAGGGATCTTCACGCCCAGTTCTGTCAGCTCATGGGGCTTCTATACGGTGCTGTGATGACTTCCAAAGAACAATTGATGACATACTGCAGTGTTGTAAAACTCGAGGTCAATGTCGGGATTGACCTTTTCAAAGAGTGCGTGAGGGGGGATGATGCCCTTCTCAAGGGACACTGCACAGAGCGCAAGCTTGTTCAGCAGATGCAACCGAATAGGGTGCCGGACTCTCTTACCAATGGCCTTTATGACACCTGCGAGGCCGCTACTTCCTTCGAGATGTCCTATATTGGACTTCACCGAACCCCTTGAAATGTCGTGTCAGCAAAGTTGTGCCCAGTAGCATCGCACACTGACGCCAACTTACACATAAAGTGGCTCCAATGCCGACCGCGAGCTTCGGAAGACGCGTCCTATCGCTTTCATCTCAATTGGGTCGCCCACAGGCGTCCCAGTACCTATATCCAAAGATCAGTTTGCAGTCTGGCCAGGGATTGTGACTCGGTCTGAGGCCCATCGTACCATGGGCTTCAACGTATCTCGTCTTGTCAAAGGAAAGCCTAGCCTTCTCATACACGTGCCGTATCAAGTCCTCTTGCGCCCTAGGGTTAGGTTGCGTCAGTGACGGTGTTTGACCATCCTGGTTCGACCCTGTGGCACGGATGACTGCGCGGATCATGTCGTGGTCTCTCAGGGCGGCGGAAAGAGGTTTCAGTAGCACGGCAATAAAACCTTCGCCTCTGGCATAGCCGTTTGCACGATGGTCGAAGCCCCAGCATTTGCTATCAGGCGATAAGAAGCCGAGGTTCGACAAAAATTGGGTGAATGTCGGGGTGAGAATCAAACTGGAGCCAGTAACGAGCGCCTTTGTGGATGTATTGGGGTCAGCCAGGTGATCCATCTGGCATCCTTCTCCCCGACAAGATTGCCATAATACTCACAGCAGATGACTCGCCAGCTCGTAAAGATTGACATGCCATATCCAGTGCAAACAAACTGCTTGAACAAGCCGTATCGATGTGAACGCTGGGCCCCCTGAGGTCGAAGTACCAGCTAACGCGGTTCGAGATAAGGGATGATGCCGTTCCTGTAGCCGCTGTCCTTTCGACATTCTCGGGATCTTGGGATATCATCCGTGACCAATCGTCCGTGAAGGAAGCAGAGAACACCGCGGTTCTCGAGCCCTTGAGCTTATCGACAGAGATGCCCGCTGATAACAGTGACTTGTCAACACCACGAATGCGCAATTGCCTACTCGAACCTGTTCATCTTACCATTCTCGAAGGCACGGTAGGACGTTTCCAGTGTCCATCTCTGCATCGGGTCAAGTGCTTTGCGGCCGGTGCCGTCAGCCCATCGGATTCTATTCCGCGATTCTGGCCAGCAAGAAACGTACCGGCTGCTTCCTTTGTAGAGATCGAGAAAAACGGAGCGTCAAATGCCGCGGGGTCATCGCCGATGAAATGTCCGCCATGGCAGCTGAACTAAGCACAGGGAGAGGTAATGAGCAAATGCTGTTCATCTCGAGCAGTCCGCAATACGACGCACCTTGTTTCGTGTACCAGACACGAACGACTCGGCATTGATGCGGGACTCGGGCCAGCGAGTCATGAGGTTCTTGCGGTTCTGCAGTACATCCCAGAAAGTGTCGACATCGTCTACATCCTGGGGCAGCTTGAACGAGAATCCCACAATGGCAATGTCATCGTCACCAGCGGGGTTGATTCCGGTAGTTGGCCTGTGGTTGGAGTGGCACTCGGTCGTATCCATTGTGTCGGTAACTTAGTAGGGGAAGTTAAGACGAGGATGTGATGGAGTAGCCTGCAGGTGATGCCCTGTCGTTGGTTCACGGACCTTACGTATCGAGTAAAGATTGTTCCCAGATGTCCTCTCTGATTGACGGACGAGGCGCTTTTATTTCCCAACATTCTGGGACACCGACTTTTCAATGTCGCCCGTATCGCACTGATACCCGCAACATCGCGCCCTCACTACCGCCCGTAGTCGGACACTGAATCACTAGGCGTCTACGATACGTACAGCTCGGCCGGAGAACCTGCGTCAAAGAATTTCCACTTTGGGCGGACCAGTAAATCCATCCTGCTGACGCTAGACGTTAGGTAGTTGGCAGTCTGGGGCCAGAAGGGTCCAACTGCAAGGGTATTACCGAATCCCTGTAGATGAGACAGACCAAGCCCAATGCCTCGAGACATTCTCAAGAAAGGCAGAGAGGATGTGCACCGCTGGCTTATGCGGATAGTCGGCCAGACACTGGCGGCTAGGTATGGTGACTGGAAATCCGACCAATCTACCACTCATGCCATCCGTTCGTTTCTATGCAATACTGACTCCCAAGAGGCTAACATGACGAGAAAGATGCTACATGGTTTAGCAATAGTCAACAGCACTGTCATTGTAAACGCCATTTCACTAAACGTCCTGGAGAGTGTGTATCACCTCCGAAGTGGTTTCGTTCCTCCAACAGAACTAACGTTATCTCAGGCAGGGGGTATTGCAAGGATGTGATTACTCAAGACGGCAATCCTTTCGCCGCCTACTTCGAACAGCCACTCGCTTCTTGGGGCATATCAATGATTGGTCACCCAGGTGCATGGGGCGTGCCCCTACCTACTTGTATGCACGACTTGAGTTTGTGGGAGCAAGTGGTGAGTTATCAAGGCACGTACATGCGTATCCCCTTGAGAGTGGTGACCACAACCAAGTGCAACCCACATACCAAAGACCTTGTTCATGCACATCCCCTCACCATGAGTGCTGTTTGGTACTCTGATACAATAGAACCGGGCCTGTGATCACCACACTTGAGGGGATACATGTGTGGATACGAACCTACGCAAGCTACCTACGTACTCCGTATATCTTTTTCATAGGTGCGAAGTATGTAGACAAGCGACCGTCAGAATGCTTGACGGAAGTTCATCAGGAGCTACATTAATGTTAATAATGCATGTCCTGGCTCTGGTACTCAGATGGGCTATCCCACTAGTTACCTAAAGCCGACGGGCTTGATAGATAAGTAGTCGAGTACCTCTGTTAGCAGTCCGTCAACTGATCTGACCGTCGCCTGGTAGATGACCCTGTATGACCCGCTTGGGAGATTTGCAACAAGCCACCGGGTGTGGTACGCGGTCAACGGTGGCTAGCGTTTCACACTAATAGACACTATGGTGCACTTTAGAATTTTAGGTTATGATCGACATGAGGAATATGTATTCCTTCGCCAAGCCCTATCCTAGCCTGGGCCCCTGCACTTTCCAGTCGTGGCACCCTGTTCCTGCACCGTGATGGGAACCCATCATGACCACATATATAGTGCAAAACCTTGTTCATATTACCACTGACGTACAAGGTCCTCCGGCGTAACAAATGTCAATTGGTATCTTGTTTTGCAAGGTCCTACTTGTACATCCACCTCACGACAGGGGTAAGAGGACTAGCATCTCTCGAAGGCTTTTACGAAGTACGCTTGTGGAAAATTCTAGGGAGCAGAAGTGGTTGCAATTATGTTGAAGCCATGCCAATCTTGGATAGTGAAGAGCTTCCTTGAGGGAAAAGGAGACAACCCTGGCCGCCTAGAACGAATTAGGACCAGAGAAGGCCGGGTAGGCCCTGGCCTCGTACCTGAGCTCGCACTTGTACGGAGTACAAGTACTTGGATTACCCTGGTACGTTGTAGTACTTGTACGTAACTCAGGCTCTGCGCTAAAAAGACTAGGAAATCCAGCCGCGGATCCACCCTGAGCCACATTGGATGACCAGTACGGCACGGTCCGTGATCTTGTTGGTTCCCCGTTTGTAGCGCATCTAGGGTCCCTGGTTCTGGCCGACTGGGCCTCGGAGTGGCGCCGGGGATCCGGAACTCGAAGTCGGCAATTACGAGATTGAATGGGGAAACAAAGGGCTACCCATGGTTTATTAGCGTGCGGTCTGTAGACCTACGGAGTAGGTAGGTATTTCCACCAGAGGCATGTTATGTAACATTGTGGAGTTGCCGGCGGTGAACCCCCCAGCAGCTTGCTCGTAGTTTCTCGTGACTTTCCTTCTCCTCCTTACCATTGCAGCACAAGCGTGCTCATTTCGCGTCCAAGGGCTCCCAACTTGAATGTCAGAACCATCTCGACTCCACATACCCATCCCATGGCACCATGGTGGCTTCCCCATCAGCTGCTAGCTCTCAGCCATGAGCCCGCTCGATGGTGCGATTGATGGCTCGAAAAGCTCCCCTCAACGCCTGATGGTCCTTGGGTCCCGGGATCTGGTGCCCGTGTTCGTGTACAAATATCTCGGCGTTTTTGCACAGTCGAACAAGTGCAGTGTGCACATGTTCCGGCCTCGTCCACCCGGCTTCTGCCCAGAGCTTGGACAAGGGTGACTGGGCCTGGGCGCTGCTGTTGCCAACGCCAGTCGAAACGTCCTCGTATGAAAATACGTGAGCCGTGGGAACGCAGAGCGAGATTCCATCCATGTCCGGATTCAAACTTCTGATCTCACCCTGTCTGAGGCTGTCGGGGTCGAGCGGCGGCGCTGCACTGAAAAACACACCGCACTTGAAGTTGGCGAACGGTCGCCGCGCATCCTCGAGAAGAAGGGTGGCAGCGATAATCCCACCTTCGGAGAATCCCATGATCGCGTCGAACGGGCCCTGGCTCTGCACGACATTGATGAGGCCGTCGACCAGGTCTTGATACTGGCTCACATCCGTCACCTGCCCCAGCCATCCATATGTGCGTTCATGTGTGGCGTCGCAGGCTACTGCTGCACCTATTCAAGGTGAGTCTCAAGACAAGCCGCATGCCATGGATCACCCCTGGCTGTTGCCACCATGGAACTGCCTTACCGTCGTCACCATGAGGCGAATGCATCATGATACTGCCGTCTAGGAATACAAACTCAACTCCTTCGAGCTCTTCTCGTATCCTTGCTACAAAGAAAGGGTTGTATTATTAGTGATGGGTGTTCATGCCGTTTCGTCACGAATGTGAGTGGCACCGGGTGTCAGAGGGAAAGGAGGCGGGCATCAAAACAGCTGTTTCTTGTCGCTTTGCTGAGCTCTGGCCCGTCTCTCACCTATTTGCATCTCAAACGTCTTTGTGTGTTGCCTTCCAAATCAGCTTGTGCTTCGTTCGTTGAAAATGCCAAAGTGCCATGATGAATCCCCCGTACCTGTGCACACGTCCCTCTTCCATGCAGGCAGAGGAAGCGCATCTTACTTTGCTGGCTCGGGCACAAAGCAGCGGTTCTACAGACCAGGATGCAACAATTCCAAGCCCGTCTCACATTCCTGATAAGGATTCCGTCCCGGTCAGTTTCGGTCAAAGGATAACCATGTATGTACCCAAGGTTTGAGGGTTTAAGGAGAGAGGCACCTCCCTAAGTAGGTAGGCACGGCAGCAGGTACGAATGGACCGAGATCCCGAGGCGCCGACCCGCACCGGTGGCGTCGAGCGATGTTACGTCCCGTTACAGAAAGGGAGCGGAGCAACGGCGGAGCAGAATGCCCATAATTCTGAATCCCTGCACCCTGCACCCTGCAAAACGGTCTGTCACAAACGAGTAGTGTGCTGATGATCCTAGTGAGCACGCCGTTGACGCTATTAGGCGTCAAGTCGCAATGTCTGTTTAGACAGTGCCATCTGCGACGTGCACTTCAAAGCCAATTGTACTTGTTCGACTCATTATGTAGAGAAAAGGACACAAGAGACTTGACTGGCCACATTCTCATGGAATAGCCTTCTGGTCTGACCCTGTCGACTCCCCAGCATCGATCAAAGGACCAAGGAAGGGGAGACACTCCACATCACACAGGTATCCATGTCTGATTGGCTCGACGGGGATGCATGGGATGCAGGGGAAGAAGAGTTGAGAGGACCCAATTGCACCGCCTGCGTGTCTGGATCGTTCCAGGAACACGAGCTGGTGGCGAGATCGAGGGGGATTTGCAAAAATAAAAATAAAAATACGCTCGAAGACTGATGAAACCCAGCAAGGATAGGCCTTGCCAGTGACCATTTGTCCCGGCAGATTGGAGTTTGCTCCACAGACGAATCTCATCAACTACCTTCCCTTGTACAAGTATGAGGACCTTGTCGTCCGACTGCTACGGGCCGGACGGCCAGGTGCAGATCGCAATAGGTACTCCTCTTGCACCCCAGACGAGAAAGAGTAGTCGGTATCACTTTTGTTCGTTGAAACGAGAGAGATAGAAAGAGAGGTGATCGTCAAGTAGCCAGGCCTGCGTATCCTTGCGAACGTCCGGTTCCAGCACTCGATACAACTGGAGACGGGGGCACGGCAGGCCCATCACGCCCAGCCCCCTACCGGTGATGGTAGGTTGGTACCTTGGTCTGTCTATCCCTGGTCGGTATTGAATGGTGATGTGAGATTCGACATGCGAATTTTTTCATGCGCCAGTATAATAATGGCGGCCCGGATCCGGTATCTCAATTACAATGTTGGCCCCTCAGTCCTTCTTTCTGGGAAGCCAGTGGCCACCCAATTTACACTCACGCTCCCTTTTTGTTCTACCTTTCAGTACGAGCTCTGAACCCGAGCATTCTTCTCGATCAACATGGCTGCTGTGGATTTCACCAAGCTGACGCCGGAGATGTTGGATGCCGTCTTAGACGGCCCAGCGATGGCACCACCACCCGGCCAGGTCAGCAACTTTGTGAATCCTCCTAACGAGAATGGATTGGCAGTGGCAGTCATGACAGTGTGCATCGCCATTGTCGTCCTCTGTCTCGCAATTCGAGCCTACGCCAGGCTGGTGCTGCTGAAAAGGATACAGGCACAGGAGTACCTGATCCTGGCTGCATTTGTGAGAAAGGCCTTCGTACCTTGCATGTTTGCTCAGGGTCGATCTTCCGACTGACCATAGACATCAACTACCCAGGCATGCTTTATCGGCTGGTCTTACTGCACCCTCAGCCTGGTCCCCAGCCCCGGATTTTACGTCCACACCTGGAACGTCAAGCTGCGGCAGACAGTCACCATGGGATATGTGAGTGTGTGCGTGTACGTCATCTCGGGCGGTGGCACAGAGAAACTAACGGCTCGTGCACTATCAGCTCGTCCATCTTGCAGGCGTCTTTTATTCGGTTTGCCTGCCGCTGCTCAAGATCTCCATCATGGTGGAATGGCTCGGCATGTTTGTCTCTCGGGGTACTAGGAATTGGTTCTTCTGGGTCTCCTGGATCTTGATTGGAATCCAGATCGCGTTCGCAGTTGCTGCAGTCATTGCCTTGAACCTAGCCTGCATTCCGACCAAGAAGAAGTGGGAATTCTGGGTTCCTGGCAAATGCATCAATGCTCACGACATCGAGACCGTTTCCGCGGCATTCCAGCTTACTTCGGACTGCATCGTCCTGGTTCTGCCCCAAAAGGCCATTTGGGATCTTCAGATGGGCTGGAAAAAGAAGCTGGGTGTGTCGGTTATCTTCTCACTTGGTGCTCTGTAAGTACCATCCTTCTCTTATTCCACCGCCCAATGCATCCTCGAGGCCCCCAAAACTGACCACGGTGTCCACTGTAGTGCTTGCATTTCTGCCGCTTTCCGTCTGGCCGGCACAGTACAATATGCCGAGGCCGTGGACGCCATCTACAACATCGGGCCTGTGGCCTTCTGGGCTTACGCCGAGATGACCTGTGGATTCATTGTGGTCTGCGTGCCGTGTGTGCCCAAGATTCTTATGGAAAGCGGCGTCTGGCGCAAGCTGAAGAAGAGTCTCGGCTTCAGTGTCACCTCCGTTACCGCAAACAACCAGACAGGTGCGAGCGCAATGCGGTCTAAGAATATGCGCTCCGTCAATAAGTCTTACACCGAGATCGACGAGACTGAGCTGAAAAACTTCCGGTCCGAGTCGACTGAGCACCTTCGTTATCCCCCGGGCAAGCTGGAAAAGGGCATTGTGCGTACCACGCAGGTGACTGTGACGCAGAACTCGGACACGTCGAATGGCGAGGAGAAGATGTACGGGCACCCGACACAGTGGAGGTAGAGGAATGCCTCACCGAGGATGGCCAGTACCCTCTATTCACATGGCGAGAACAGGGGCTACTTCCGAAATCCCGAACAATGTCGGAACATGATCGTTTGGGCCTGTGGCCTCCATTACTTTCTGTAGCAAACCCATTGATTGTACTCTTAACATTCTTCATGGGAAGCTTCCTGCTTTCCAGAGCGATCCAACCTTTTCCAGCCTCGAGAAGGCTAAAAATTAAACTCTTGATTATGCAACCTCTGCACCAGAAGGGCTTAATTATTGAGTCGAGTCAAATCACGACTTGGTAGAAGCATCATTGCCACTTCAACACTAGCTAGGTTGCAGCTTGAGGTGTGCACTAGCCAAACCTCGCATCATAATGGGGCACACGGGAACGTGATAAGCTTGTTCGCTGGGGGGGGCCAAAGGTTTCGAGTCTGCACCAGACAAGAGGCAGCACTTCCTAGAACCCCTAACCATCGATGGTATGCCTACCCTACCGCCTGTTTGGCAATGGGCTGTGGGACTGAAAAACGACTAAATAGGTACCGTACCGGTGAGAATGGATCTTATATTTCGTAGCCGCAGACAGCGTGTTCAGAAGCTTTGTGAAAACAGATGTTTTGTGACAAATCATCAAGACCAGGTAATGAACGTCGCAAAGATACCTACGAACAGCAGCCTGGCTCCGCAACGTCGTCTGAGCAATAGAAAATGCACCTTCGCCAGGTGTCCCATGTGCCATTTCTCGACCTCGGATGTTAAAAGGGCCTGATGCGATGCAAGTCTCGCTAATACTTGTACGTATTTTTCAAACCAAGGATAATGCATAAATACCCATGTCTACGTAGTGCAAGCTTCTCAGTGACTGCAAATTCGGTCTTGGATGACCCTGGTCCGCATTCACAAGGGCCTGGGCCCGTATTTTATTTATCCTTGCCCAGCAGAGCAGCACCCCCACCTCTCCATGTACTTGTATGTGCCATACGACGGAGCTATCCCTGTCGGAAGAATGGCAAGGATGGTACAGGTGCTGTAGGCTCTGCGATCAAACGTCCCACCCGGCTCGAACAGTCCAAACGCAGTCCCCCTTGGCTATGCAGATATATCTGTCTGCACTGCGGGTTCAGAATTCGCAAACTCCTAAAGAAACTCTTTCATGCGGCCTGGGATCGATTCAGCCTAGCCGAGTGGAGTACCAGCATTGGAATGACTGAGCTGGCCTGGGTTCCCTTGACAGAGACCGCTGCCTACAAGTAGGTTTGTGAACTCATCCCCCGCCACCATGTACAGATACAACTACTCCTGCTTCATTTGGATGGGAAATTAGACAAAGTAACATGTGTAATGGGGCTTGGAGTCTTTGTGACCATCGACTGACTGCCAATTCTGTACGTAGTTAGGCCGACCTCGGCGAGTTCGTGATCCACTGGCTGACACTCAGTCCTCGAAGTCCCTTCCGGAGACCAGATGGCTGGCAATTGTCGTACTGAATTATGCAGCTGGCTACTTGTAGACCAGTGGTCACTCACCGCTTCAGGCCACCCCCTGCCCGGACGTGGGCACTCCTACGATGTGCACATACATACTTGCACAACGTCGATCAACCTGACTACCCCAAGCTTGGGAAACCCAACCCCACCACGCCGTGGGTGTTGTGCTTTTATTCCTTTAATTACCAGCCCCCCGCGCGGCTCGATGAACCTACCGACCTGGAACTCACAGATGCTTGATGTTCCAGCTCCAAGCAAGACACCCACCCATTCAAGCGGCCAACTGGACACTGATCAGACTCAATATACCTCTGAACCACTTCTACCATGCCAAAGATTGAGGAATTTCAACTCCACCCCCTGGGTTGGGAGAATGACCCGGAGGAGGAGCGATTCCAGCTCTCGACTCTCGACTATCTGTCGGCCATGACATACAACAATTACGCCTTGTTCTTCAAGCTGGATGATTCCGAGAAGAGGTAAGTTTGAGATGATTTGAGCGCCACCCTTCCCATGACCTCAAGAGGATACTAATCTAGTTTTCCAATGTCAGTACAGCTGCAGCCGTGTTGAAGGAAGGGCTGGAGAGAACTCTGAGCCAGACAAAACATCTTGTTGGCATCATTGAGAAGAACGAAGACGGAAGTCACTCGTTTGTCAAGAAAAGGGACAGCACGGTCAAATTCGTTGTCCAGCATCTTGACTCGCCCGAGGACGGCTTCCCCTCGTTTGCCGAGATCGAGAAGGTTCACTTCGTGTCGCCCATTCTTGGTGACGTCAACGTGTTGAGCAATGCCCCCATGGCATATGGCGAGAAGCCAGAGGCCGATCCTGACAAGAGACCCGTTGTCGCCTCTTACAAGGCAAACTTCATCCCCGGAGGCCTGATCCTCAACCTGCACTCGCATCACTACAGCAACGATGCTCTTGGATTTGGTAACTTCGTCCGTCAGCTCGCCGACAACTGCCGCGCCATTGCCAACAAGACCGAATTCCCTTCCTTCGACCCCAAGTGTCTCGATCGTAGCCGCTTTATTGCCCCAACGGTCGCGGAAGAATCACGCGTCGATGCTCCTCCTCGAGCCGACCGCAACCCTGCGCACAAGGATTCACAGGCCTTGATATTCCATCTGCCAAAGAGCAAGGCTGCTGAGCTGAAGAAGGTCGCATCACCCGATGACGGCTCGTGGGTTTCGACATATGATGCTTTCTCTGCGCTCATGTGGCGAGTGTTCTCCAGGATCCGTGCCCCCGTGTACAATCCGGAGCCGGCCTCGAAGCCGCTGTGGGCTGAAGGCGTCAATATGAAGAAACGCTTGACCAATCCGACTATGCCGGCCCGCATGCAAGGCAACCTCTTCTTCGCGCCAATGTCTACCATGTCCGCCATTCCGCAGCTGACCTCGGCCGAGATCATATCGGAGGCTCCGCTCTCCAAGCTTGCGAGCTATTCGCGTCAAATGACCGATAGCGTCACGGGCGAAATGTTGGCGGCCGTTTTACAAATGCTTGCGCCCATTCGCAACAAGCCAGACTTGTCCGTCCGGGTCAACTCATTCCCACCCATGACCTTTGTCGTGACTGACTGGCGGGAAGCTGACGTCTGCGGTCAAGACTTTGGTTTTGCGAAGCCGACTGCCTTCCGCCACCTCTTTGGCAAAGTGCTGACAGAGAATCTCGTGGTTGTCTACCCGCCGCGGGACGGCCCAGCCGGTGATGATGAGGGAGTCGAGGTGCAATTCGCCTTTGAAAAGGAACTCACTCAGCAGCTCATCAGTGACCCGGAATGGAGCAAGTATTTTGAGTTCAGAGGCATTGACTCGGATTAGTCGTAGCAAGTAGCGATTGTCAAGGCGATCTAAATGGAACTTCTACTTTCTATTCGCTTGACCACCGATGTTGTACTTTTGGAATCCGTTAACCCGAAAAGCCATTAATTGCTACGGGGCATTACATAGCAGGCATGTAGATTGTTGTTGAAACAACAGCACTTGGTGATCATACAGTCCCATCTGATTTCAACACTGGCCATACAAACTGTCGTTTAAAAAGTGTATCGCTATGCAAAATAGCCTCCAACCCCAACGCAGGATATTATTTCCTGGCATTGGCACTCCTGGCCTTGACAGGTCTAGTTGACCCCGGGGGGGCTTGTTTTCCTCGCGCAAGCTGACGGCTGTAGCAGTGAATTTTGTCTTTGCCTCTTTGGTTGGCTTCTCAGCGCTTCGGAGTTGCTAGTCCTTGGACTTGCCGGTCCTTAGACTTTGCCGCTGTCTCTTTATCGGAATGCATGCGGTTAGGCTCCGAAGCCTGAGGAAGTAGAGACACGAACAGCTTAGCTAAGATGCCAGGGTCATGATCAGCAGGTCCTATTCGTTTTAGTATGGACTGTTTAGAGTTGACTGCGGCAGAACTCAAGAGACGCTCCTTGTCGGTCTCACTCAGACCAAGTACCTTCGTTCTTGCGTCCCATCCTAGTCCAGTAGATTTGTGGCAGTGGCTTGTGTAGCTTGTTCGTTGTGAGCTGGAAACTTCAAGCCTTGGCCATCAACAGGGGTTGACTCGTAGTCACCCCATTTGCTTGTTTGACCAGGCTGCACACCGTTGGTTGGCTTCGCTAGTTGTTGGGGCTCGGATGGTCTTCACAGTTCCTTATTCCTTGATCACCTGGTCCAGGCGTAGCTGGAGGAACAGCCTGCTTCTTTTCTTTGTCGCGTCTCCTGTTTCGCCCCCTGCTGTTTCTGTTGACTTCGTACAAGAAACACGAGATTTCTTACCCTCGACACATTGCTCTGCAACGAATTGGGCACCATACCGCCATTGCCGAGTCGAGTGCGGCATTCCTTTCAGCGGCAGGCCTTCATCCTCCAATTACATGTAGGTAGTCTAACCACTAGGGGATCTCTACAATCATAACTGGCGCAAACTCGACATAGAGAGGTAAGATTGGCAAAAGATAATAGAAAAAGAGAACAGATCAGGCGTATCGTTTCTATTGCAATATGTCCAGGGGCGAGACACACGCAGCCGGGCCTGGTCACGGCGGTGCCTCGTCTATAATGAATCCTGTACAGCGGCGAGGACGGTGGCGTGTAGCGGTGCAGGGGCGGCGACGAAGCCGTAATTATCCGTTAGCTTCCTCCCTGCTCCGAGGTTGATGTCTCTGCCTTGGACATCAGTGACTTTACCGCCGACTTCCTGGAAGAGCAGTAGAGCTCCGGCGTGATCCCACAGCTTTGCATAGCGGGTTCTGCTACGGTAGACCCAGAAGGTCATGTTGGCCAGGCCGAGGGCGAGGACGACCCATCTGGGGACCCAGCCGAGGAGGTCGCAGCCGGGGAGGGTGATGCCGAGGCGGGCGGCGGCGGCGGCGTGGACCTCGTCGATGGCGGAGGCGCGGGCGAGCAGGGAGGAGACGGGCCGCAGCTGGTCGGGGTGGTCTGCCAGGATGGGGGGTACCCTGCGAACAGCGACGTCGGAGAGGGCCCCTCGGAGGGGCCGCACGTGGGTGCCGTAGCCCTTGGCGGCGAAGACGATGGTGCCCTGGCCGGCGGGGTCGGAAGTGGCGTCGGTGACGGGAGGGGTGGCGTCGAGGGGCAGCAGGGGCAGAGCGACGGTGCTGAGGACCTGCTCGCCGTCGTGCAGCAGGGCGACGTTGACGGCGTACATCTGGCCGCGGATGAAGGTCTTGGTGCCGTCGATGGGGTCAAAGACCCAGACGCGGGGCTTCTGGGGCTGCAGGGGCAGGCCGTGGCCGCACCAGTCGACCATGTCGCAGACCTCGTCGGGGCCGGAGGGGATGCGGCAGGGGGACGGGGGAGCGCAGTCGGGGGAGAAGCGCTGGAGGAGGGCCCAGACCCTCTGGAGCAGGGCGGGGTTGGCCCTGAGGTCGTCGCCCGACTCCTCGCCGACGAAGCCGTCGTGGGGAAAGGAGTGATGGATGGTGGCGGTCAGCAGGGCCTGGATGGCAAAGTCGGCCACGGTGACGGGGCTGAGGTCGTCCTTCTCGAGGATGCCCTTGTCCTGCTCGGCCAGGACAGCCTGGCTGAGCTTGGAGGCCTGCTGGACAGCGGCGATGGCGACCGAGAGTTCACGCTGCCAGGGGCTGTCCATGATGGGCACAGTCTTGGACGTGAAGCTGTACAAGTACTTGTCCAGCACGAGGAATGACTCGGTACATCGAGTGCATCGTGATGGGATCCATTGGGGGGTCGCAGAAAAGATTGGATGAGGTCGGGATGGAAGCCGTGCGGGCGGCATGCGGCGACGGGTGCGCTATGGCCCAGTTGGGTTTAGCTGAAGGTTGCCCTGGGAGCCTGCCTGGGAGGGGGTTTGCGTGCTGTGAGTATCTACCTAGGTACCTACCTAGGTAGGTACAAGAAGTGCTCCAGGGCTGCTGTGGGCTGCTGTAATGGCGCCTTAGTCAGCACTGTAACAATTCTCCATCGCGGAGGATTGCACCACCAGACGCACGCACGCACGCGACTTGGGAAGATCAAGGACGAAAGGCCTGGCAAGCTGGCTAGTTACCTGAATAGGTACCTAGGCAGTTAGGTAGCCATCCAATTTGTTTCTAGCCTGCCTCCCTACCTGCTACCAAACTCGAAGTTGATGAACCGTCCGGCCTGACGGTTCTGTATTTTGTTTGATCCTGTCATCATGGATTCGAGTCTACCTACTCTTCCCTCATTTGGCGAGACAGTCCTCACGTGCCTGATTGCAGGCGGTGGAGCGATGATGACAGGGCGAGATTCAACAAAACACTGAAGATTGATCGACGACCTTGAAAATGCTCGGGGGCGCGGGGTCTTGTAAGAGTCCGACCGTGCGGGTTTGGTCGATTGCGACGGCGCCCAGCCCAGGCTGACAGGCTGCCAAGGCAAGGAAGGGCTGTGCTTCAGGGCTCCAGCTCCAGCTCCAGCTCCAGCTCCAGGGTCGCATGGCCTTCCCCCCTACCTACCTAGGTACCTAGGTAATAATGGAAAGTCTCCATAAGGTAAGGCACAGTTGGCTCCAGCTTGGGGGCGCCGCCACCCGACCCCCGACACCGCTGTAACAACCGCTGGTGGGGTGCCACTAAACTGGAAAAATAACCTTAAGTAGGTACCTAGGTACCTAAGGTAGGCACTGGCCTTGGGTTCTTTTGGGGAGATGAGATTATTAAGGAACACTTGTAGCTAAATTACAAGAACATAGGTACCTACCTCCCTACACACTGCTGCTTTTCAAGACGTTGCAAGATCTCGTTCAGGCTTCCAGGCGAGACTGCATCTGGGTGTGCAAAGTTGATCTGCTCCGACTTGCAGCATCAATTGGCGGGACAAACGACTCATGTGTGTGTGTGTGTGTCTGTGAGCGCGTCCTTTTGTCGACGAATGCAAGAGAGGAGAGAGAGGAAGGACCCAAGACATGCTTCGAGTCCCCATCGCCGCCGTTTGCGATAACGTCAGCGCGCCAGACGGAAGCCAAGAGCAATGAGGAGAGCGGAATTGGACGGGACTGGGCTCCAGTCAGTCAATGTCAATGCTAGGTAGGTACCTACTAGGTAGGTAGGCAGGCGTGCTCGTCCGTGTTCAATTTGATGTTGGATTGGATCGGACAAAATTGGACCGACTGAGCCCCTCCGCCTGCCTCTGCTCCGCCGCCCGACACCAGCAAGCGGCAGCTCGGCCGGCGCGCGTCGGAGGAAGAGGAACAGGAACAGGAGGAGGAGGAACAGGACCGAGACTAACTACTTGTACCATGCATGTCGTTATCTGATGTAATCATGCACTTGGGAACTGCTTTGCTGAGGTCCTGCAGACCGGAGGGTCGGGGCGGCTGGCAATGGCTGTCTGTCCAGGAGGCTGCCCGTGGGTAACTACCCCTTCGCACCAAATAGGGAAATGCTGCGAACTTTTGTACATCTGTGAGAAGAAGGGGAAAAAAAAGAAAAAAAAAAGGAAAAATTACCAAGTACCTACCTAGTACAAGTAGAGTGTCGGTTCCACGTTCCCGGAATGGCTGCGCTCCAGAGGGACTGGAGTGATAGTTCCCGGTTATCTCCTGGGCGGGCTGCGATTGGCAGGTCGCTCGGGGCGATTACCGGGTACGAATACGTCGGGTTGTGGTGCGGAATGCACGCAATCTCCAAGTCGCTCGCTGGTGGTCTGGTGGTCTGGTGGATCAGACTAGACGGACGGGCTCTTGGGTGACCCCGACATCGAAATAAAGTCTCCAGCCAAGTGGGTTGGCAGTGGGTATGCGTTTACCCACGATGGCAGCCCCCTGGAGGATGGGTGGATGGATGATGGACGATGATGGACGATGGATGATGGATGAAGGACGATGGGCTTTGGACTTTGGACGATGGACGCTGGCAGACAACACCGAGCAGCAGAACAGTAGGTAACGAACCACTTGTACATACCTCTATGATAGCAGGTATGTATGTAAACTTGGCATCGAACCCCCCCTCCTCTCATATGTTATCGCGACTCACGGCCCCAACCCTCCTGAGTGCAGGTGTAGTAGACAAGACCTGACACACATCATGATCTTGGCCGCACCGTCAGAGCACCCGGTCGATCTGAATCGGATTCGGGATCAGTCAGGACCGGGCGAGAGCGCTGGCCGAGGGGAGGGTCGCTGATGGTGACAAGAGGCCAACATCAGGGGGAGTGCGAGACCCGTCCGACAAAAGGTCGTCCATCATCACCATCATCCTCCATCATCATCATCCTCCTCCATCATCCTCCATCATCCCCATCCCCATCACCCGTCGAATTCTCATTCTCCACGCACCCACCCACCACCCACCCACATAACATTAGTTAATTACTCCCACACTCTCTCTCCCACACTACTCTTCGTAGGTATACTCCTCCCACACGACCGACACACCGTCCGTCGGGTCGGGCGAGCTCCAGCTCCCTTCCCTGCTTGCTCGTGCTTGTCACAGCGCCCGCTCGGGTTCATCTAGAAGCCCGTCTCGGTGGAGCTCGGACCCATCCTGCATGTACCTTACCCAGGGTCTCGGTCGCAATTCTTTTTCCCATCCATCATCCATCCCATCCATCCCCCCCAGCGAGCGCCTTAACTCCAGGCCGTGCCAAATCAAAAAACACGCGCCCGCACGCTCGCCCGCACAGCGCAACACCGTCTGGCGATGAGTTCATCCTGAACTACTCCTCTTCCCTTTTCCTCTCTCCTTCTCCACGGGCTATACTTCTACCTCTCCCAGCCGCCGCCTCTGTCCTCTTCGCTCCTTTCTCTTCTCTTCGTTCCCTTCCTTTCGCCCTTCTCGCCCTTCGGCCCCTCCCTCCCTCCGCTTGGCATCCTCGCCTCTCCAGATCACCCAACCCAGACAGAGGTGCAGTCCGCTCGGTGTGTCAATTGCGCCAGCCTGTAGGAGGGAAGAGCCGAGTCAGTTGCGAGCGATCCATAGAGAGACAAAACAAGACAGAAACATAAGATCAGCTTGTGCTCCTCTTTTTTTTTTTTTTTCTCTTCCTTCTCTCGGCCGAGACACACTCCCAGTCCGGACATAGTTCATCGCCCTACGTCCTCCACCCCAACACATCCGTAGCGACGCCATTCCCTTTCTCCTTTGCTGGAGAAGGCAACACTGGGATATCGGACCAGGAGAGACGGGGTGTGTGCGCGCAAATTGCCTCGCGATTAATTCCGCCGGGGCTCGCTCGACCACTCCCTCCCTCCCTCGCTAGTCCGACCAGACGCCGTCAGCCATGTCCTTCAACGGCTTCGGTTCCGGTTCTTTCGGCAACTACGACCTGACCGGCAAAACCATGGGCCAATCCCCTCTGACCAGAACGCGCACCCACGACGACGACCCTGCCTCCGCTCCCACCGAGGTCCCGGAGGGCGGCCACACCGGCACCGGCACCGGCACCGGCACCGGCACCGGAATCGGCGCCAGCCCCCGCGCCAGCACCGACGCCCGCCGCCTGTCTCACCAGGCCAGCCACACCCGCGCCACCTCCGTCACCGAGACCGGCGGCGACTCCCCTTCCCGCTCCAAGGACCTGGCAGACAAGGTTCACGACCCAGAGGATGCCGACACCGAGGACGAGGACTCGGAAGAGGAGCGCCGTGCCAGCATCGTCCAGGCCCTCGCCCGCCGTTACACCACCCAGTCGCAGATCTCCGGCCTGTCCCCCGGCGGCAACCCCTTCCTCATCGCTCTCGAGGACCCCGACTCGCCCCTGAACCCGGCCAGCGACAACTTTCGCGCCCGCGCCTGGGCCAAGGCCCTGGTCGACCTCTCCGCCGACGAGGGCGACCACTTTCGCACTTCGGGCGTTGCCTTCCAGAACCTCAACGTCTTTGGCTTCGGCGCCGCCACCGACTACCAGAAGGATGTCGGCAACGTCTGGCTCGAGACCGTCGGAGGCGTCCGCCGCTTGATGGGCAAGGGCAGCAGCCGCATCGACATCCTGCGCCACTTTGACGGCCTCGTCCGGAAGGGCGAGATGCTCGTCGTCCTCGGCCCTCCCGGCGCCGGCTGCAGCACCTTCCTCAAGACCATCGCCGGCGAGACCAACGGCATCTACGTCGACGACAAGTCCTACTTCAACTACCAGGGCATGACCTCCAAGGAGATGCACACCCGCCACCGCGGAGAGGCCATCTACACCGCCGAGGTCGACGTCCACTTCCCCCAGCTCAGCGTCGGCGAGACCCTCACCTTTGCCGCCAACGCCCGCTCCCCCCGCAGGCTCCCCGAGGGCGTCTCCCGCACCCTCTACGCGAACCACCTCCGAGACGTCGTCATGGCCATGTTTGGCATCTCCCACACCATCAACACCCGCGTCGGCAACGAGTACGTCCGCGGCGTGTCCGGCGGCGAGAGGAAGCGCGTCACCATCGCCGAGGCCGCCCTGTCCTTCGCCCCGCTGCAGTGCTGGGATAACAGCACCCGCGGCCTCGACAGTGCCAACGCCATCGAGTTCTGCAAGACCCTGCGCCTGCAGACCGAGCTCTTCGGGAGCACCGCCTGCGTCTCCATCTACCAGGCGCCCCAGAGCGCCTACGACCTCTTCGACCGCGCCGTCGTCCTGTACGAGGGCCGCCAGATCTTCTTCGGCAAGGCCGACGAGGCCAGGCAGTACTTTGTCAACCTCGGCTTCGAGTGTCCCGCTCGTGCCACCACCCCCGACTTCTTGACCTCCATGACCTCCCCGCAGGAGCGCATCGTCCGCGCCGGCTTCGAGGGCCGCGCCCCTCGCACCCCCGACGAGTTCGCCGAGGCCTGGAAGAAGAGCGCCGAGTTCAAGGCCCTCCAGGCCGAGATCGAGGCCTACAAGGAGGAGCATCCCCTCAACGGGCCCGACGCCGAGGCCTTCCGGGCCAACAAGAAGGCCCAGCAGGCCAAGGGCCAGCGCGCCAAGAGCCCCTACACCATGTCCTACACCCAGCAGATCAAGCTCTGCCTGTGGCGCGGCTGGAGGCGTCTGATTGGCGACCCCAGCTTCACCCTCGGCGCCCTCATCGGCAACTTCATCATGGCCCTCATCATCGCCAGTGTCTTCTTCAACATCCAGCCTACGACGGCCAGCTTCTTCCAGAGAGGCGCCCTGCTCTTCTTTGCCTGCCTCATGAACGCCTTCGCCTCCGCCCTCGAGATCCTGACCCTGTACGCACAGCGGCCCATCGTCGAGAAGCACGACCGCTATGCCCTCTACCACCCGTCGGCAGAGGCCATCGCCTCCATGCTGTGCGACTTGCCCTACAAGGTGTGCAATGCCATCATCTTCAACCTGACCCTCTACTTCATGACCGGCCTGCGACGCGAGCCCGGCGCCTTCTTCTTCTTCCTGCTCATCAGCTTCGTCACCGTCCTGACCATGTCCATGGTGTTCCGCACCATCGCCTCCGCCTCCCGCACCCTGTCGCAAGCCATGGTCCCGGCCGCTGTCATCATCCTCGCCCTCGTCATCTTCACCGGCTTCATCATTCCCACCGACTACATGCTGGGTTGGTGCCGCTGGATCAACTACATCGACCCTCTCGCGTACGCCTTCGAGGCCCTCATGGTCAACGAGTTCCACGGCCGCCAGTTCCGCTGCCTGCCGCAGGACTTCATCCCCAGCGCCAGGGTTCCCGGCTACGACAACATCTCTCTCCAGAACAAGATCTGCTCTGCCGTCGGTTCCGTTGCCGGCTCCGAGTACGTCGACGGCGACTTCTACATGGCTACCAACTTCAAGTACTACTGGAACAACCGCTGGCGCAACTTTGGCATCGTTATTGCCTTCATGGTGTTCTTCCTCTTCTGCTACATGGTCGCTGCCGAGCTCGTCTCCGAGAAGAAGTCCAAGGGCGAGGTCCTCGTCTTCCGCCGGGGCCACAAGCCTGCCGTCTTCAAGGAGAAGTACAGCCAGGATGCCGAGGCTGGCGTCAAGGTCTCCGGCCCCGTCGTCGCCGCTGCCGAGAAGTCCGCCGCCGACAAGGAGACCGGCTTCATCCAGAGGCAGACCAGCGTGTTCCACTGGCAGGACGTCTGTTACGACGTCAAGATCAAGAGCGAGACGAGGCGCATTCTCGACCATGTCGACGGCTGGGTCAAGCCTGGTACCTTGACCGCTCTGATGGGTGTCTCTGGGGCCGGAAAGACGACGCTTCTCGACTGCCTGGCTGACCGGACCGCGATGGGTGTAATCACTGGCGACATGTTTGTTGATGGCCACGAGCGCGATGCCTCCTTCCAGCGCAAGACTGGCTACGTCCAGCAGCAAGATCTCCACCTGGAAACCACGACCGTTCGCGAAGCCCTCAACTTCTCCGCCCTTCTGCGTCAGCCGGCTCATGTGCCCCGTGCTGAGAAGCTGGCCTATGTCGATGAGGTGATCAAGCTATTGGACATGCAAGAGTACGCCGATGCTGTGGTTGGTGTCCCCGGTGAGGGTCTCAACGTCGAGCAGCGCAAGCGTCTTACAGTAAGCAGACATACCAGCTCCCTTGCAAACTTTTCAGTTCCATTCGCACATATATACTGACACTATTCCTCCTCGCCCCATAGATCGGTGTCGAACTTGCTGCCAAGCCCCCTCTGTTGCTCTTTGTTGATGAGCCCACCTCGGGTCTCGACTCGCAAACCAGCTGGGCCATTCTCGACCTGCTCGAGAAGCTGACCAAGAGCGGACAAGCCATTCTCTGCACCATCCACCAGCCCTCTGCTATGCTCTTCCAGCGCTTCGACCGCCTCCTCTTCCTGGCCAAGGGCGGCAGGACTGTGTACTTTGGTGACATCGGCGAGAACTCGCACAAGATGACGAGCTACTTTGAGAGGCACAGCGGCGCCAAGTGCCCGTCCGATGCCAACCCGGCCGAGTGGATGCTCGAGGTCATCGGCGCTGCCCCGGGCCACATTTCCGAAATCGACTGGTTCAAGACCTGGCGCGAGTCCGCCGAGTTCGAGGAGGTCCACGCCGAGCTCCAGCGCCTGCGCGACGAACCCGCCCCTGCCCCCACCTCCAAGGACAAGGCCAGCTACCGCGAGTTCGCCGCTGGCTTCGGCCTGCAGCTCCGCGAAGTCACGCACCGTGTGTTCCAGCAGTACTGGCGCACGCCCTCGTACATCTACTCCAAGACGGCGCTCTGTCTCTTGATCTCCCTCTTTATCGGTTTCGTCTTCTACAACGCCCCCAAGACCCTCCAGGGCCTCAACAACCAGATGTTCTCCATCTTCCAGCTCCTGACCGTCTTTGGCCAAATGGTCCAGCAGACCATGCCCTACTTTGTCATCCAGCGCTCCCTCTACGAGGTCCGCGAGCGGCCCTCCAAGGTCTACAGCTGGAAGGTCTTCATGCTCTCTCAGATCATCGTCGAGCTTCCCTGGAACACCCTGATGGCTGTCCTCATGTACTTTTGCTGGTACTACCCTCTGGGGCTGTACCGCAACGCCGAGGCCGCCGGCCAGGTCACAGAGCGTGGTGCCCTGACGTTCCTATTCCTGCTCGCCTTCATGCTCTTCACCTCGACCTTTACCGACTTTATCATTGCTGGCTTCGAGACCGCCGAGGCCGGCGGCAACATTGCCAACTTGCTCTTCATGCTGTGCCTCATCTTCTGTGGTGTCTTGGCCCGTCCCGGCGAGATGCCCCAGTTCTGGATCTTCATGTACCGTGTGTCGCCTTTCAACTATCTCGTATCGGGCATGCTGTCCACAGCGATTGCAAATACCAACGTCGTCTGCGCCGAAAACGAGCTCCTCCACTTTGCACCCCCCAAGTCGATGACTTGCGGTGACTACCTGGACGTCTACTCCAAGGCCACTGGCGGATACATTGTTGACAAGAATGCGACCGACATGTGCACCTACTGCACCGTCGGCGACACGAACCTGTACCTCGACCAGATCGGCGCCAAGTACGACGACCGCTGGCGCAACTTTGGCATCCTCTGGGCCTACATCATCTTCAACGTCTTCGCTGCCCTCGTTCTATACTGGCTCACTCGCGTGCCCAAGAAGTTTGGCAAGAAGGCCAAGAAGGAGTAAGATGCGTCACGTCCAATTCTCTCCTCATCTCTCTCTCTCTCTCTCTCTCTCTCTCTCTCGGGTACTCCATGCCCCTACTTCCCGCTCTATCCTTTTCAAAATACATGTCAAAATCATGGCGCGCGCCGGGGACCTCGTTCAATAAAGTAGAACATCAGCATTACCTTGCATAGACTTTGGGTTTCTGAATTTGGGGGTTCTAACTGTATTCATGGCTCCACCTGTACATAAAACAGTACGTGTTTTCTTAATACCATTTCATAGACGTTACGTCGACTCATCAAACTGCCACTTGTTCGCGATGAACTAGACAACCGTGCGTACCATCAATCGGAAGAGCGGGGAGCCACCAAAGCAATGAAGCAGCCGTTACTTGTCGAGTGCTTGTGACAGGCACTATGTGAAGGTATTAGTTCGTCCGCTCACTCCAGCGCCGCGGCCAGACTTGGCTCAAACGTACCATTTGATAGTAGACACCCTTCCGCTTCAACAGTGACGCATGGTCGCCCTTTTCTATCACCCGTCCGTCACCAAGAACAAAGATGATGTCAGCATTCTGGATGGTAGCCAGCCGGTGCGCCACCACAATCATCGTGCGGGCGTTTCTCGTGCGCTCAAAGACGGCCTGTACGGCCTTCTCTGTCTCAGAGTCCAGGTTGGAAGTCGCTTCGTCGAGGAGGAGCAGCCGTGGGTGGCGTATGAGTGCCCTTGCAATGGATATCCTCTGCTTCTGGCCACCAGACAAGGCGATCCCGCGGTTCCCAACGCTGGTGTTGTAGCCGTCTGGGAGTGACGAGATGAAGTCGTGGATCCCTGCGTCCCGGCACGCCTGGATGACGGCTTCGTCCGTGGTGGACTCATCGACGCCCATCAGCACATTTTCTTTGATGCTACCCTCAAACAGGCTAGGCTCTTGCGCGACGAGGGATATCTCCTTGCGGTAGTTGTCTAGACAGAGGTCCAGGATGTCAAGGCCATTGTACAATATGCGTCCGGACGATGGTCGATAGAACCTTGTACCGTTAATAACGCGCCATTCAAAAGAACGGAAACCGGTCGTGTCCTTGCTTACCTTTCTAACAAGGATATCACCGTTGTCTTTCCCGAACCTGTCTCAGCTGTCAATGGGCTTCCCCAAGATGGGTACAGAGCCAACGAGACTTACCGGAAGGTCCCACTACGGCTGCGAACTGCCCCTTTTCGATCTGGCATGTGTCAGCAGACTGGAATTGAGATGAAGAGAGGTGCCACTGCTGGAAGTACCGTCATATGCAATCCATTCAGCACGGGCGCATCTCGGGTGGGATACCGAAACCAGACGTCCCGAAATTCAACCTTGACACCCTTGTCGTCGTCGCATATGTCGCCAATGTCAAGCGATATCAGCCGACCGTCAGCGTGGTCGTTCTTCCGCAGCGCTATAATTCTATTGGCAGCGACTGTGGCCTTGGCGATGTCTGTACGAGTTCTGCATCAGTCGGGATACGACCATATTGTGGGTGATCCTGTTTGCCTACTTGGACCGAAACTTAACCATTGTCCAGCGCCAATGCCTCCCTACATCCACACCATGAGCTTTCAGACTTTCAGGCAACTTCCATGACTCAGTAACTGACCTGCAGAACAGCGATGTATACAATAACTGCCATAGATGGTCAGGGATCAAGTGAGATACAGCGTCACGTCGGGGATCACTTACCATATTGAAACGGCCAGTACTCGTGCTCGGCCATCAATTTACCGCCGTACCTAAAAATAAAATAAAAGATTAGCATAAGATTTCTACTTACATACCTGCTACTTGTAGGCCATACCATAGGATGAACGCCATGCATGGCAAAGAGATACTGTCACTGAGGGCGAACAGCAATGTCGACAGACTCGACTTGACCAAGGACTTCTGTATGTGCGTTTGTAGCAGGTATTCGTAACGACGACAGATAGCGTCCTCGAGCGTGAACGACGACACCGTGCGAAAGGCCCCTATCGACTCAGTGGCAAACTTGGCACTCTCGGCGAAGACTTTGTTGTTCATCTTCTCGAATTGTCTTTCGTACCGGACGCGGAAGAAGGCGGCACTCAAGATGATAGGCATGGTCGTGCATACGGTGACCAATGTTAGCTTCCAGCCAAAGTAGAAAGAAATGGTAAGGCACCCGATCACGCTGAGTACGGAGATGACGACAAAGGCCATATTCATGCCTAGCAACTGCTGCAGTTGAGACGGATCTGTGGCTAGCCGAGCCGTCATGGCCCCGATGGAGTGCTCTGCCTCGTCGAAGAACGACACTTCCTTCGATAGGATGCTCCGCAGATACTCCTTGCGGTAATGATGCGTGATGTTCTGCCGTGCATTAGTAGCGTTCTGGCTTCTCACGCCAGGAAACTGGGAGTGCAGGGGTTGTTGCGTACAAACGAGACTGTGGTTGCGGCCCACCCGAGAATGAAGTAGCAGATGCCAACACCGACTGCAAGCATTACAAACATCAAGCACCAGAAATTAGACAGTGGCTGCAGAAAGCTCGAATTGCCGAGGAGCTGAAACAACGAGACGAGGTTCGCGAATAGGAATGCCTGGACAGGAGCACTGGCTATAGGTTTGTCAGATGGTCAAGATTCACAATTCAATGCAGGGTAACATTGAAGGCGCAACAGGCTGTCAAGTCAACCGCTGGCGAGTCTGTCGGTGCATGACTTACCTCCACCCCCGATTGCGCCAATCAGGAGAAGGAAATACCAAGGGCTCTGGCCTTTCTGCTCCCTCAGAAGCATGCCAAAGCTGCCGAAGAGCCCGCGTTCCTTGGGCGCGTCCGGCATTTGTGTACTGCCGCTGGTCCGGTGCTCCGCTCTTCTCTCCGTCGAACTCGGCTCGATACTCTTCTTTTCCGAGGTCTTTTCCGAGAGACTAGATCTGTCCTCATCATCGTCATCGTCTTCGGACATTGCGAGCTGCTGCGTAGTTGCAAGCGTCCGATAGGCCCCTCCCTCACGGGCCATGAGATCAGCGTGTGTGCCCTGCTCGACGACTCTTCCTTTTCTCATCACAATGATGTTGTCTGCTTTCTGAATGGTCGACAGCCGGTGCGCAATCATAATGGTCGTTCGGTTCTCGGATACCTTGTCCAGGGCCGCTTGCACGATCTGCTCGCCTCGCACATCAATGGCGCTGGTAGCCTCGTCAAGAATGAGAATCTTTGGCTGTCGCACGATGGCTCTGGCGATTGCTAGTCTCTGCCGTTGGCCACCACTGAGTTTGATACCTGCATCGCCAACCACTGTCTCATAACGCTGTGGGATCATGAGAATGAGGATACCGCCTCGTGATGCTTGCTGAAAGGGAAGAGACTCACGTCGGGAAGGCGAAGAATAAACTCTTCGGCAAAGGCCTCTTGGCATGCTTCCTTGACCATCTTTGTCTTGATCTCTATCGAGGCGTTCTCCCATTGCGTTCCTACCAAACCGTACTCCACATTGCGATATATGCTGTTGTTGAAGAGCGCGGGCTCCTGCTGGACGAGCCCGATCTGTGATCGCCACCATTTGATGTCGATCTGTTTGAGTAGGTGGCTCCCGACGCAGATTTTGCCATTTCTCAGCCATAGAACCTGCATAATGGTGAGTCATCGCTAGGCTCTGTGACGTGCTTCGAAAAAGATCTCGACTCTTACCCTTGGCTTTAGAGCCGCGTCTCCGTCCATCTCGTACCATCGCTCAACGAGAGCAACGATTGTGCTTTTGCCCGATCCGGATGGACCGACCAGAGCAGTGGTCTTGCCAGCGGGGAAGCGGACACTCAGGTCATCCAGGATCCTCACATTGGGCCTTCCAGGAAAGGCAAAGTTGACATGGCTGAACACTATGTCCTCACCAGCAGAGACATCGGGATCCTTTAGACCCCCAGGGACGGGTCGCGGAGCATCGATAGTGGCAAAGAAAATGGCAGCCGCGCCGGCCGCTCGAGCTGCGGCAGATAAGGGCGTCGTGATGCCCCCAATTGATGACGCCATCATCATGACCGAGAGCAAGACACTGGGCTTTGATGTCAGAAAAAAAAAGAGTCTTTCTCGCCGGTGATACGGATGGCTAATCGTTCTAGGAAGGGTCACTTACATGATGAGTGTCTGTGGGCTATCAATCTGACCCGCCATGTACATCTTTAGCGAATACCAGAAGCACAACGCAAATGTCCTATATTCTATTGATTAACCAATAGCAGTCCCCTTGAGCGCAAAAATACTTACGCAAAGATAGAGAAGAAGACTGCATCTGTTAGTCTGACGGATTTGGCACAGACACATTGCTCTTGAGCCTCACTCACCTGGGGCTTGCTGACACGCAACGATGGGTGGCATCCGCATTCCGCGACGACGTGATTCTTGTATCCAAGATTCGTAGCGCTTCATCATCTTCTTCTCCGCCCCAAACGCGGAAACCATTCTGATCGAGCTGAAGATCTCATTGGCGACCGTCGAAGCCTTGATTTCAGCATTCTGGACGCGGTTCATGATCCTTACCAGGACGGGAGTTGTGACTCCGTATACGGAAATGACCAGCACAAGGCCGCTGCCTGTGACCAAGGCAAGTCTCCAATTGAAGAGCAATGATATTATCAGGGCACTTGTGACGAGCGAAACTGCTTGCAGGAAGCTCGACAGCTTCTCAGAGATGCCAAACTGCAGGGTGCTCGCTGTGATGGTGATGATTGCCGCAGTCTGGCCTGGCGGCATCAGGTCGAGGACCGACACTGGCTGCTCATAAAGACACCTCATGTACTCAAGCCTTATTGCTGCTGATATACGTAGACTCGACATGCGAAAGCCGAACTTCATAAAATCAAGCGAGCCAACTCGTCAGCCTCCAGCCCTGTCGAAAAAAAACGGAAAAAGAAAAGCAAAGCTAGTCATGACGTACGAAAGCAATGTAGCTCAGCACTAGTCGGGCAATAAAGATGTACACCAAGTAGAGCCTGCTTGTGTGTGAGCCCAATTCGGTACAAGACGGTTTGGTCGCTTATTCCCCCCAGCGCAGTACGTACACGCATTGTATGATTTCTTGACGGAACATGTCCTCTGTTGTCTCGCCAGTGTTTGCCTCATGGTAGTAAGCGGTGAATGAGCCAAAGACTCGACCTGGCCTGTATCAACATATGTCAATAATTCAGGAGGTTGGTAGACAAGTCCTACCAAAAATGATGGTCATCATAGGCATCGTAACTCCTGAGCAGATAGAGGCTAGCACCGCAAATAGCAGAACCAGCCGGTCTTTCCATGACGAGTATGTAAAAATCCTCTAGATAGATGGTGTTAATAAGCAATGAAGTTTTTGAGAGCTCAACAAAGAAAGATGTGATATTACCAGAAAGTGCCTGAACCTGGTTTTGTGGTCGAGGTTCAGAACGGACTTGCCACTCTGATCACCCCCAGAGGAGGCACCAGCCTGCTTGGACGCTTGCGTCTGCCGTGATGGAGAGAGCGTCGCTACTGAGGGCTTGGATGACCCAAGCCTGTGTGCGCTGGCGACTAGAGTTGCGGCAGAAGACCTGTTAGAGACGACATGCCCCTCGGGAGAAGCCGACGGCGCCAGAGTTGCTGCCGAGGTCTTGTTGGAAAGAAGCGGATCCGCACTTCCGGGCTGTCCGAGGGGTGCAGAAGAAGGTTTTGCACTCATAGCCTTGTGATTGATCTTCAGGGCTTCCTTTTCGTCGATGGTCGGCATTGCGTTCTCAGCCGCGCCGTGCTTGTCGTCACTGTCTGCCGCCATGCTGCTTGGCCGCGATGTGGGTCGGGAGGTCAGTATCAGAGTATGGCTATCTCCAGAGCCAAGTCGAACCGCTGGCAGGCCGTCGGTATCCTCGAGACAGCTCGGACACTAGGCTTAGGGGCAGTAGGATGATGCCCTTTGCGTCGCTTGGGACGAAGGTAGTGAAGGTGAGTATGGTGCTCTTCACCACATGTTCTCACACAGTGATCCGACACCTAGGTAGTAAGATAGCAGGAAGATCGGCAACAAGACGCCCCGAGTGTCTGGACACTCTATCACATGTTGTTTTGGGTCACGTATGAAAAATCGAAAGCCGTTATGAGTTCTGAGGACATGCAACTCAGGCGGGTTCAGAAGGCACAGAGCAAGTGGCGAGTTCGGTCGGGCCTGTGAGAGGTAGCCGGCTATAATCAACTGTGGCCCTGACGTCCGGAATACTCTACGTCGTTCCACTGTCAAGAAAGGTGGGTTCCTCTTTCACTGCAAGGTAACAATTTCATGCGCCAGATGCCAATCTGTCGGTAATATAACCAGCAGAAAGTGCCAAGGAATGAACCCCCTGCACGCCGGCCTCCGTCTCCGGAAACGGCCCTGACTGTCCCCTTCCAACACTAAATAAAACTTTATGCCCCAGCCCAAACAAGGCACCCAGTGAGGGCCCAAAGAGTGTATGGTGGAGGCGGGACATGTGCTCCATCTCAGAGTGGTCGCACGTGGGCTCAGTGCCTGGAAAGACGAGACTAAAGGGCAGGGCAGAATGCCGTGGGAATTCCCGACATAGTTTTATCATTGGAGCCGAGATGGTTGCCGGTGGTAAGAAGAGAGTGGCTCTCCGAACAGAAGTTGTAATGGGATTGTGAGCCTGGAGTCCAAAGTGGAATATAGGCTGAATGTGCGCAAGTCGTACCGGACCGCGTTTTTATATTACAGGCAAACCCCTGTCCGCCCTCTTTGATGAGCTTCTTTTAAATAATAAGTCCCATTTTTAACTTGGCCAATCATCATCTTCTCCCGAGCAGATGCTTTCTGTGAGATATGCTGAACCTTGCAACTGCGTCGTCTCGGCCTGGGTATACCGTAGAATAGCCCATACGATTTGATTTTCGCGAAGGTATTGTGCAAAAGCCTGATAGCGAATAATTCAAGACGATCCCATGACCACAAGTGTTAAATCTGCTTGTCTCACTGATATGGAAAAAAAGACTTTCCCGCTAAGTCGTGGAGACATATGAGTGGGAATGCTAAGAGATTTGGGAGACGCGCGGGAATCTAGGCTGCGATGAGCTCGTCTAAGAATCTTGGAGAATTCACTGGATCCTCCAAACTGCGTCAAGAGTAGGATGGTGTCCACGACGGGTATCACATACTGAGCAGCAGCTAAGCTAGGGAATTCTCCGAGGAACATGGCCGGCTAAGCTCAAAGAAGCTTTGAGCTACTATATGCAAGTCTCATGGAAAGAATACTGGCATGAGATAGAGAAGACCCATCTGCCCGGGTTGAGTAGCTATAGTCAATAACCTTGTCCTCTACTTCGATCAATAAGGCCGTCATCATGTACGTACGCGAAGCTACTAAGACCCTACCTATAACAGCCGTTATCGAACTTGAGCTCGGTACCTTCTCGAGCCATAATGGCCCTCACAAATACCGTTGGGCCGATAGTAGATTACCGGGTCTAGACCGTGGAAAGGTCTAGACGGGCTTTGGAAGTATTTTCCAAGGACACTGTATTATCAATGCAGAAAGCTTAGCCTGGGCAGCCGTTGCGGGTTGCAGATATTGCAGCGCCGCGGCACGCCCGGGGGGGCCAGCGTCTCGATGCTCGACAAGACCCTGAAGGCACTGACCTCATCAAAGCCAGCCGATGTCTCACACGTGGCAAGCCATGGGCGGGCTGCCACCCGCCTTTGTAGAAGGATGGATGCACTCTCGCATGAACGGGTCGTACTGGAGTTTTGATAGCAACGTTGCTTGTAATATCAGCCTTGTTTTTCTGGTGCCATGCCATATTTACGTTGCTCTTGCAAGGCTGCAGTAAAGGAAACCTCAGGCTCTGCTTTGCCGCCATCTCCTCAAGAATCAATCCCATACTGTGCTATAGCCGCACGCACAACGTCTCCCAGCTCCTTGACCGTCTCCTTGTCGCGCGGCAACGTATGCCCCTTGGCATGGTCGAAAAGATAAGCAGTGTCCGGGTCACAGACGTTGTAAAGAGCCAACGACCCATGCAAATACGGGTCCAAGGAGCCAACTGTACAACACATTTGATTGTCAGAACCACTCAAGCCTGTAGGGCATGGGGAACTCACTGATGTGGCATGTGGGAATCTCGATCATGTCGTCTGACTCGTCGCTCAGAATCATGTGGTGTGTCACTGGGTGTACGGGGGGCCACCCGGCGAAGAAGATGGCATATTTGAACATGGCCGGGATCCCTTGTTGCTCGGCTCGGTGCTTCTCGTAGAGCAGCAGTGTTGCCGCCACGGTAGCGCCTTCAGAGTAGCCAATGATGCCGTCAAAAGGGCCCCTTTCTTCCATGATTTTGAGAAGATACACCAGCGCATTGTTAGTGCTTCGGTGACTCGAGGCCAGGCCTTCCTTCATCAGCTCGCGCATGGTATCCTCTGGGGTCTCGCAATCAGGGAAATTGCGGATACGGGCCAACACATCGTCGTCCTCGGTGGTCTCGACATCCTCATCGGGTTCTATGAATCGATAATAGGGCGGCTTGCCAAAGTAGTCCTCGAATCCCTCTGGGGGTGTAGTGCTGCAGGGAGCATTGATGAAGTGAAACATGGCTGTCCCATCTTCAGTCAATTCCTTGAGGATCGGTGCTGCGCTCGATTAGCATGGTCTGGGCTGCGTGTGATTGAGCATGCGTGTGCCCACACCGTCACTTACCCAGCTGCACCTGAAATTTCTGGAGTCAAGTCAGCTTTCCATTTGAAAAGTTCGTGGGGCTCAGGTGGACATACATCGGCACTGCCATATGCTCCTGGAAGACAGAGAAACCTCATGTTGGCGGAGGACAGAGAGCATAGGCGGGCGCCTGGTACAGTGGCCGATCTTGGGGCTTTGAACACCTCTTAGACAGATAAGACAAACTGAATTGAGCTGACATCGAGGTTTTGTCTTCTTGCGCCTCGCCTTTTGCTTGTGCTCTCATCATTCTGTGCGGACAGGCCAAAGTCCGGTAGTCGGTACTTTAGTAAGATCGACACAAGCCTCCCAAGCAATCGAACACCAATGCAACTAAGCCGGGCTGCATTGCTATCAGACCAGGTTGCCGAGTGTATAGGTCTTGGCATTCCTGGTAATCTCCTTATGCGTAAAAGTTTTCATCTGACCGGCGTTTCGCGGCGGAGAGTATCAGTTACTGACAAGTTGAGGCTAAACAGCTGCAATGCACGCATCTCGGCGGAAAGCTTCTGGAAAAACTGAGCGGAGGTTTAGATTGTGAGGAACTGCGACGGGTTTCCTGATGTACGGAAGAAAGGAAGTAGTGCGACAGGAGCTGCACAGCAGACATACGAGGTGTGGAGGCCGATTGGAGGTCGGGTGAATTGCATGGTTACTAAGGCAGCCCATACTCAAAAAGCCGGATGAGGGTAAATTAATGCTCTCTGACTGTAAGGCTCCTTCTCGCCCGTACCAGAGGAAGCAGGTTTCGCCTATATGAAAGGGGACGCAACCTTATTAATGAGAGATAAGCAGCAGTGCCAGCATGTGAACATAGCTCTGCATTCTGAACCACTGCGCAGACAGCTCACTACATAGTCGGCCTGCATCCAGGACGGACCTGGAAGGCGGAGGATGCCTGTATGTCACGGCTCTTCTTCCGGAAGCACATGGCGAGCACCGTGGGCGGATTAAGGGTGTCCGGAAAACGACATGGACACATTTGGCTATTTTCACATGCTCCCTCTTCTGATGGGCGAAGGCGATGGGCGTGCCCATGGATGCTTACAGAGTGCCGGGAAGCTGAAGGGTTCTGTTACTGAAGATCCATGCCGTTTGGGGACGTTCTTGGGTCGGACGGTCGGCATCCTTGCCAAGTCGGAGCATTTCCCTCAGTGGCAGGCAAGCAGGCAGGCCTACCTCTCGGCCCCCATGATTACCACTCTGTCCCTGAGCGAATGTGTTTTAGGTGCTGACTTCAGGCACACGACCTACACTTGCCGTACATTAGCCCCGGTACTCACTTGCTGGGTGCCGATCCGGGGCGTGCAGTCGGCCTGTAAGTCATCCTCCGACGGCGTAGACGCGCTGTAGCCGGTCTGCAGACTCCTGCTGCGTGCACTGGTTTGAGGACTTCGTGAACATTGTTCCTACTCTCTGGAGTCTCTCTTTGTTGGTGCCATGGACTGATCTGAAGCGCGCTAGCCTCTCTCTCGCTTGGTTCTCCCAGGGGCATGACAATGCTCTGTGTCAGGATCAATTCCCGGTAGATTAAATGGATTTTTGCCGCCAGCTCACCCATTGAAATGCACCCCTGTCAGTCCGTACACTTTCGCCGATGGACTACATACTACATACCTACCTCGTCCTTATTGGCATTGTGGGGGTGGAGAAACTCCAGGGCATGTGTCTTCCTCATGTAACCCTCCAGCGCTCCATTCGGGTAACTCTACCACAGCCTTTGACGTCCTCAAAGAAGGGGAAAAGAAGGTTGAAGACCTGGAGGTCTGGCCTACCGAAGTACCGCGCTCAAGTACCGGTCAGTCACGCTGGATAAGCGAATCATGGTATTTCATCCCTCTTTGTGTTCCTCTCTCCCCCGCACCCAGCGATGTCACCTTACTCCAACTTCAGTCGCAGCATCATAGAACGTCCTTGCCAACGATAGTATATCTATAGTTGTGACTACAAACACATGCATACACACACCCTCGATACACGCACACTAAATAAGCCCACATATGTCCTCGGTGACCTACCTGATGTGATCAGGGGATACAGGAACATCCCCGATTTGATTGTGTCAGGGATAGCCTCTGGTTGCTCCTGAGCGCTGACTTGTCCCAGCGGCGGGAGTATAATATGTGGAACCTGCTCCTAACCTGTTCTGGTAGCGTTGCGCCTGTCTGAGAACGAGCCGTGTCCTTGCCACAAGGGGCCAGATTGAAAGATATCTCACAATGTGTTTGTTCATTTGCAACACATGTCACTATCTGAATGCGGGCGACACATGGCCGAAAGGTGCGTTATCGAGGTTGAACCCCTGGCATCATCGGCCAAAGGCGCCTCGAGTTTTCATTGTCTGATTCGAGCCGAGATTAGCCGACAACCTCATATATATCGCACTTGTTAATGCTTGACTCTTTTTTTATCAGGCTCCTGGCTGCCTTGTGATGCCCGGGCTTGATCTGCCTGCCATGTAGAGACTCGTGCATCCGCTCACTCTCTGCGCCCACCGTCACACCAAGATCTCCCCCATCCTTGTCTGGCCACACAGGCAGACTATCATTGCCTCTCTTGCTTGTGTCGCCATGGAGTTGCTGTTTTCCCCACACCTTCATCGCTTACAAGCTCCGCAATCCCGACTCCACTTGCCCTGCCTGTGATGCCATGAATAAATTATCCTGGCCAGTCGTGTCGATTGTTGGACTTAGCCGCTCACGCCAGAACCTCGCTTTGTCTTCTGAGTGGTATGGCAGGCTCCGGTTTGCGTTGCTCCCCAGATGCTATCAACCCATTTGGAAGCGTTCCAGACCACCCGATCTGCCAAATCCGCTGCCCCCACCATCATCTACCCGCCCAGCCTACCAGTCTTGACCATATTGACACCAAATTGACACGGCTGGCCAAGCGGAAGCTCACTGCTGATTTGCAATCTGCAATCTACTCCCCTTACCGTGAGGCATTCCCGTGTGGGCGCATGCACCCGCTCAACATGGAACCTCCCAAGACCAGATCGCTCAGAAACCCGGCGCAGGCAATGTCCATCTTGTCAGCCAAGAGGCCAGCAGGGGCTCTCTATCTCGGCATATAAGCTAGCCAGTAAAGCCACATCGTCTCCAGCATGCCTCGATACGATGTGAATGCTTGTGTTGTGCCGGGCCTTGTTCAAGCCTCCATCGTCTTGCCAAGCACATGTGACATATCCTTTTGACGACAGACAATCTCGCCTTCGCCTTCGCCCAGGGGACTTGACTCATTGTTGCAACCTGTCTCTTTGACTTGGCGTGGCCTCGTCCTGGCTGCCGCGGGATCTGTCGACCATGGCGCCCATTGCCATCACCCCCGACCGCTCGACTGCAAGCCCGTCTGGCGATAGCGAGAATGGCTTCTTCCATGGCAATGGTAGCGTGCCACGCTGGAACATCAACGGCTGGCGCAATGGCCATGTCAATGGGAACGGCTCGAATGGAACGGCGGCGCGTCAGCCTGGAACTGCTTCCAACGTCCATGGCAACAGGCAGATGCCCATTGCCATTGTCGGCATGGCCTGTCGCATGCCCGGGAACGTCTCCAGCCCAACGGAGTTCTGGGAACTGCTCTCCCGGTCTCGAACAGGCTTCACTGCCATTCCAAAGGAGCGCTTCAACACGGAGCTCTTCCATCATCCAAATGCCGGCCATGGCGGAAGTTACACGCCTGTCGGGGGTAACTTCCTCAACGTCAACCTGGCCAACTTCGATGCTCCTTTCTTTGGGTTGACCGAGAAAGAAGCCATCTCCCTGGACCCGCAGCAGCGATTGCTGCTCGAGTGCACCTTTGAGGCTCTCGAAAACGCCGGCATCCCCAAGCATGACATTGTAGGAAAGGACGTTGGTGTCTTCATCGGCGGCTCTTTTCCAGAATACGAGTCACACCTCTTTCGTGACAGTGACACCATTCCAATGCACCAAGCTACTGGTGAGTGATTTACGAGATATCATCTTCGCCTTTCTCTCCTTGTTGGAGAATGCTGACACGTATCCTGTCATAGGCTGTGCGTATGCCATGCAATCCAACAGGATCTCCCACTTCTTCGACCTCCGTGGTCCCAGTTTTACTTCAGACACCGCGTGCTCGTCGAGCATGGTGGCTATTCACCTCGCTTGCCAGAGTCTCCGAGCTGGTGAATCGAGTTGCGCTCTCGTCGGCGGCTGCCACTTGAATATGTTGCCCGAGTTTTGGATTTCTTTCTCAACCTGCCGCCTCTTGGCTGACTCTGGACGGTCTTTCGCTTTTGATAGCCGAGGCACAGGCTTTGGGCGGGGTGAAGGCTGCGGCATGCTGATCCTGAAGCCTCTCGACCAGGCTCTGAAAGATAATGACTCTATCAGGGCCGTCATAGCAGGCACTGGCCTGAATCAGGATGGGAAGACGCCTGGTATTACCATGCCAAGCGGCGAAGCGCAAGGTAAGGACTGGCCATTGGGGGGGGGTTTGATCTCCTTTTCCTACTTCGTTCGATCACTGATATCTGATTCCATGACCAGAGAGCTTGATGCGAAAGGTCTACCAAGAGGCGGGGCTTGACCCTCACGACTGTGGGTTCGTCGAAGCACATGGCACTGGCACCAAGGTGAGTTCCTCGCTCGATGCTGCACAGCATTGATTGTGCTGTGAGTGTAGTCACGACCACATACTCACCTGGCAATAGGTTGGGGACCCGATTGAAGCCACCGCCATCCATAACGTTATTGGGCAAGGCCGAGGCCCTAGAGACCCGCTCTACATTGGCTCAGTGAAATCAAACATTGGACACTTGGAGGGAGCTTCGGGTATGTTCGCTGTCTAAGCCCCATGCAGACTGTACGAATATTAAACTAGACGACAGGTATCGCCGGCATTATCAAGGCAACTTTGATGTTGGAGCGGGGCTTCCTCGTCCCTAATCATGACTTCAAACAACCAAATCCCAAGATACCCTGGAAAGAATGGAACCTCAAGGTTCCCCTCAACCAGCGGCCCTGGCCCAAGAACAAGAAGTACATCAGTGTCAACAATTTTGGCTTTGGTGGTACAAATGGGCACGTCGTTCTTGAGGCGGCACCCTTCGTGCAACGTCCGCATCATGAACTCGAGCCGCCGAGCGAGAGGAAGAAGCTGGCGCACAGGAAGCTCTTCGTCTTCACAGCCAACGACAAGGCGGCTCTTGGGGCAGTTCTGAAGAACATGGTCATCTACCTCGAGCAGAGGCCTGAGATCTTTCAGATGCAGCTGATGAACGACATCGCCTACACGCTCGGCCAGCGAAGATCACTTCTGCACTGGAGAGCGGCAATTCCCGCCAAGGACTCCTTTGAACTGATCGAGGCTATCAACGGCGATAAAGTTGTCTCTGGCAAAGAGGTCGAGCCGCTCCGGATCGGTTTCATCTTTACAGGCCAGGGTGCACAGTGGTGTGCTATGGGCCGTGAGCTGTACAAGCAATACCCAGTGTTTGCCAACGCTCTTGATCGTGCAGATGAGTGTCTCATCAACCTCGGCTCGCAGTGGTCTCTCATTGAAGAATTGAGCAAGGACTCGGAAACTACCAGGGTCAGCGAAGCACACATCAGCCAGCCTTCTTGCACAGCTATACAGCTGGCTCTCACCGATCTTCTCCGCGACTGGGGGGTGCACCCTGCTGCAGTGGCTGGGCACTCGAGCGGGGAAATTGGAGCAGCTTATGCGGCTGGTATCATTAACTTCGAGTCTGCCATGGCGATCGCCTACCACCGTGGCCGGCTGATCCCTGTCTTGAGGCAAAGGTTCCCCGATCTCAGAGGCCGCATGACGGCTCTCGGAGGCAGCAAGGATGATGTGCAGCCTTTGATCGATGGATTGGTCGAAAAGGAGGTGCGAATTGCTTGCTACAACAGTCCCTCCAGCCTGACCATCTCTGGAGACGAAGCCGCGCTTGTCGAGTTGGAGAAGCTGGCGGAACAAAGGCAGATGTTTAACCGACGACTGGTGGTCGACACTGCCTATCACTCCCACCACATGAACCTCGTGGCCAAGGAGTATCGTGCGTCGCTTCTGAAGCTTCAGGCACCAGTGTCGACAAACGTCAAGTTCCACTCATCACTGCACGGGCGATTGATTGATGCGGCCGAGCTCCAGGCCAACTACTGGGTCGACAACTTGACATGCCCAGTCAAGTTCTCGGACGCTATCGAGAGCATGCTGGACTCGGACGGGGAACACCGCACCGGGGTCAATATGCTTGTAGAGCTAGGCCCTCATTCCGCGCTTCAGGGGCCGATCAAGCAGATCCTGAAGGCCATCGGCGGACCTGCTGCCAAGGTCCCCTATGCTTCTGCCCTGGTTCGCAACAAGGACGCTGTAGAAAGTGCCATGGATTTTGCTGCCGTGCTCTTTAGTAAAGGCGCTGCCCTCAACTTCGAAGCCATCAACTTCTCCGCTCCCAAGAAGCAGCCTATTCTAATGACTGATCTACCGCGATATCCTTGGAACTACTCGACGAAGTACTGGCAGGAGTCCCGCATGACGCAAAAACACAAGCATAGAAAGGAGAAGCGCAGCGATGTTCTCGGAGTCGAGGCGATCTATTCCAATGACCTGGAGCCAACTTGGCGAAACATTGTGCGGCTCGATGAATTGCCCTGGCTGCGCCATCACCGTATCCAGTCACTGACAGTGTTCCCGATGGCGGGATTCATTATCATGGCTATGGAGGCAGCAGCTCAGAGAGCGGCCGCCAAGGACGCCGACGTTGACCGTTTTGAGCTCAAGGACATCTCCATGCTCAAACCTCTGATCCTACCCGATGAGGACTTAGAGATGACGATCAACCTGCGTCCACACCAAGAGGGAACGTTGGTCTCCTCGGAAACCTGGGATGAATTCCGTATCTGCTCGTACTCCCACATCAAAGGATGGACTGAGCACTGCGTCGGTCTCGTCGCCACACAGGCCCTCCAGGCAAACGAAGTAGACGACGACCGACGAATCCAGGCCTCCAAGACCTTGCTGCACTGCTCAAAATCGGCCATCAACTCGAACCCAGACGCCGCGGTTGTGGACCCGAAGAAGATGTATAGCTCACTAGAGGCTCTTGGGGTTGCGTTTGGTCCGACCTTCCAGGGGGTCAAAGAATGCAAGGCCTCTGAAACGTACTCCATGGCCAGCATCGTAATGACAGATATCGCCAAGGAGATGCCGGGCGGCCATATGTCCTGCCCGATACTCCATCCCACCCTCATCGAGTCCGTCATTGGGATCTACTGGCCCATCCTCGGCGCAGGCCGCACTGGCATCGACACGATATATCTACCCTCTTCCATTGGCAGAGTATCCGTATCCAAGAGCGCTGCCCTGTCGACTAGGGAGCCGGGATCGGAGCTCCAGGCCTACTGCAAAGCAGATCTCCCCATCCCGGTGGTGAAGCCGACTTCAGTTTCAATGTTTGCCACGAGCGGCGACGACCCTACCGAAGCCGCCATCGCTATAGAGAACATGACGATTTCTCCCATCATTGACGGCGAGACGCAGTTCGAAGCCAACAACCCCCGAGAACTATGCTACAAGCTCCAGTGGGAGCCTGCGTTGGAGCCCCTCCACGGCACACCCACCGAGTACGTGGTAGTGAATGGAGTGGAGGACGGGAAGCATGAGCAGAGCTACCCCAAGACCCCTCTGGTCATCATACATGAGGATGCACCATCGCAGGAGCTGGTCGCCCTCAGCCTGGCCTCGGCACTGGACCAGGTCACGGGGAGAATGCCAGAGGTTGGCGCATTTGAAAGCGTGGATGCTACTGGAAAGATATGCATCGTTCTGTCAGAACTCTACCGGCCGTTGTTGGCGTCTCTCACACCAGCGGCTTTTGCGGCACTGCAGAAGATCGTAACCAAGGCAGAGGGTTGCCTCTGGGCTGTCCGGGGTGCCTATGAAAAGTCTAGCAATCCCGACCTCAACATGATTATGGGCCTCAGCCGATCTATCCGGTCAGAGACGGCGATGAAGTTTGCCACTCTTGACCTGGACGACGCGTCGCCACTCTCTGAGAATGATACCGCACGAGCTATACTCAAGGTTCTGGCGGCAGCATTCGGCCCCGACTCGTCGGCCACCAGTGAGCTCGAGTTCATGGAACGTGCCGGTTCGTTCTTCACCCCGCGCATAGTCAATGACGACAAGATGAACGAGTACGTCCACAGACAGACCAATCCATCCGCGCTCGAGCCAACACCTTTCGGGGAGCCCGGCAGAAATCTCAAGATGGTCTTGTCTACGCCGGGGGCACTGGACACGCTTCACTTCCTTGACGATGAAGCAGCGGAAGCCCCGATTGATGGCGATGTGATCGAGATCCGAGTCAAGGCCATCGGTATGAGTTTCCGAGACATCATGGCGGCCAAGGGGCAGGTGCAAGGGGAATTTGGCTTCGAAGTCAGCGGTGAAGTGATCCGTGTCGGGAACGCCGTCACGCATCTTCACCAGGGAGATCGGGTGGCTGCCGTCACAGAGGGAGGGTATGCCACCACGACACGCACGAAAGCCGACAAGGCGTTCAAGATCCCAAAGGACATGTCCTTTGAGGAGGGAGCGACGCTCCCGCTGGCTTACAGCACGGCTTACTACAGCCTGGTCGAGGCCGGGCGCCTCAGCGAAGGCGAGACGGTGCTGATCCACGCGGCGGCAGGGGCAGTCGGCCAGGCAGCAATTTGCATTGCACAGATAGTTGGTGCCAACATCTACGTGACCGTTGGCAGCGCTGAGAAGAAGGCCCTCCTCATGAACGAGTACGGCATTCCTGAAAGCAACATATTCTACAGCCGCGACACATCCTTTGGACTTGCCGTCCGACAGGCAACCAGTACGGGCGGCGTGGATGTGGTCCTTAACTCGCTGACCGGGGATGGTCTGAGGGAGTCGTGGGGTTGTCTGAACGAGTTCGGCCGGTTCATCGACATTGGCAAGCGGGATGCCGGCCACAAGACACGTCTGGAGATGATGCACAGCGACAACAATGCGAGCTTCATCTCGGTGGATATCCTGGCCATGGCGGCTGGCAGGCCTGCCGTCATGAAGCGGCTAGTAGCCGATGTCTCTAGGCTTCTCAACTACGGCAAGATCAGGCCCATCTCGCCCATCAACACGTTCACCCTGTCGGAGGCCGAGCAGGCGCTCAAGTCGCTCCAAGGAGGGAGGCTCCCGGGCAAGTTGGTGGTAGTGCCACAGGCCGAGGAGATCGTACAGGTGAGTCAAACCAAGCAGGCATACATTATGGTCCTCTTCCACCTGTCCGTCACTGACACAATGACACACAGGCGACGCCATCCAGGAAACTAAACGATCTGCTGCGGCCGGATGCAACCTACATCCTTATTGGCGGCACCGGTGGCCTGGGCAGAAGCATGGCCAGATGGATGGTGGGCAAGGGCGCCAGACATATTGTCCTGATCTCCCGGACCGGCGCGACTACCGGGCCCGTTGGGGAGCTCATTGCCGAAGCAAAGGCAACAGGTGCCGAGGTTGTGGTAAGGCCATGCAACGTGGTCGACAGAGCGGCGGTGGACGCACTGCTCAGCCAAGAGCTACAAGATCTGCCTCCGGTCCGTGGAGTCGTTCACGGTACTATGGTCCTTCACGTAAGTGATTTCGGAGTTTCGTTTCCACATGAGAAAATTGTTCGAATGGTTGACATGTCATTCCAGGATGTCCTATTTGAACGCATGGCATTTGAAGACTACGACAGTGTCATCGAAGGCAAGGTGCGTGGTGGGTGGAACTTCCACCACGCTCTCTCCGGCGTCCCGCTGGACTTCTTCGTTGCCATCTCGTCGGTATCAGGCGCGGTGGGCAACAGGGGGCAGGCTGCCTATGCGGCGGCCAACTGCTTCCTGAACGCCCTGGTCCAGCACCGGCTGGCGCATGGGCTTCCGGCTTCGTCTCTGGACCTGACCATGGTCTCCGACTCTGGCTATCTGGCACAGGATGCCGAGAAGATGGCCGAGGTGGCGCGGAACCTGGGCGGCGACAGCATATGCGAGGCCGAGGTGCTCGCTCTGCTCGGGGCAGCGATCTCGGGGCGGCTGAGCTCGGCGTGCAACGACCACTGCATGACGGGCTGCCGGATGACGCCTTCGATGAAGCCATTCTGGACGCACGACGCCAAGTTCAAGCACCTGCGGGTGGCGATGGAAGAGGCCGAGGCGGCGGACGCGTTGCGGGGTGGAGCGGCGGCGGTGTCGTTCAACGCGGCGCTCAAGGCGGCGCGGTCGCTGGCCGAGGCCGAGGAGGCGGTGTGCCGGGGCCTGGTGGACAAGATCGCGGCGGTGCTGATGATGGAGCCCGAGGAGCTGGACGTGACGCGGTCGCTGTCGCACTACCCGCTCGACTCGCTCGTGGCCATTGAGATCCGCAACTTCATCACGCGCGAGTTCGAGGCCAACCTGCAGGTCCTCGAGCTGCTGACGAGCGGCTCCATCCAGACGCTGGCCAAGGCGGTCTGCGGGAAGAGCAAACTGGTCAACTTTGCAGCCTAGTTGCATCTCTCTCTTCTTTTTTTCTGTCGCCTCATTTCTCTTCTCTTTGCCCATTTCCTCTCTTCTCTTCTATACCTAGTTGGTCTCCCTCCTGTTTCTGTGCTTCTTGTTTCTGTGCTTCTTGTTTCTTGTGCCTTTATCATAACACACATCATCTACACCAACTTGCCATTCGATCGATCGCTGTGATACACCCACCTAGAAGTGCAAACTGGCTTGTTTCCCGCCATGTATGATATATAGGGATTCATTAGATATAATTTCCCAAGGTCCTCCCCATCGTCTGAAGTGACTTGCAACCGTGGCTGTGACATCGAATAAATTGAGCGCGGGGTCATTTACCAGTAAGGGAATTTGATCGAGGGTGTTTATTGTACTATGTGTGTAGTAGTCTTCGTCACAACGAATGATCACGGATGACTTGGACCGAGGCCAGGCCTCAGCGCCATCACGTGACCGCTCGTGTCTGAGTCTTGGTACCAAATTTTGTGCGAATCCATCCATACGGAGTACATGGATCCAACTACCTAGGTAGGTACTTGTACAAGTACAGGGAGTTAAAGCACCGAACGGCGGGCCTTTTAGGCGTCGACAGGCTAATTAGCAACCGCCCAGGGAGTCCTCGCTCTTCCAGATCACCCACTAACTAGGCCAGAGAGGGATTTAGTGGACTCTTCAAAAATGCCTTATCGAGTGTGAAGAATCTTATCGGATGCGCCTCAGATTTGATTGATCGCATTCTCATATTTTTTCCAAATACTCCTCTCGCACCAGTTTCCCCTCGCCGCCCAGTCGACACAGCTCGACGGCAGACGCCGAGGCACCCCCCAGCTCTCTCCATTGCAGAGCTCTTTTCCTTCTTCTTCCCTGACTCTGGACTCTTTCTTTGTGTCGCTTGTCTCTATCTCTCTCCGTCAATGACAGTTCGACATCGACGCCATGTCCTACGATTCCTACCAGCCGGGGCCGCCCGGCACCACAGCATATTCTCTGCCTCGGCGCAACGATAGCTGGAACCGAGAAAGAGATCGCGATGCAGACCGCGGTCGTGACCGCAATCGAGGCAGAGACTCGTGGCGCCCAGACGCGCCCTCGGGCGGCGGTGGCGGTCGACCACCACCTCCACCACCGTACAATGGCTATGGGAATGAGCGCGACTCGTATCGGCCGCCCCTGCCCCCCCCGCCGCCTCCCTCTTTTGGCCACGACAACTTCCGCCCGCCCCAGAGCGACTTCCATTTCCGAGTCGATCGACCGGCCGGAATCGCGGACGCGCCTGCCTCGTACCGCCCTGGCCCCGGTCGTTCTGGCCCGCGACACAACCACCCCAACAATCGCCGCGATGGGCACGCACCCCGCCGTGGCGGTCCCTACCCTCGATTCATGGCCTCGAATCGCCCCATCCTGTCGGGCACCAACAAGGCAACGACCCAGGACTTCGTTAAGGACGAGGCCGGGGTCACGTATATCCCCATAGACGAGCTCTCGGATAGCGACGAGGCCGACATGGATATATCCGACGACGAGCAGGACGACCGAGGCTCTGGCGGGGAGCCGTCCCAGAAGCGGCAGCGCCTCGCTGCAGACACCCCGACGTCAGCTGACGAGGCTCCCAAATGGTCCAACCCCGATCCCTACTTTGTCCTACCACCCACCGATGTCCAGCAGAGGAAAAAGGACGTGGTGCAGCTCATCAGGAAGGCTCGCGTCCAACCCACCAAGCCCGATGCAGCAGCGCTAGGTGACGTCGAGCCCGAGGAGTTCATCTCCTTTGATCTTGATGACAGCGGCGATGACGAGCAGGTGAACGCAAGCTCAAAGTCTTTCCCCCCAGGCGCTCCCACCGCTCCGCGAGGTGCCAACAAACTCAACCACGAGAACAATCAAAACAAAGCTGCTGCTCCTAGTGCTCATCTTCCTCCCACCGATCATCTGAACCCTTCTCGCAAGCGAACTCACAACGACCAGCTCAAACTTGAATTGCCCTCGCACGCGAAACTGAAAAAAGTCACCAAAATGCCTGTCGGGGGTATCATTTCTGCAGAATGGCGCGTAGTCCGAGGCCAGGATCCGTGCCCATGGTTCAAAGATCACTCAGGAACCCCATTGCTCAGCTCTCGGTAAGCTCTTCTTTCTCCCATTAGTCCCGCCCTCTCTCTCCCTTTTCGCTTGGCCTATCCGCTGACCGAGAACCCACTCGCCCGTCAGACTTCACAGGGAGGTTGTCGACTTCTACGAGCATGTCAAGCCCCGCGATTACGAACAGCGCCTGCGAAGTGACCTCGTCGATAAGCTTAATAGGCTCGTCCGCCATCGCTTCCACGATGCCAAGATCTATCCCTTCGGCTCCTTCATGTCTGGTCTGTACCTGCCCACCGGCGACATGGATCTCGTCCTCTGTTCCGATGCCTTTTTGAAAGGTGGTAGGGCCAAGTATGATGCCAAAAGGGAGCTCTTTAGGTTCAGAGATTTCCTCTTCAACAACAGGCTCGCGTCGGAAGGTGAGGTCGAGGTGATCTCCAAGGCCCGCGTCCCCATCGTCAAGTACATTGACAAGGCCACCGGCCTCAAGGTGGACATCTCGTTTGAAAATACCACCGGCGTCAAGGCAATTCAGACTTTTCTGGACTGGAAGGAGCAGTACCCTGCCATGCCCATCCTGGTCACGCTCATCAAACAGTTCCTCACCATGCGCGCCCTGAACGAGCCGGTCAATGGCGGCATTGGCGGCTTTTCCATCATCTGCCTCGTTGTCAGCATGTTCCAGCTCATGCCGCAGGTCCAAAGCCGCGATATGATCCCGGAACATCACCTCGGCGACATGCTGATGCATTTCTTTGACCTCTACGGCAAAAAGTTCAACTATGTCACCACTGCCATTCGCCTCAACCCTCCGGGTTACGTCCCCAAGGTACGTAGGATCCACACGGAGTTGCTGCCGAAACTTGACCCCTCTCCTTTCGCCTCCTTTCTTCTCTTGTTCAGGTGTACTGACACACCTCACAGAGCATGGTCAACAGCTTCATCTACAAGAACCCGGATCGCCTGTCCATTATTGACCCAAACAACCCGGCGAATGACATTTCTGGTGGTTCCAGCAACATCGCTGCCATCTCACGCGTCTTTTCCGAGGCATACGACATGCTTCAAGAGCAAATGGCCCTGGCAGCTAAGCATCCTGACAGACCCGGCACGAGCCTGCTCAAGGTTGTCCTTGAGGGTAACTACGAGAGCTTCCGGCTACAGCGAGACTATCTCAGACGAATGTACGAACAGATTTATGGCGCAGACGAGGATTAAATACGGCTGTACTACTAGGCGCACAGAAAGACCGGCTGGGACTTGAGAGACGGAGAGAGAGAAACGGCGGGGCTTTGCATTTTCCTCCGGCATGATACCCTTTGGCGGCGTACTTTTCCTTTTTTTTCTTCTTGCATTTCTCTGACTCTGCCGGTTAGTGGCATGATGAGAGCTGTTGTGCGAGCAGCCGGACACAGCGCTGAACATCAGCCTGTGCAGCTTCGAGAGCTTCTGGCTCGGCGACTCACATCGAGTTGTATCCTATAGATGTGGTTGGACTTCATCCAATGTTCGTCTTCTTTGCTGGACCACGGCATTGCACGGCGATCCCTTTCACCTGCAGCCAAGCTGGTTGCCAATCACGATATGACTGATTTTCTTCTTCTGTCTTCGCCCCCTCTTCCCACATGGACTTACGTGACTAATCGTGACAGGCGCAGGACATGCCGGCCCAATCTGCAACCCCTTCCGCTTGTTCTCTGCAAAGGCTCACTGACCATGTCTCTAGTTCTACCACCTGGAAAACAATATCTGCCATGGTTGCCATGGCCGATTTGTTTCCCCGTGCTCTCTACGGCGCCGAGTTGCAGGGTGTGCAGCCCTGTGGCTTTGCAACCGGGAGTAAACTCACCACCGGCAATGACCTTGCTCAGCGCCGCCTTTTCTTCTCACTGCGTGCTGAGCTTGATGCTTGGCTGTGGAGAGGAGTCACTCAAGAAGGTCAGAGTCTTTGCTATGAGGACTGGGCTTGAGCCTCCCCTCGGTCTGTCCAGAGACAGGCTGCGGCCTGCCAGGGACAAATGCCGCAAGCCAAGCGCGCATCCCGACTACAAGTACTGCTGCAGTTCGGGTGATGTGCCAGATTGGCGGGGAAGCGCGGTCCGAGTACCTGGAAACTCCCAGACAGTAGGCAATATTCATTACCCCAACTCTACAAGTATAATCAGTCATACAGGGTATGGGTTCCTTTCGGCACCATTTGACCCGAATTCAAATTTTCTTACCCTCTCTCCAAACCCCGTGGACTAGCTCCCATTTGTTGGGCTGGCCCTGCTCAGCCTGCGTGTACATGTACTCTCGCATAGGCTACCATCGTCTAGCAGTTTGATCTCGGGAACAGTCGAGAGAGAAATTGGCACGGTAATCGGCCCAGCCGGTACATCCCACTTGCCCCATTCGTTCTTCGGAGGTAGTCTTGCGTCGTGGGCACCATGCTTCTCTGCCCTGTCGTCAATCGTGCTGTCTTGGGTGGTTCATTTAGCCCACTCGCTCCTTTTTGTTGGCGTCCATGAATGCTTCGCAGTTCCTCTTTTCCTTGCTGTCATATAAGAAAATCCCACACTCACCTGCTAAATCGAACGCAGAGGTCGAATGCGTCCCGCCCGGTGTTTGGGACGCCGTGACGCGGCACCAAGATCCCGCCAATGAGGCTCCACGTTGCATCTCATAAGGGTACCTTAATCTATACTAACCAGGGTCGCCTTACTAAAAGTATGTCTATGCTCAATTCTCCGTTTTTCATATATGCCAACATGCCCAAGTTCAGTATCCTGAAAAATCTTCATCAGGCACCTCCGAGTTGTTGACCACAGGCAGCTCAAATCGCAGCGGATCGTCGACCACCATGGCACACTTTTGCCTTGCCAGCCTCTGGCTCTGGTTGCTCTCGGTTTTTGCGTTCTCCTCGGGCGTTCTCGCCGCTTTTGGCTTCACGAAATCGAGCAATAACTATGTCATCGACGCTGGATCGGACAACCCTCTTGTCTTTCAAGTCAGCTCTTCCACATGCGACATAAACTCTATCTTGTACCGCGGCGTCCAGCTCCAAGCCACCGGGTCCAAGGGGACCCATATCAACTCGGGGCTCGGCTCCGGCACATCTGTGAGCGTGACACAGGCAACAACCGCCAGCGGTACCGACTATGTCAAGGTGACCTGCTCTGTCTCGGGCCTCACGCACTACATGATTGTCCGCAAGGGCGACAGCTCCATATTCATGGCCACGTATATCATGGCCGAGCCAAGTGTTGGCGAGATGCGCTTCCTCGCCCGCCTAGACTCGAGCAAGCTGCCTTACGAGTACCCCTACGGTGATGTCTCTACCACGGCCGGTTCCACCAGCACCGTCGAGGGCAGCGATGTCTTCGTTGTCAATGGCCAGACTCGCTCCAAGTTCTACAGCAGCACGCGGTTCATCGATGAGAACGTGCACTGTGTCTATGGAGGCAACGACGTGATCCACGTCTGCGTCATGACTCCCCAACAGGAATCCTCCAGCGGCGGCCCCTTCTTCCGCGATATAGACTCTAATAATGCAGGTGATGGCGCTACTAACCTCTACAACTACATGAACAGCGGACACGTGCAGACTGAGTCCTACCGCATGGGCCTGCACGGCCCCTACATCATGCAGTTCAGCCGGTCTGGCATTCCCAGCGTCAAGAATCTCGACCTTTCCTTCTTTGATGAAATATCCGGCGTCAATGGCCTCGTTACCAAGTCGCAGCGCGGATTCGTCAAGGGTACTGCCTCCGGCGTCCCTTCGAGCTTCCAGACAGTCGTGCACTGGTACAACGGCGCGGCGCAGTACTGGACTATGGCCTCGAGCGGCGGCGCCTTCACCTCGCCGGCCATGAAGCCCGGCACATACACGATGGTGCTCTACCAGACTGAGTTCAAGGTCGCCACCGTGAACGGCGTCAGCGTCTCGGCAGGCCAGACGACGACGGCCAACATCGCCAGCACCTTCAGCACCAACCACAACACGCTCTTCAAAATTGGCGAATACGACGGCCAGCCGACTGGGTTCCGCAACGCCGACAAATTCCTGCGCATGCACCCTTCAGACAGCCGCATGTCGAGCTGGGGGCCCCTGACATACACCGTCGGCTCCTCCTCGCTGTCCGACTTCCCCATGGCTGTCTTCCAGGCGGTCAATAATCCCGTGACCATCAAATTCAATCTCGGTAGCGCGCCGACCGGGTCTGCGACCTTGCGCATCGCGACGACCCTCTCGTTTGCTGGCTCGCGACCGCAGGCGAAGGTCAACAGCTGGACAGGCCCTACTCCTGGAGCCCCGACTAAGATCGACAGCCGGGGTGTCACACGCGGCGCCTACCGAGGCTACGGAGAGATGTACGACGTGCAAATTCCTACGGGTACGCTTGTCTCGGGATCTAATACCATCACTATCTCGTCGATCTCTGGGAGTAGCGGCGCTACTTTCCTAAGTCCCAACTTTGTAAGCACTTCCCAATGACCTATAGGCAACAGTCATGACAGCAGTTAACGCAATAGGCTAGATATTCGACTGCGTCGAGCTCTTCACTGGGTGAGACTCTTATGTTTCACAGAGTCCAGGATCGAGTTTAGCTTGAATTCATAATCCTTACATCCGTCTGAAAACGCTGAAAAGTTCTGCGCTGCCGAAGCCCTACTCAACATGTACCCTTGCAACTTCCTATATTTCATTTCCAGAGTGGACCACGCAGGGCTAATATCCCTTTTCGAGACCCTTCGTTCCAAATATGCCTCGCTCAAAGCTTTGAAAAACCAGATGTTCCTTGTTGTACATAGTCTCGTCACTCAATAGACGCAGTCATAAGAGGTCATTGCCGGTATTGATGGATGGCCCCTATCAAAAGTGGCGCGCTTCGTGATGGGTGGGTGTGGTTGGCGACACGGGAGCGGCACTGGTTCTGGCCCTTTCCTCATTACCCCAGTCAGTCCCGAGGGTGGAGACAAAGGGCGAGGGTGGTGATTCGTTAGTAGCTTCTTCTTCCGTGTGAAGAGGTGTTCTCGTGGATGGGATCCGGCTCGTTCGACCACCAACAGGTAGCTCATGTTGACCCAGATCTGGTTTTCTCCCCGCAGCGCCAGCCACGAAACTCCCTGGAAGCTCATACACGCCCGGGTTCTCAGCGACAGGCCGGCCATCCAGCTCTTGGGTGGGGGCACCCGTAGTATCCTCTCCGATGGTGGGCGGCCTTGCGGGCGAAGAGTTGGCGGCGGACCGCGAATACTCAGCCGTCGAGCGTGGGCCAGAGGAGATATCTGCAGCGGAGAAAGGTGTAGAATTATCGGTTGTGGAACGAGGCTCCGAGTTAAAGACTGGCCCTTTGAGGACTGCCTCGTCCGGTTCAGGCTTGGTCGCTGCCACTGCGAAGCCCTTCCTCATCCACTTCCTTCTCTTGCGCAGGATCGCGTAGGCGAGGCCCGCGGCAATTAGAGCGGCGACCGCAATGCAGGCGATGACAATGCCTGCTATAGTACCACCACTGAGCTTGGAGCTCCCTGAGGAAGACGACGAAGCCCCCCCGCCGCTGGTTACCGAGCTGGACTCCTTTGGATTGATAGTGACAATATGTTCCTCGGCACCCTGATTCCAGACGCAGGCCGACACGTTGAAGGTTTTCCGCTCATAATCTGCGGTAAGGTAGCTGCAGCCAAATCAGCTCTCGCTCGACGGCGCTCAATAACCCATCATCTCGGCCTGGCACTCACGCTTCCTGTAGAAAGACCCGCCCAAGTGTGTATTGTTTAGAGCTGCTTGCACGCTTCAGTGGAAAGTAGAAGCTGGTCTCATCGACCAGAGGAGGTTTCGCGGTCAATCCAAACGCGGCGTAGGGCAGCACTATTGTTACTGTGTCTCCTCCCGACTTGACGTCACCGAGCCTGAACGAGACTTGTGCGTTCGAGTCGAGAAGCGTATTGTGTTGTGTCTCGTTGACGAGATATATCCCCGACTTGCTGTCTAGCGTCAATCCGAAAGCCTTCTCGAAGGCATCGCACACATCCTCTGGCAGCCAGAGATTGGAGTCTGTCGAGTCGATGAAGATATCGATGGATTTGTCCATTAGAGTCGACGTGGTCGATCCGCTGTAGCTGATGGATTGGAGTGCAACGACCAGGTCGCGAGTGACATCGTCCGCCATAGTGAAAGAGGCCGAGTTCTCTTTAAACCGTGACGTATCGTAGCCGGAGAATATCAGTTGACCATACACTTGCTTCAGGCCTTCGTTTCGAAACCAGGGCGTCAGCAATGCCTCTCTTCTACCAATAGTCATGATTGAGTACACGCACGATATTGAGCGCCAGCGGTGTAGCTCCAACTCAAGCTAGGAATCTTCTTTTGGTCTTTCAAAGTGGTAAGAAAGGAAGGCGACGAGTAGTTTCCTAGTGAGGTAAAATTGACAGGCTGGTTGTTGAGCCCAAACACACCCCTAGATCGAGTTAGATCTCGTCGGGTTGAACAGCCAATTGCCGTACGAAGCCCTTTCACCTACAAGTAGAGTGGCTTGGCCGTCGCGAACGCTGCCACAGTCTGATTGTCAAGTCCGGGCCCCGTAAGCCCTATCGACAGCCGGTCCAGCCCCCATGAGGCGTTCTGTTCGTATCCGAGATTTGCTTCGAGTCCCACTCCGTTCTGGTTGATGCCGTACATGCCCATGTCGTGCCAGCTCGAGGAGCCACTCTGTTTGAAAAGATTCCCCCTTGAGACGGCACAGTCAGAAGGCACCTTGGAAAAAGCTGAAGTCGAGCACCCAAGGTCCGACAAGACCACCATGGACTGGGGCGAGGCCGTCGACACGGTCACTCTGACATATTGCTCTGGGGTGCCGACGCGAAGGTCGAATGTGCTCCAAGGGCCGTCATTGCCTTCGCTGCAGGAGCGACAGTCAGCATGGACGACGACCAATCAATTATATCCTCATGTCAACAAGAAAACTCGGGCAAATTTACAAGTATTCGCTTGCTGGAATTACAACGGCCTTTTGGGCATCGTCTTCTGCCAGTGCGGTTGGGACAGACACCATGAACGCCCATATTATCGCGACGAAATAATACATCCTGTGGCATGAACTACCGGCATGGTATGACAGACCAAAGAATGAAAGGAGAAATGAGAGGAGTTGTCGCTGGCGCGAATTTCAAAAGCGTTCAATGTTTCCTAGGAAGAGTTCTGGTCTTGCATTTAGAGAAATGACCACCGGGCGGTTAGGCGAATAGGCGTGATGAAAGACGTATCCAGAGTCCGGTAATAATTTTAGGTATTGCCAACTTGCGGGCCATCCACGCATAAAGTTGGCCATAGATCATTTTCTTCAGATGCATCTGCTCGAGGGCATTGGCCGGGGTGCCACCCTTCTCTTAGCCTTGGCGGCGGCATTGCACTAAACCTGAAAATCATCATGACGTCGAATACTGTGGTTTGACCTGTCAAGCGCTCGTATCTCATTGGGATCACCCTCCGGAGCTGTAGCTCCAGTCACCAGCTCAACAGCTCTCCATCTTGTGTGTTCCAATGCAACCTTACACCCAGAGACGTCACTCGGCAGAGTCGCCCCTGGTCCTGTCATCTTCGTGGACCAATGACGGGCTTTGGGGCGGCATCTCGATTGAACAGGGCACCCCTGTCCCAAGGCTTTGGACTAGCACTTCTTCCCCCCTCTCGGCCAGCGAACCGGTTTACCTCCCATGTTTATGACAACATGCAGACCAGGGTGGCAGGTAATCGGGCATCGGGCCACGGCAAGGTCGCCGTGCGCTGTCACCATAACGCAAAGCGCATAATTACATAGAAAGGCAAGCGGTCTGCTTTGCTGTTTTTCTTTGGTAGCTTCGGCGCACCTATTCACAAGCTGCTTCAATAACACTCGTTACCATTCATTCGTTCAACTATAGTTGTTGGTACACGAAAAGCGCAGCAATGCTTCCGATGGCGAATAAGTGGACGTTGTGTCTCCTACTCTTTCTGGGGGTGAAGGGCTCGGCTGGCGAGAGTGAGTGGCGGAACGAGGGTATCCAGAGCGCGGCAAGATCATAGCTGACAGCAAGACGCAGTCCAACACGCTCATGCACCGAACCGCAACGAGACGACAATAATCGATCCGGTCTGCACTGGCAACGTCACGGTGTTTGACACGACAACTCTCCTCGAGTCGACAGTTCTGTCCAAGACAAATTATGTCTACGTCAATGTCACAAGTACAAGCGTGGTTGAGGTCTGCATCACGGTGCCCACGACGACCACGCTTCACTACACCATTTCGACCACCGAGGTAGACTCGTATACCGTCTCGACCACCGAGGTAGACTCGTACACTGTTTCAACAACCGAGACAGACTCGACGACGATCACGAACTCGGCAACCGTCACAAACACCGAGACAACTACGCAGACCGTGCCTGCGACCATTACGACATATACCACGACAACGGTCTTGTCCACCAAGGTGGACCCATGCCCGACAGAATGCAGCATGTATGGTCGATGAATTCATGATCTTTCACAAGCGATATTGATGCTAATGACAACTCTCTTTCCAGCTCCGTCGAAACCGTCAACCTGTACTTCTGGCCTACCAATAGGCCTTATACTTACCCTTCGACCTGGTTTGACGAGTCCCTGGGATACACCTTGTAGGTCGTCAACTCGTAAGCCGGAGACGGAAAGCAGGCTGAGCTAACTTGTCATAGCACTTCGCCCTCCGTGTACATGCTGATCCCCACGGCTCAAGGCACCAACTCTCTGGGGCCGACTGGACCTGCCACCTCGAAGTGGATTCTCCCACTCGAACTCGACGAGGTTTCCACCATTGCCGATGGTAGCGTCACCCGCCAGCTGACCCTCAGCGACCTAGGCACAGACTGCCCCCAGACAGCCGAGCCCTCAGCCATCGCCACCATGGTGGACCCGCGGTGTGACCCCATCCTCGCGGCCCCGAAGCAGGTCAGCTCATGGGCGTACCCCTGCAACGCGTGCGGCCGTTTCGGTCTCTTCGACCCCCCGTATGCAGTCCCGACGGTCACCGGTCTGTTCCCAACGACGACGGCGACGCCACCTCCTCAGGAAACCACTGCTCCGCCTACCCCGACAGCGACCACACCGCCAACTTCATCACCCCCAGCTCCACCATCTTCAGCGCCCGAGACCTCATCGTCGGCACTACCGACCCCGTCGGTGATTCCATCAGTCTCTTCTGTGCCCTCGGTTGTTCCTACAGCGGCTGCCTCTAGGGTCACGGGTGATTTTGCATGGCTGATTGTGGGTGTTTCATTGGTGATGGTTTTCATGTAATTATCGAAAGGATGATTCACATACGGGGGTGTCTTGATGTAACTGAATCCAATGATTAATGCACATCGATTGAGTTCCAGTAAACCCCATATTTATGTGGTGATGACTAGTACGGTCTGTGTTGCAGAGTTCCTTGACCTCGTGACCGTATAATTGACGCTTTTGTTTTGATCCACTGGGACCATCTAGTGGTGCGACAATGGAGGTTTGACATGCAACAAACAGGCTCTCCGAAACCCTACTTAGCCACTCATTACTTCATGTCACACGCCGGGCAAGATCATTCATTCATTGATTAGGAAATGATATATTAACGAGTGAAAGGCTGGCCGGCGGGTAGTATCGAAAGGACAGATCAACCTAATACCACCTTTCCATTGGAAATACCCCATCCATAAGACTCAACAACATTGTAACCCATTACTTGCGAGGAGCCCGGGCAAGAAACGGAGTGTTTCCACACATGGCATTGCGAGGAGGGTTGGCACCGAGATTAGAGTTGATACAGCCCCGAGGACTGCCGCTGCAGTCCGCCAAGGGGATTTGGGGAACACCTTGTGCGTTGGTTGGATAGATATCGGTACGGATGTTCTCGGCCGGGTTGATGTGAGGTGTGATGCTCTCGAGATGCTCCACGGTGTCACCTGAGACAAGCAATTGATTAGCAACTCTATTCATGCTTTTGGCTTCGTCAACAGTAGAGAAGGTTGCGCTGCCTTACATTGGAAAACGTCGAGAATCTCGGAGCCGCACAGCTGAACATTGGCCGGGCATGGGGGTGCAGCTTGAACGCTGACTAGCAGAACAGCAGCAGAGATAGCAAGAGTGATCTTGACCATTATGTTGAACGAATATGCAGAATATATGATTGGGGTTTGTAGGTAGAGGGCGATTAGTATTGATGTTGGCTGTCAAATGCACCAACTTGACGGGCAGCTCCTGTTCCATTTATACAATTTCATACCATCTTGGATGATCTGATCTGGGTAGACTACTGAAATCTTCATTGAAGACTCGGAGTTAGTTGCTCGGATGCAGTCTTGCTGTTTGGCTGTAGAGCGTATCACGGGAGCTGGATTTCTTCTCACGCCGCGATTCTCATTGGTTTCCAATCTTTGATACTTAGTGGCAACAACGCTGAGTAATAGTGAGCAAGCCGCGGTCATGAGATATACCGTGCTACCGGAAGTCTATTCCGGGTCCCTTTTGAACAACTCTTGAAGGTGTCAGGCGGCTTCCTGCCCCATGTGGGTGGAAGAACCCCCCCGGATCAAGGATCGAGGATTGAGTTGCCGTAGTAAGCCGGCCACGAATGGGTTGCTTCTGACGATATATGATACGCATGGTCGTACTTTATGGGTGCTCACGTGTGTGATGGACGCCAACAACTCAGCTTCGCTTCCGATCAACAAATAGAAGAAAGTCCCCTTCATCAGCACAAGTCATCCCGTTGGATCTTAGGGCTGATTTGAGCCGCATCTACCTGTGCGAAAAGCAGTTTCTGTCATCTAGCTGATGTGAGATGACAGGGTTAGGTATCAAAACCAAGCCCTCCACACATAACTTATGAGTAGGGTTCCATGGCTGTGATCACGTTCTCGTAACCTACCCAAAACCCTCGCACATCGGTCATGGTCTGTCATATTCACCGCCGTAGATGCGAAGTGACCTCGTGGCGCTATCAGGTGCTACCATTATTCTCCCGCATCTCCACAGCTGTCTCGTCACTGCCATGACCAAATTTGTTACTTGTTAGATCAAAAGGTTTTACGCACACATAATACGAACGGCATCGGTATCAGCGGGTAGGCGTCCACTAGGACACTATGAAGTGACGGTGAGTCTTTCTGGGAAATAAGCATGAAGCTATTGGCCGACAGCGACCTAGGCATATGGGCAGAGGAAGTCCAAATAGACTAATCTCGAATTCAAGGAAATCTGATTCCAGTCCTATAACCAGCAGCTCCGGAGCAACCTGCGCTTCTTCCGCCCGGCCCTTGATGAGAAGCCAACGAGAAAATTGATGTGGTGAGAAGATTCAGGGGATGTTGATCTTCCTTGATCACACGACCAACAGCTCGCTCAAGCTTTGTGGAGATGTGGGTTGTTACCGGCGATCCTTGGGGCTGCTTCGCGTGAGAGTCGCCTGGCACTGCAGGGGCACTGGACTTTGCCTCAGACGAGCAGTGTAGCACCGCGGACTGCTTTGGCATGCAGACAACAGCGAGACTGCGAATTTTGAAGTAGAGGTATAATCCCCGCAATGAATGCTCTCAAGTCTACAGTCTACCCGAGACTGCCTGCGTAGGGAGTACTTGCGGGGCGGGCAAGACCGCGACAAGGTACTTGGAAAGGAGGTAAGGAGGTTGGAGTTTTGACTCTTTGAGGGGTCTCTCCAACCCCGGAGCGAAGTGCTTAGGCACCTCTCGCTCCAAACTAGACCGCATCCAATGAACCGGGATGCAAGACCCATTTCTACCTAAAATATTACGGGGCGATTCTAGGTACCAAGACGCTGCCTACAGTTTCCAATCCCTCAAAGCCTTTTTCCCTCTACGAGGAGCATATAAGACGCGTTGAGTAATTCTAAGGATCAATGACTCGACCCCATTGTGACCGAACTTTCTGCGAGCTCTGGTATCATACGCAGCCATCCAGGATGGAAGTCTCGGCCGCCGCCGCCGCCATCGCGCTGGACGCTCTGCCGTCCGAGGTCCTGAGCCTTATTCTTCAAAACCTCATCGAGATACGGGAAGATGAAAACGAACTGCCAGATCCGTCACTCTATGCAAGTCTCTGTGAGTCACGTCTTGTGTGCCGCAAATGGAATGCGCTAGCCACACCGCATCTTTTCCGCACCGTATCGCTCAAACATGACGACCCTGGCAACGAGACAGGCACCTTGGACATGTGGAGAGAGATGATGGACAGCGAGACGGTCAGGCAGGCCGTGCAGCATGTCAACATTCATACTGCCCCCCGAGAGCTGTCCTACGGCCGCTATTCCGACGTATGGAACGATTGGGAGGTTAAGGGCGAATATGAAGACTACACCGAATCAATTGAGCGCATCAACGAACTCCATCATCTCAAGTCGCTGACACTGAGCTTCTCGGATATGTGCTTAGGCGTCGAGAACGACCGCTCCATGGAGGAAGACTACGAGGTTCCCGAGACCCGTGAGGCCACTCTCAAGGCGTTCTTCAAAACCCTGCAGAAGCGGTCCCAGGCCGGCGACGATCTCAGCGCCATCCGGACCTTGACCATTTCGAATCTGCAGAACATGCCCGTTCCCCACATCACCACGTCTGATGCTTTTCGAGATTCGCTGAAAGGCGTGCAGTCGCTGCACCTGATGATCGCCGCCGAGGTCAACGAACATGGCCCAGACCACGATATCGAGTGCGTTGAGAGATGGACCTACGAGCCCCATCTTCAGCACGAACTGCTGCCGTCGCTCACCGAGCAGCTCACAACGCTGACTCTCTGCTTCACCGAGGAATGGGGCGTCGCGCCGGGCTACTTTGACGGCCGTGGCCTCAACTTCCCCCAGCTCAAGAGCATGCACCTCGGCCGCTTCATGATTGGCCACCATGACCACTTTGACTGGATCCTGAACATGTCTTCGCTGACGAGCCTGCGCCTGAGCTCTTGCCGTGTCGTTTCGCACCTGCGCCTCTGCAGAGACCTGGCTCAAAAGTGGGAGTTGAAGACGCACGACTGGGAGCAGCAACCGCGCGGCGCCTTTGGCTTCGCTCGCGAGGACGACCGCGTCTACACATTTGACAAGACCTGGGAATCGCTGTTTGACGGCATCCGCCTGCGCTTGACCAAGTTGGTAGACTTCCGTATGCACTATCCGAGGTACTCGCAAGTTCATTTCTTTCACCCGGATCTCATGCCCGTGGACAAAGAACTCTCGCCGGACCGATATATCGTGCTTGATACCGGGCTGTTGCCAAGCCCGTGGATCGATGCAACAAACGGCGAAATGGAGTTTGGCAACAACATGGCTGAACCAGTTGACCTCAACTCCACCGAGAACCATTACATCAAGAAGTGCAAAATGAGCAGAGCGGAGGAAACGAAATACGGAGACGCCAGGGCCCTGCAGGATCTTTTAGAGGCAGTCAAGAAGCGTTGGTGAAGACAAAGCGCGGTAGGATCACCGTCAATGAGTCTAGTAGTTTCCGTCGTGAGCTCAGAATCGTACGTTTTATACATCAAACAAATCATCTCTACGCTTCTCACCGAAGAGAAATGGAGCAGCTCAGTGTACCCGTGGAAGCCGAAACCATGCGACTGAGCCCGTATAAAGAGGCTTCGGCCTGCCCGTGAAGCCTCATAAGTGCTACTTGTCTGTCGGTGGTCAGCCACATTCTCCGAATGATAACAGCCTTGGGCGAGAGACTAAGCCAGTAGGAAATTCGCATAGTCACGATACAACACGATATCAAAGCTGGAAGAATGAGTACTGAATTCATTTTTGCTCCAAGAAAGAAAAGAAAAGAAAAGAAAAGAAAAACATCACCCACCAGCCCCTAACCCAACTCCTTATCGCCTAATCTGCCTGACGTCAACTGCAACACGAGGCTGGTCATATCCAGAGCCTTCTATGTCAAGGTTCATCACCCTACCACTGGGATACACAAGCATGCTCTCCGTGCCGCAGGTGTAGAGAAGGCTCATAATCGGGGTTTCCGGCACCGACATACCAGACTTGCTCCCTTTCTTTCCGCGGGCGGAATCTGCCTCCGCATGGCCGTACTGTTGTACTCCGTGGATTCACACATGTTTTAGAGGGACCAACAGGATGACCAGCGTTGGTAGGCATGGACGTGGTCTTGACGCCCCTGCGGTCGTTGCATGTCGATCCCATCAAATGGGGAATGCAATCATCACCGCGGGGTTGCTTGTGCCAGCTACTCTCAGAAGGGTTGAATCTGTAATGTGGATGATTCTGCATCGTGTTCCTTATGGGCTCCCGTATCACCCCTTCTATCGCCTTGTGAGGAGCTGCGCAGGACTCTCCTTGTTGCCGCAGCCAGTCTGTGCCCCGTGGAATGCTATCCAACTCCTTATAGATGCTGTCAAACTCGCTCTGCAAGTTATCCACAACTTTCAGAATAACATCCTGCAATTTGACAAGGGCTTCCTGCATCTGATCTGCAGAGGAAGGATCTGTCAGTGTCCGTTGTATAGGAATGATCAGATGCGCCAAGCTGGCCGACGCATTGAACGCGTAGATCCAGGCAAAAAGAAAAGTCATAAGAGCTTTGTATTTCATGATGTCGGGGGTGTGCTCATTCCAAGTGTTGGCGGTGTTGTTGCTTTCGGGACCGCGAGTAGCTATCTGACTCCTGAGATCTGATGCCAAAGATGCTAAATATGGAGGTACAGGCGCCAGCGGCCCCGGGGCCGGAGTGTAGACGGGGTCGGGCACGGTGTGCATGGGGTTCTTATCCCTTGGGAGTCTGACCGCCGGTGGGCTCCATTGGGGGAACTGGGGAGTCTGGTGTTGAGGTGTGCAACCTCCCGGGCTATTGACTTCTTGCGGGCTTGCACTCTCATGCCATAGATTTATATCGTCCAAGGAGTATTCTGAATCTATCTCGACGTCGAATGGGCCACGGGTTTCGTCACGATCACTGCCCAGATCGTCTTCGTCCGAGGTGGCCTCAGATCGAGACACATGCTCATGGTCATCAGTCAGACTGTCGTTGTCGTCGTCAGAAGACCAGCCAGGGGTCATTGGACGACAGCAGGTCCAGCTCATCGTGTAGTAAGGGAATCTGGGGGGCTCTAACTGTAGTTGCGATAGGAATACCGGGCTGACGGTGTGATGTTGGATGCTCACTCGGTTGATTGCTGAGATGAGAGAAGCTAAGCGCAGATAGTTCTTCAAATAATAAAGTACATGATTACTTATTTAACGACCTTTTGTAGGAAAGAACCAGCCGCACAATGTTTATGGAAAACAAGCTCAAAAGGAGAGCTGCATGTGAGCTCCAATAACGAGCAGATTCACAGGATTGTTGACCGGAACGCGGCCAGTGAATTGACAGCATCCGCGCGCGTGTTCTATAACCATGGGCGCAAGTTAGTTTTGAGTCTACCAAGATCTTGATGTTGCATACAACTACAAAGCAAGTATCATGCTCTGTTTTCTTGCTCAGGTGATAGGGAGATATAAGGGTGGTCGGTCAAGCTGACTCGAATAAAATGCCACGTGAACTCTCATCAAGTGCCCATCCCTTTCCTCCTGCTCTTCCTCCTCAGGTCTTGGCGTCTTTGGCCGCCTCTGCAACACTGCCCCTGACCTTGTCCACCATCGAAGCTGCGCGCGTCATGCCCACGGCCATCGAGTTGTGCTCCTCGGCGTCGACGAGCCAGAACTCGAGCGCGCACTTGTTGTGCCAGAACTCGTACAGGATCTGGCCCAGCAGGTCGTACACGACCTGGAACGCGTTCGATAGCTTTGGCATTGGCGTGAAGCCGCTGCGCACCCACTTGGTCACGCGATCCGTGATTATCTCGACGAGCACGGCCGAGTCGGTCTTGACGATCAGGCGCTTCGGCCGGCACCAGATGCACCACTCCGGGTCGCAGGCGCACTTGCAGCACGCCTTGGCAGCCTGCTTATTCTTGTCCTCGGCAATGTCCAGCGCGCCGGGCGTGTTGCTGTAGGGCAGGCGCGATGAGATGCGCAAGGGGTCGACCGCCATGCTCAGGGCGTTGACGGCGATCTTGGTGTAGTGCGGCGAGTGGAAGGGGTGGAAGCCGGGGGCATGGATCCGAACCTCTTTGAAGAGGTAGAGGGCCTTGATGGCGGCGTCGAGGGAGGCGAGTACGGTGTTACTGACGCCAGGCTTGAGGTCGTTGAGCTCAAAGACACTGTTGTAGGGGTTGTCGCGGCCAAAGTAGAGCGAGTAGCGCAGCTTGCCGTCGAGGCACTTCTCGCCGTGCAGCGCGATGACGATTGAGTCTGCATGGGCTCTGGAGCAGTGGCTGCTGCACCTTGTCGGGTCTTTGCACGCCTCGTAGACCCACGGCGCGTCGTCGGTGTACTCTGGCAAGTTGAGGCATGGCGCGGGCTCTGACGACGATGACGATGACGATGATGATGATTGAGATGGCTCATCTGGTTTGGAAGGCCCCGACTCTTCTTCTGCCTTGGAGATGGGAGGAGCATTGGTGAAGTCAATCACCTTAGGGCGCTCATAATCTGCAAAGACCGCGTTGCACTTGGAGGCGCAAGTGCAGCCACGAGGAGCGGTAGGCCGGTTTGGGGAAGAGGCATCAACAGGAGCGGTGTCGGCGTTAGAACTTGGAGAGTCCAAGGTTCCAGGGCTCGTGAGGGCCGCGGTCGAAGTAGCAGCTCTCGCGGTGACCTCCTTGTGTAGCTGCGACATGATTGCTGCGATCGCGATGCTGCAAGATGAAGTTGGAAGAGGAAAAGGTGGATGTGCAATGGGTGATTGCCAAGTGGGAGACAAGGCAACCAGCTTGGGTGATTCAGGGGTGAGTTGATTGTCAATCAGTGGTCATTCGCAGAGTCAGAGCAGACTCTTGCTTTGCCACAGCTTGCGTTCAAGACAAGCAAACATTGACAGGAGTGTTTTAACAAGAAAAGGGGAGACAAGACCCAAGCGCTTTGAACACATTCGTGAGTCTTCCAAGTGGATAGTCTTCAATGTTGTGCCTGCTCCTAACTTCCACCAGTTTCCAACCCTATCAGATCACGCCTCTCTCCCGGCTTCATGCTTCCTCTGCATCTCGCGCCACTCATCTTCAGTCATACCGAACGCGACACAATCGTGCCAACGCCCATTGTGGAACACCGCCTCCCTCCTCCGCCCCTCGGGTTGGAACCCCAACCGCTCATACAGCCGCACCGCTCCCTCGTTGTACGAAAAGGCATCGAGTCCGACGCGGTGCAGGCCGGCCGTCTGGAACGCCCACCCCAGCATCCACCGTATGGCCTCGCTGCCGTAGCCCTGCCGCTGGAAATCGGGCAAGATGTTGATCCCAATAGACGAGTCGCGCGTGTGCGCGCCGTTCTGCCGCCGGATGTGGATGATGCCGATCGGCGTCGGCGGCGCCTTGTCGCTCTCCTCCTCATCACCCTGGGGTTGGGCTAGTCGTGGGGAGGAGGGCTTGAGGCAGACGACGGCGGCCATGAGGGCTTTTTCGAGAATCCAAACCTTGTATCCGGACAGCACCGACTTGCGGCTCGGCGGCTTGTGCAGGTTCATGTCCGAGTTGACCTGGTTCTCCGGGTCTGACTCGAGACGCACCATGAGTTCGTCGTCCTCCGGGTCCTCGACGCCACGGTAGATGAGGCGCTCCGACTTGAATATGTTGGCCATGGCAACTGTCTCTTCCGTGTCACGCGACGCACAAGCCGCAGTATTGAGGCGAGAGATGAGCGGGGGGCATTTGTGACGCGACTTGGTGAGATGCAGAAGAAGCACCCAATCCGGATACTCAGGTCTCAGGTGTTGACCGTCCCAATCAAGCACGCCAAGCGCCGGGTAGCACCACGTCAGCAGCGACGGGCACTAGATGGCAGCAAACAGTCCTTGATAGGAACCCAGTAGACCTTCCACATCCAGGACAGCGAGTGCTCCCCTGAAGGATCAACCCCGCATACCGTGCCTCACATACCAACCCCACTGGACGACGGACTGTTCCGCGGAGGGGAATCAAAAGCGGGAGCCAGGGGAACACTGTTGAATATGCACATTTCTTCATCCATGAAGTTTACCATACACAGCTATGGGTACAGATTATTATGTACGTCGAAAGACTGTTCATCAGGGCGATTGCTCTCAGACTCTCCCAAGGCCCGTGTGCTTCCCCGTATCCTGGCCCGAGATTAGTTCCGCCGGCTCTTCCTGCGCTTGCTCGGCCATCCTCTGCACGGCATCCGCCTTGCCAAACAACTCGTCCATCTCCTCCAAAGGCCGTCCCTTTGTCTCCGGGTAGAGAAGGAAGATGATCTGGAACAAGCGGTATGAGCCTTGAGAGCTCTCACTTTCGACAGGAACGGTGCAAGAAACTCACCGGCACGCAGGCTAGATTAACAGCCATGAAGAAGAAGTAGATGCGCGACCCGATCTTGTCGATGCCGACGGGCCAGACCTGCGCCACGATGATGCTCCCAACGGCACCTCCCGAGGCGGCAAAGTTGAGGCCGCGGGCGCGAAGGGCGGTGGGGAAGATCTAAGAGGCAAGGAAATCCCCAAATTGTCAGCTTCTCATGGACGACTTATCCAGTCTGGAACGGACGGAGCATGCGCATACCTCTGAGCCATAGACCCAAGCAGCAGGGCCGAAACCCATGCTGTAGCCGAGGGCATAGACGAAGATGAAGACAATGCAGGTGTAGTCAGAGGCCTTGTTCGCGTTGCCGGGGTACACAATCGGCAGCACGCCGTTGATCTGCACAAACGAGTCAGTCTCTACCGTGCCGCAAGCGTACAAGTTTGTTCCATACCAGCATCGCGAACGCCATGACTCCGGCGCCGACGCCCAGCGTCAACCTCCTCCCCACCTTGTCGATAATGAGCATCTCGAGTATCGTGCACCCAATCTTGAGCGTCGACTCGATCCCGCCGGCCAGCAGCGATAGGCGACGGCCGAGACCCAGGGCCTTGAACAGCGTGGGCAGGTAGTACTTCATGGCGGTAGCGCCGCACATCTGGGCCATGAACTGCAGGAGGGCGGCGCGCCAGAGGCGGCTGAAGAGCGAGGGCTCGCGGAAGAGGGACAGCCAGGTCAGGCCCGAGGCGCGGTAGGCGGCGACCGAGGCCTTGATCTCGGCGAACTCGTGCTCGACCTCGTCGTCGGTGTAGGAGCCTTCGCGGAAATAGTGCAAGGTCTTGTGGGCGCGGTCGAGGTGGCCGTGCTCGACGAGCCAGCGTGGGCTTGTGCGTTCCTCCGTGTCAGCAGCAGCAGCAGCAGCAGCAGTAGCAGTGTTATTTGATCGCATGTATAGGGATCAATGACTTACGTCTCGGGCGTGAAGGGGAGGCCGACGGCAAAGATGCAGGCCGGGATGAGCTGCACGGCAATGGAGAAGCGCCAGCCGACGTAGGTGCCCCAGGCGTCATCCCAGAATGTGACTGCGTATCCGATCCTGCGCGTGCTGCCGTCAGTGATGATTTGAGACGCATGTTTAGATGGAGAGCCTTACCAGAAGCCGCAAGCTAGGCCGGCCACGAAGCCAATGTGGTTCATGACCACAAACCTCCCGCGTTGTTTGGCAGGGGAAATCTCGCTGTGGCCGATCGATTAGCTTTTCGAGTACGCACACACACACACACACGCAGTGAGGGAGAAAGAGAGAGAGAGAGAGAGAGAGAGAAAACGAAGGAGACTTACCTCTGATAGAGCGGAACGCTGGTGCTCACAATCGCCGTGCCAATGCCGGCAATGACGCGGCCCGCAACGACCATGGCGTATGCGCCGCCACCCGTGGCGCCGGCCTGCAGCGCGGCACCGAAGCAGGCGGTGAGGGTGCCGACGAGGGCGGCATAGCGGCGGCCGAGGCGGTCGCCGGCGGTGTGGGAGATGAAGACGTACGAGACCCAGGTGCCGAGGTAGTAGATGGCGGTGATGACGCCCTTGCGGCTGGCGTCTGGGTGGCCGAGCTGGGCGACGAAACCGGGGTGAACGAGCACCGAGGAGAGGATGCCGACGTTGTACCTGTCGCGGGATCGGTCTGTTAGCGAGTGTTGGAACGGGATGAGCAGTCAGGCGTGACGTGAGGGGACAGCGGGGGATCTCGCTCACCCCCATGCGAATGAGCCCAGGGCGAAGAAGAGGCACATAAAGTGCAGCCTCAGCGCCGCCTTGGTGAACCTGGCCCGTTGATCCATGGCGGATGGGCTTGAGAGAAGATGACAGAGCGACTAGGCAAGGTTGGAAGCTGGGCTGGAGGACGTGGCGGATCCCAGACGAGAGGCCCGTCCAGCTTTTGAGGCTGGGTGGTGGTGGTCGGCATGTTGATATGGTTTTCGGTAGTGCGGCACTAGCACTGATCAGCCCAGACCAGACCAGGCCCTCGACCAGGCCAAAGCAGACCGGTTGTGCGCCTCTGCCTCGTCCCGGTCACACCTCGAGTCAACCAGATCGGATTGGCGCGTGTGCGTGTGCGTCGTGTGCGTGTGCGTGTACGGATCCGTGCGTGGGTGCGTGGGTGCGTGGGTGCTGCAGATGGCAAATGACCATCGGTGACAGCTCGAATGCTGGCTACCCTGTAGCAGCCATCCATGATGGCACCATCACTGCACCATCACTCCCTCGACCACCACCCACACGGCCACACCACCGAAAAAGCGAGTCTACTGGGAAGTGGTTGGCGGGCAGGGATGAGAGCAGAAGGCCTCAGAGGCAACCGCATGGGTGTTTGTCGACTTGGACTCGCGACGAGAAACTCCCTCCAGATTCATGACTAGCACTTGTCCTCTCCAGGGCTGCTCTACCTATTCCATTTTGTGCTGGGGCAATCAATAGTGCCGTCGTCCCAGAGGGACGGGTTCTTCAGGGCAGCTCTTAGCGCGCTCCACGCGGGTAATTTTAGACACGACTGCCCTATGGATGCCAGAAATTACCTACCTAGGTATAGGTAGTCTCCAGCCCAGAATTCAGGGGTTTCGAGCAATGGCAAATGGAAGAAGGGCTCATGAGCTCATTCCATGGCCGCCACGATAAATCAACGAGATGTTTCGGCACGTTAGGAAAGTACCTACGTCCCTAAATTAAGCTGGAGCTATCAAACTGCCAGGTGGCCTGAAAGGGCATCAATTGAAGAGCCCTGAACATTTGGAGGCTTGGGCCTACCGAGCGGGCAAGGTTCAGGTGTGGTGTGTGCTAAGCATTTTCTTGGTGGGCCCTCGTCCCACCTGGACCCTGCACTAGTTAAAGATCCAATCCACTGCTGATTAACTATCTAGCTACTTGTAATATGAGCAGGTTACTGAAGATCTCGCACACTTCTCAGACAAGCTGCTCAGCCTCAAGTTAGTAACGCTCTATCTACTTTCGGCTGATACAGAATACAACTTCCTTCCTTCTTTCCAGGACATTGTTTGCCGAGCATCGAATTTAGAAAAGCCATTGCCAACCAATGAGTTTGGGGTTGCATTTGACCGCAAAAACGACATCGTCCGGCTTGAGGACAGAGAAGGTGTTTCGTTCGTCTTCAAATCATACTCACTTCATACCGATACACTGACGAGAGCCCTTGGAAAAGGACAGTATGTACATCTCCATCCCATGGTCCGGCTTTCGATGCGGGTCAATCCACCGTTCAGGCTCGTACTTCTCTGGCTCGGGGAACATTTCCTCGTCGAAGTGGTTAACGTAGGAGCTCATTCCGATGGCGGTCCCCCTAGGCCCTAGGTATGACGTATTTGAAGCCACGTCCGGAATAGACCAAGTCTTCCTCTCGCGCGATGCGCGGGAGGCGACCAGGCATCCCCATTACCACCCGGAGAGCCTCGTAGATCACTCCGTGGAGGTACGGATACCTCTCCAGCTGGACCCAGCTCAGGTTCTGCGGGTCTTCGTCCTTGAGCTCCTCTCTGAGCCGTGCAAGCCTCTCGGGCCGAGACAGGAGGAAGAATGTGATTGCGCTCAGAGTGGCCTGAGACGAAGGAAAGACATTAGCACAAGACCATGTTGCACTCTTTCTCATGTTTAGCCCAGGCTTACAGCGGTGGTCTCGGCGCCGGCACCGACCAGAGACCAGCCCTCGCCAGAGAGCCGGTAGATGGTCTTGTGCTCGTGCGGGATAGGAGCGTCCATGATCTCGGCAAACAGGCGCCGCGCGGCGCCGGCCTTGGCCTGCTGTGCCTTGATGACGTGATTGGGAATCGTCACGTTCATGGAGTGGACCATGTAGGCAATGTCCGGGCCCATGTACGGCCCAAGGGCAGGCATGAGGCCGATGAGATGCCGGAGGACGGGGATATGGCGGAAGATGTGGCACGTCGCGACGAGGACCTCGAACGCTCTCTTATAATTCTGCTCAAAGTCTGGCCTATCCAAGAATCCTACGTGTGCAGGGGTGAGGTCAGAATGGTGGGCTATCGCATATGGGGCCGTCTTTCATCGGCTGGAGGCCATACCAAATGGCTCCCCAAAACAGTACTGGGAGATGGCGTCGGCAGTGAAGCAGTTGTACGGATCGAGGACGTTGATGGGTGTTGATACCTGGCCCGACGAGGCCAGTCGCAGGATCTTGCTGCACATCTTCTGGGCCATCTCGTGGATCTCCGGCTCATACCGCAGCATACCTTGCCGAGAGAAGAATCTGTTGATGGCACTCCTTGGAACTCGGTGGGTCTTGGAGAGTCATCAGTTCTCCATTGTGCCCCGGCATTGGATAGAGACTGTCTTGGGCGGCTGGGGAACAAACCTCATGGTCACGGGTCAAGAAGGTCGACACCGTGAGAGGGCCCGCGAATGCGGCCAGGAAATGGGGAGACTTGTCGCGGATGCGGTTGGCAACCCAAGGGTAGATCTCGTCCACAAAGTCATAGTCGTTGCAGTGAAGTTCATGTGGGTTGATGCGCACGATGGGTCCTTGTGTTGCCGTTTAGATGAGCGGCATCAGTTTGAAAATCGCGAGCGATGGGACTGTTACACACCGTATCTTTGGTGCATGGCCTTGATCTCTGCCGTGTACCTGCCAACCCTGATCAAGTCGTACCAAGCCTCATAGAGATATGACGCTGCGGCCAACTTTGGCCCTGGAAATCCGTACAGAGGATGGAATGGAGAAATGTTGTACAAGGTAAAGAGCAGGCAATATCCGCACCACAGGCCAAAGAGGCGTACAGCATTGTCGATGGTAACAAAGGTCAACACGCCCTCGACGCTCAATGCGGATGGCATGGTCGGTCAAATGTATAGTTTGGCCGCGTGTTGTTTAATGTTAGGAACGAAATGACACTCAAAACCTCGCTTTCAGGTCCCTCTTGTCCTTGCACATGCATACGAAAAGCTGGGTTCATATAAGAGCAAGCATCTTGTCCACGGGGAAAAAAAATCCACGTCGGTCACTCAGTGACGAAACAGAAGGCCTAGATTACCTGATCTATGCTGCAACCAACCACTCCAGCCTGTCACATTATGTGTGTGCCACGCGATGCGAGGGAAGAGCAAGCCTGTCGTTCTTCATGCAGGCCAAGCTCGAGCTGAGAGGGATCCATGGATTTCTTTCTGGAGACGACAGTGGTCTAGGGCTTTTGACATCCATTGTCGATGTCAGCCTGGGCGGGGCAGATGGTGTTGGCGCTTACTTCCAAGCTTGCGTGGTTGGCCGGGGAGATGGATTCTGGCCATGGCGTTGGTAGTGCAGTGGTGCATTGCCCGTGCATTGCAGAAGAACCTAAGACCGACTGAGTAATTACCTAAACCTCAAGCAGGGCGGGGGCTATTGACGTATGGCCGGTTTTGCGGATTGGCGGGCGATTGTTGCCTCAACTCGCACCGAACCGTTCATCTGTGCATCAACGTCTGCATGTGGTGTTGATCGAATCAATATTGAAGTTACAAAGCGGTGTTGAACATCATTATCTCGCTCCGATTCCAGCAAACCTGAAAATTGAAAGCTCAACTCCGGTCGTGCGTCCTCTGCTAGGCTCGCTCGAGTGTTGCAGTGCATCGAGTCCGGAGTTGCCTCCGAGCTACTTTTTGATCGCGAAGATCCAACGCTGAAACGATTGAATCCGAGCTTCACCCATGCACCCCTGACCACCTCTCAATCAGCCATTCATACGGAAATCGATCGGGCAGCCTAGGACTGTTGCCTGTTGTAAACACGGCCTTACAAGCCTCTCATTTCAGGCTGCTCGACTTCGCCAATGAACGCCATCTCACCCCCCACAATCCTGCGCTCCCGAAAGCACACACCCGCTCTGATTCTCAGGCGAGCTACCATTTCAACTCACAGACACTTCTGGTCAGCCAAGCCCGCCGCAATGGCTCGTATCAACACCTCGGTCGAGGACTTCAAGAAGGTCCTGGCGTCTTCCGACCGCGTCCTGGCCCTATGCGGAGCGGGGTTGTCGGCCGCCTCTGGCCTGCCGACCTTCCGAGGCGCCGGCGGGCTATGGCGGAACCACGAGGCCACATCGCTCGCCACCCCCGAGGCGTTCGCCAAGGACCCGGCCCTCGTGTGGCTCTTCTACGCCTGGCGCCGCCACATGGCGCTCCGGGCCCAGCCGAATGCTGGCCATTACGCGCTCGCCGAGCTGGCGAGGAGGAACAGAAACTTCTTGTGCCTGACCCAGAATGTAGACGGTACGTAATCATCACTGGCGCGACATCTGTACCGATGAGGCCTGACTGTATGGCATGACGCAGGACTATCGACCAGAGCAGACCACCCTCAGTCCCAGCTGCGCATGCTGCACGGAGAGCTCCTCGATCTCAAGTGCTTTGACGGGTGCGGCTACGTCGAGCGCCACAACACCTCCGATCCGCTGTGTCCCGCCCTCGCCGCCGCCGCCGAGGACTACCCGCCCGACCAGACAATGCCGCTCTTGGATCCCAACCAACCGATCCCCGACATCAAGGTCGAGGACCTGCCGCACTGCCCCGGCTGCAAGACCGGCCTGCTTCGCCCCGGGGTTGTCTGGTTTGGCGAACGGCTCGACGAGGCCATGTTGCGCGAGGTTGACGACTGGATTGACAAGGACAAGTTCGACCTCGTGCTTGTGATTGGGACCTCAGCCGTCGTGCAACCGGCTGCAGGGTTCGTTGATCGCGCTGCAGACCAGGGAGCCACGCTCGCCGTGTTCAACCCCGACCCCGAGGCTGCCGCTGGACTGGTGGATGGGGATTATTTTTTCCAAGAAGATTCCGCCAAGATCTTGCCGTTGGTCATTGAGGGGGTCACCCGCGGCGCCGCTTCACCGTCTTAGGCCGTTTGGTGTTGCTTTTTGCAGCCAGAGACGAGTAAGATTGTGGCGTGAAGCACGGGAAGGCGGCTGGGGTCATGTACATGCATGTGCATCTATCTCATGACCTCCAATCGAGAATAGACAGCTCTTGTAGCAAAGGACACGGTTGCACGGGTTTAATGCGCCTGATGGGGCACGAAAGCGGAATACTGCTTCGGCCTCGGCGTTTGCACGGACGGGATAGGTAAGGCATTCCGGGACTTTTGATTGTCGAAATTCGTGCAGCGTAACATCCGAGTTTGCTCAGATAGATAGGATATCACATAGGAGAACCCAGGGTTAGTAATGAACTGTTATAAAGCTCAGCACTTCCTGATGTTTTCGTCTCGAGGGTCTTGTTATCCATTCGACCTACCAGGATACCAAGATAGTTGTCTAGGCCCCAAGACGTCATGAAGTCTCCTCTCGCTCTCACTGTCGGGGCCCTGCTCCTCCCCGGATTGCTTGCTTCTGCATCCCCAGTCATAGTAAGCTCTGGAAAGACGTGTGTAGTGGTTCTCCCTTGGGAGATATTGACTTTCATCTGGTTTAGGCCAGGGACGGCACCCTGTGCGATAACCTGACGAACCCGTTGCTTTTCATGGGGCAGGTCAAGCGTTACATTCAGGACATCCTGTACGACCCAAACCGCGGCATCAAGGACCTCACTCCCGAAGCGCGGGATCAAGCCGCGCTGATATCGGCAGCGCTGGACGCTCCGCTCGCTGATGTGCAGCGTGTGCGGGCTGCGGCACATGCCTGCCCGGCGGGAAGGACGCGCAGAGCCCCACCAGACCAGACGGTAAGCATTTCTCAAACGATGGTAATGGATACCTCGTGCTGACGCGTTGCAGGTCCGGAGGCAAGAGGGAGGCACGCTGTGCGACGACCTTGATCACACGGCATCGGAACTGCAGCACGCCAAGGACATGGCGGACGAGTTGGCCAGCATGCCGACTGGCGAAAAGGTGCAGACCGGGGGGATCAAGAGCCAGCTTGACAAGACTTTGGCAGATGTTGCCTGGGCCAAGGAAAAGCTGAGTGCCGCCGGGAGATGTTAGCGCAGCGGCAAGCGAGGTTGGTCCGGGAGAGAGTAGGTTGAAAAAAGACCCCGTGTCGCGACCTTGAAGTGGGTAGTGGCAAAGTCGAAGTCGGATGATATGCATGATCAAACCCGCCCCCTCCTGCATCTCTGATCGTGAAGTTAAACAGACTGCTTCCCCAAAGTGGCTTCTGTGTCGCTCTTTCTTTCGATAGTTCGAGCCTGCCATCAACGTCGAGGTTTGCTTCACTTAGACACTAAGGTAGCATTCTTCAGGACAGATTTAATTGTTAATTCAAAAGATTTTATGCTGACAAGTCATCCATCCTGTGCAGGGAATACATGTAGCCGGTTATTAAATATGAGTATGATACGAACGCACGGAATGGAGCAAGATGATCCCGATCACCTAGCCCCCCTGTTGTTGGAAACCCTCCCCAAGGGAAATACATATCCTAGGCCTAAGCCTGCTTTGTATCACCTACCCCCCGACTAGTCGGCCTTGTGGGCTTGTGATACACCGCTCGCGGTCCTCGAGTCTGTAGGGCGAACAAACTTCTCGTGGGAGCCAGTGGCGGTACTGGTAGCAGCGGAGTGATGCTTGTGTCCCTTCTCCAGGTCGTCATTGTCTTGGCCCGGGTTCGCTGTCTGGTACTCGAGCCACTTGAACACCGTGTACACCGCCCAGGCGAGCACCGACCCGCCCAAGGGTCCGACCCAGTAGATCCAGTGGTAGCCCACGAAGCCGGCGATGACGGCGGGGCCGAAGGAGCGCGCCGGGTTGATCGACGTGCCCGTCCAGTTAGTCGCACAGATGTGGGCGATGAAGACAGACATGCCGATGCCGATGGGCGCAAGGAATGTGGCGCGGTGCTTCTCGACGGCGAGGAAGTAGACGGTCAGAACGAGCTGGGCGGTCAGGAAGAACTCGATGAAGACGCCCTGGGGAATGCTGGCACCGCCGCCGAGAGTGTTGGTGACCCGCAGTGGTCCGGGCAGGAGGCCATGGGTGACGGCTGCGGCGGCAATGCCAGCGACAATCTGGGTGACGAAGACACAGGCGCCTCGGAAGGGCTTCACGGCACCGACAAGGACAAGACCTAGGGTGACCTATGAAAGACGACAAGGGTTAGTTACTCCAAGACCGAGAGCACCGGGGACAACACGGTATCCACTTACAGCCGGGTTGAACATGCCGCCGGTAACGCGGAAGAAGATCCAGACGTTCACAGCCACCGCTGTGCCGAAGGAGGCGGCGATGTACAACAAGCTGTAAGGCAGCAGAGGCGACTTGGGGTCGGTTGGGTCATTGTTCACGATGGCAGTCTGGGCGCCGATGAAGGAGAGAAGCAGGAACATGAAGGTGCCGATGAACTCTCCGATGACAACAACGAGCGTGTTGCGAGCCGGGTCCGGCACCTTGTGTCGCCTGTCGACGCCCAGCGGCGAGGCCGCGTTGGTGATGGGCAATGTGACTTCACTTGAGGGCATGGCTGTTGATTATGCTCTTTTGTGGTACTAGGAGTGTTGTGGAATATCACGGGCGTGCTGGAGAGGGTTAGTCGAGACAGAGATCAATCTCGGTCAGCCACAGATCTCACTTCACGGCGCCTCCCTCGGGTACTTATACGGGCCAGCAAACAAAGGGGGAGAAGGGACGGCAAGCCTATCGAGGGAGCATCTAAGACACCAGCGGCATTGACTAAGGTCGATGCAGCAATCGTGAGCCGCAGGTGGACCACCGGTGAGACCGGCAAAAACCTTCACCTGCATATTCCGTACTTGTTAGCGTAACACGTATGAACTAAAGGCCTTTGTTTCTTCCTTTTGGTTTTTCTCCAGCACACCCAACCGCGACCCGGGTGTCGAGTGTGGGTGTCAAGTTGGTTGAGCTCTCCGAAGCTATTGATACTTTAGTTCTGAGACAGCGCGAGGAACCCTCGGCCTTTGACAGAAAGCTATGGCACTAGTTAACGGGTAGCGCACCCTTCAGAGCTTCTTGGACCCTTTTCTCAGCTGAAGTTCAGCTGAACTCAAACCGTTGGCTGGTGGGGACCAGATCTTTAGTCAGGACCTTCTGCGCCTGCGAATGGTGGCTTGGAGTTTTGCACCATCCACACCCTCCACACCATCCACTTGTCGTACGTTAGGGTGTCGCCCATCAGCTTACATGCCTCGCATCTGTCACATTCCACACGTCCTTTCGGCTGCCCCGCCAGGCCCGCCGGGGCAAAAAGCGCAGATAAAAAAAAAACAAGAAGCACTGCAGGAACCTCGGCGTCAGGGATGTCAAGATGTCAACAAGCACACTTGCGTGATTGAGACTCCTTGGCAAATGTTTTCGCCGTGTGGTCTAGAATTATGAGTAAGGGTCGCATAATACAGGCTATTTCGATTGGCCCCAAGAGACTCGAGTCGTGTCTTTGAATAGCCTGTAAGCCATCTCTTCGCTGACGTAGGCTCCGATACTCAAGGATCACGAGTCTGCAAAGCCGCGCTTTTTTTTAGTGCCAACAGTCGGGTTGAACTTGACTCTCCATTTTTCTTCTCGTTGTCAACTACAAAGCATCAAGTGACAAGTATGGACATAGGTAGAATAATCAGGTAAGAATGACGGGAAAAGAAATGCCAAGATGCAAAGCAAAGTATGTACGAAGAAGCAAACATCTCTCAAGAGGGGTCAACGAGCGACAAGAATGGACGCCACATGTGTCCTTTTTGCCTTTGCCAAAAGTCAATCTGCCGAAGCATTCCAACCCTCCACACGTCTGCGGCAGGCTCCACCCCCCAAAGCGTTGTCTCTCGGGTTCCCTAGATGCCCCGAACGAACCTTGCTGTTCGTTTTGGGGCTCCCCCCCACTCTTGCTCGGACGCCCTCAAGAGGGGACACCGGCCTTGATGTTGTCGTACTGGCTGTCCGGGTAGCTCAGCAGGTTCTGCGACGTGTCGATGCCGCCGAGGGCGTTGTAGCTGGTGCTGATCAGGCTCTTGCTGTCGGTGCGGTCGCCGGAAGCTTCCCAGAACATGCTGCCGCCGAGGCCGTTGCTCTTGAGGTAGGCTACCTTCCTGGTCACCATGTCGGCCGTGTCGTACGAGATGAGCTTTTTCGCGTTCGCGTCATAGCTGTAAGTGGCGCCAGCCACCGAGTCATACTGCTCGGTAGCACCGGCCTGCGGAAGCGCCTTGTAGTCCCAGATGCCGTTCTCCCACGAGCCGGATCCGACACCCGAGTACGGCTGGCCAAGGCCGGCCGTGTTCTCAAAGGCACGGCCATAGACGGGCATGCCGAGGACGATCTTGTTAGCAGGCACGCCGGCGGCGATGTAGTCCTTGATGGCCTTGTCGGTGGAGAACGGGGTCGAGGCCGGGTTCTGCGGGTTCGGGTACAGGTTGGCCTGGTGGCCGCTGGTCGAGTCCCAGGAGCCGGCGTAGTCGTAGGCCATGAGGTTGAAGCGGTCCAGAACGCCGGCCATGTTCTTGAGCTGCATCTTGTTGTAGTTGGTGGGGCCCGCGGGCACGGCGGCGGTCAGGAGGAAGTGGTAGCCGCCGGCATGGGCGGCGCTGTAGCTGTCGAGCTCGCTGCGGATGGCCTGGAGCAGCGAGACGAGGTTGGCGGCCTGGGTGGCATCAGCAGGGTACTCCCAGTCGACATCGATGCCGTCGAAGCCCCAGTCCTTCATGAGGGTCACAGCGGTCTTGGCAAAGGTCGACCGGGTCGCTGCGGTGCTGGCGGCGGCCGGGAAGGTGGGAGAGTAGGTCCAGCCGCCGATGCTCAGGAGCGTCTTGAGCTGGCGGTTAGCCTTCTTGAGCTTGAACAGCTGCTTGACGCAACCGTAAGCGTTCTTGCCGATATCGTTCCACGCTAATGCAATGTTGATTAGTTGATGACGCTCATCACTGTTACTGGACAAGATCACTCACAATCGCCATCGTAGTGCTTCTCAAGATCCGCATAGGTGTCGGACGAGTAGCTGTTGTTATCAGTGCCAGATCTACTTATTTGGCTTTGGTTGTCTTTCGCAAACTTACACCTCACCGGTGGAGCGCAGGTTAGCAAACGCGTAAAGGACGTAAGTGATTTTGTTGGCGGGGAGCTGCGCAGGCTGGTAGTTGCGTCCGTAGATACCCCTATATCACCTTTGAGCATGCTGGGCTTTGTCTCTAGTTCTCTTCAAACAGTCTTCATACCAGTTTGTAAAGTAGACCATGTTCTGGTAACCGGATGCTCGCTGCTCGAGCACCTGCAAGGGCGAAGAGGCACCAGGCCAAGCCCAAAACGAGACCAGGGTCAAAAGGAACGGAAGAACATAGCCCTTCATGGTGATAACAAGGTCAACAGCGAAGAAGAATAAAGAATTAATCCGAGAAGGGACAGGAGGATCTGGTCCTTGCGATGTCTTGCCTCATCAGGTCCATGCAGACAGAGGCGATATCGTTATTTCTTATATGCACGCGACTTTCCCCCGTGATGCGTATGAGGACGTCCATGTGTCCCAACACAGAATCGCCACAGAATGCCCTCGTCCAGCAGCAGTGTCAGACGCGCAGGAGCGGTGGCGCGCGCTTGCAAGTCATTTGCAGCAACGTTGCGGATGTCACTGCAACTTGCCTTTTGTCCCCAGCGGGACTCTGGGAAACCCCATGCTATCCGACAGAGGGCGCGGCAACTAAGCAGACGGACAGACGGACTAGTCTGGCAATGCAATCTCTCTCAGGTGTCGGCATGCGGCGCGACTCTCACGCGGGCGCGATGTCTCCTACGATAGAGGCCATGTGCGCGTGGTGGGCCAACTGCTGTCAGTTCATCCGTCCCGGTAGTGGTTGCAGCAAATGGGACCTCCGGGGCACCGGACACCAGTGCAGCCAGTCAAGTGTCGACCTGTCGGGGCATCTGGAGTGTGAATGAACTAGCGTCAGGGGGCCCAGGGCGCCAACGCTGCAAGGTGCGGACATATCGTGCCGGGAGCTCGCCGGATTAGGAAGGTCTAGGGGGCTTTCGATATTCCCGTGATGTTCAGGGGGGTTGCAAAGAGCTCCTGTCAGTGGGGTTCCCGATGAAACCCTGCGAGCGCACCTCTGATCTTGGGAAAGCTCGGAGAGCCTTGATCACAGCGATCGCTAACAAAGAGTAAGGCGACCCCGTTAGTCTGCCATGGCACGGTGCCGCGAGTTGCGCGTGATTGGAAGAAGCTGAGATCACGGCTCGCCTGCGACTGCGCGGCGTGCGCCGGAGATGAAAGGGCGGGCACTGGCTAAGATTGCGCCGAATTGCAAAGGGGTTCGGTCCGGCACCTGGCTGTGACCTCGGCGGGGTATCCCTGCTCTAGACGCTGGATCTGGTTGGCCAGAGGGCCACTGAGATAAGATGAATCGTGGTTACAATGACACGCATGCCAAGCTCCCATGGCCAGACCAACGATGGCGTCGCTGTTCCTGGCATGGGGCTGCAATGATGCGCGGGGATTAGCTTAGGACGGGAGCTACCGAACACCCAAACGCCTTCCCACCGCCCCCAAGTCTTCCAGAGACTCATCTGATTGGTAGACCGCTCATCCCAAGCCCTCTTTTTGCAACGTTACCTAGCTGGGAACACTTGAATGGCGTTATGAGTGAAAGGGGGAAAGCCTGATGCCAGACAGATCGCAGCCCAAATACTTGACCGTAGAGTCCGCCGCTCAGTTGAGCTCAGTGGGGGGATGCTTCCCCAGACCTGCCAGGACTAAAGAGCCACGGGTTCACTGGGGCGATTGCCCGAGCTTTCTTCGCTCAAAGGGCTAGCTCAAGATGGAAGGGATACTGACGATCTCTCTCAGGCGCTGGGGCTCGTTCTATGTAACAATCCGTGAGGCTCTAGGCAAAGTCTCGAAGCGGACCTCCCTCAGCTTCGTGACTCGGCATTGTAAGAAGATAAAGAGAGAATGGACTATCGAGGTTTGGTAGCTTCTACTCTATGCACCTCGGCCAACGTTGCCATTGCCCACTTCTCCTCACGCCAAAAGATGACCTTCTACTAAACCGCTGCCTGCCTGACGCCTGAAGGGCTTGTTTTGGCAGGCACATGTCTCGCCTCCTAGTTGATTAGTTGAAGGTTACAGGAACCCGTCTTGTGGACTGGTCAATGGGGACGCCCACAGTTCGCTCATTACCGAGAGGCATGAGTAAGGTCTTCGCGTTCAGCTTCCAACTGCGGCTTGAACCGGTTGACTTGTAAAGGCAGGTTAATTCGTCTGGCTGTCTGCTCCTAGACATACTTTGACGATATCGGAAGCTTGATGTGACAGGTCTCATGTCAATCGGGGGCGTGAAACATGACATCGCCGTATGAACTGGCACGGTAACATGCTAGCACCTTGTCAAACGAAGGACGCATAGGGATTTCCGATATGCTACTAGCTCATCGTATACCAAACGGCTGGTTTGAAATTATTGTCAATGCTTCCCATCGATCCGGTGGAACTTGTAGGCGCACTCAAGCACCTCAAGCATACACCAACATTCGCAATCAAGCAACCTTCGAGGCAAGAAGGGATGGCCCAGGCAAGGGCCTTTGATAAACGAAACCAGGCTGATACTTTTATGGTTCTTCTGTTTAGAATAGGGACTTCTTTACTTCACCGAACACGATGCAGAATTGCGCCCTTGGAATTCTCTTGGGAAGCCTGTCGACCCTCTCTTTCACACTGGACTGGTTGAACCGACGCTGGCCCAGAGCGGTGGGAAAGTGATGGGACACCCGACCTCACCCATGATGAATACGTCCAGCCTAGTCTGCGGAGCTGACTTAGAGAACAAGCAATCTGAAGAGGGGGTGAGTGATAGAAGTATGTCTGGTTGTATGACTACCACACCCGAAGAGATAAACATATGATAATGATAACTTGGAAGGACCCTGATGGTATTGCTTGTATTGTGTTCATTCGCCAGGTCTTCCCTGCCCTGATTAGGTGACGGTAGACGGCACCAAGTCGCTTTCTGGGGACCCGAATTGACCCGATACATATTCGGTCACTGAGGTAAGCGGTATAGTAGATGCCGCCGACTGACCCGGTGTCACTTGTCTCATCCCATCTTCGTAGCTCTTCTGTCGATGTCATACCTATCCTCATCAGGCGCAATCAATGCAAGTGCCTCGGAGGGCGCACGTGTGGGCGGGCGGAGACAATTCCGTCCTCTGCCCCACACGCCCTTCCGATCATCACTACCTGGATGCGGGGCCGGCCCTACCGAGAGACATGGAAAGCCATCGTCTACATAAAAGTAGATATGGCAACTTCGATGCACCCAGCAAGCTTCTAGTAGTTACAAATATCCCATCAATCCCTCCTCCCTAGATCTCCGTGATCATCAAAACCTCGCCTGCTAAGCTAGCCTCGCACTCATTGACCTTTTTGATGCTCAAAAGTTCTTGAATGCTGCACACAAACACTATGGCCGACGCCGAACCACAAGCAGTAGAAGTTAACAAGACCGCAGACGGCATCACGACCATTACCATCAACCGGCCTCATCGACGGAATGCCATCGACGGTGCGACGGGCAGGAAGCTGACAGACGCCTTCCTCGCGTTCGAGGACGACCCCAGCCAGAAGGTGTGTGTGTTCTACGGCGCGAATGGCACCTTTTGCGCCGGGTTCGACCTTCATGAAGTGGCCAAGTGGGGAGAGAGCGGCTACCAGGGCCCCATCGTCGACGAAAATCACCGCGTCGACGGGCGCAATATCGGGCCCATAGGCCCCTCGCGGATGCAAATCAAGAAACCTGTCATCAGCGCCGTCTCGGGCTATGCCGTCGCGGGAGGTCTTGAGCTGTCTCTCCTGGGTGACATCAGAGTCGCAGAGGAAGATTCCGTCTTTGGGGTCTTCTGTCGAAGGTTCGGCGTGCCACTCATTGATGGCGGCACTGTCCGCCTCCAAGCAATCGTGGGACTGGGAAGGGCCCTCGACATGATACTCACCGGGCGTGGTGTTCCAGCTCAGGAAGCCCTACAGATGGGCCTCGCGAACCGTGTCGTACCCAAAGGCCAGGCTCTAGAGGAAGCGACCAAGATCGCCAGACAGCTCTTGGCCTTCCCGCAGGCGTGTATGAACGTAGACCGTGCGAGTTGCTATTATTCGGCCTACGAGGCGAAGTCGTTTGAGGATGCACTCAGAAATGAGTTTGACAATGGCGTCGAGGTCGTCACCAAGGAGAGCGTTCAAGGTGCAGCAAAGTTCAGCGGCGGGGCGGGAAGGCATGGATCCTTCGAAGAGTCCAAAATCTGATGAGGCCTCCTGGGTGGGCTACATTCTTCGACTCGGCGTCGCCGACTGCAAACCACCGGAAGGGTTGCCAAAGCCGAATCAAGTGCCCATAGGTTCTAGATAGTGCTGTGCCCGCTGCAAATGAAACTGTTGTTGACATGGAGAACATGGCTAGTCAAGTCCAACATGAAAGTCCATCATCTTGTCGTCCATATATAGACAAGTCAGCGTCACATTTGGGACGAGGCCCCCAATTTGACGAGGCTGAGTTATTGACAGACGAGCAGTTGTTTTGGTATGTCCGTCCGACATCAGTAAGCGCGACTTGATGACCTCAGCACCTATCGGCCCGGGGATCATTCGTCGTGTGCTGGATGTCCACGGTTTTATTTTTGCTTCACCGAACATGGACACTCCGTGTTACACTATTGTGAAGATATTAAAGCCCTGAACATGAGATCTGCCCAGGTGCTCTTGCACGATATAAAACAATCAAGCTTGGGACTTGACCAGCTATCGAGATACTAATTACTCAAACTTCTCAAACTTCTCAAACTCTGACCAACCAACAATTCGCCATGTCTTCTACAAATCATTGGCACACGCTCGATCACTGGCTGCATCACCTTGCAACAACAGGCCTTCTGAAACCAAAGAATATACACTACGGCTGCGCGCTCTGTGGTCTCATCTCCGGAGGACTTGTCTTTGCTGGCCTCATTTCCAGTGGGTTCTTGCCGCCCATACGCCCCTGGTGGCCGGCAGAACAAGTATCGGAACACTATGAAACGCATCTCGTCGGCATGCACGTAGGGAGCGCCCTGCTAATGTTTTCTGGCGCCTTCTTCATCCCTTTCTATTGCGCCATTGCCGACCAGATGCAACGCATTCCCAACATTCCCTGGATTCTTCCCCAAATACAGCTGGCCTCCGGCACCGCCTCTGTCATTGGATTCTTACTTCCGGGCATGCAGCTAGCAGTGGCTTCCTTCAGAAAAGATAGGGACCCTATGGTTCTCCAACTTGCCAACGACTCCTTCTGGATCTTTGTTCTCATGCCCTTTTCCACCTTCTTCCCGCTCTGCTGGAGCTGGGCATACGCAATTCTTTTAGACACTCGAAAGGAACCGCCGTATCCCAAAGGCATGGCGATTGCCAACTTTATCGTGCCTTGCATGTTTCTCTGGGCCGCGGCGATTCATACGACGCAATCGGGGCCTTTCGCTTGGAATGGCGTTCTTGGATTCTGGGTGCCGTTAGGCTTTTTCGGGTTTCAATTGATTGGAGACACTTATTACTTGCTCAGGGCTATTCGAGTTAATTATTCAGAGGAAGGCAAATCGCAGAGCAGCCGAGCCCTAGCCGTGAGCATTGCAAGTAATGGTTCAAAGATCGAGGTCTGAACCGGTGCGAGTTGTCAAACCAAAGCGAACCGGAAAATGAACCTTGCACCTGGGGTAATTGAAATTTACGAGGAATGGAGATTTGTGTTTGTGCGATTATGGGAAAAGAAGACGAGAAGTTGCTTGCCATTACATATGTAATTTCTCTCAGAGAATGCCAAAGATATTGATTGTTGATGCTCAGGCTGTGCCATCCAAATCGTGCTTTGCAAGGGTCTTTCGTGCATAGGTCATCACCATTGGACAGAAGGAGGGTCAAGGAGACAACTCAACATGACCTTGCGGGACTTCTGGCAAGTTCCCCGGCGTCTCTGATCTGCTGTCAGTATGTTTATTGGATACACATCTGGGTCCGTGAGCGGACGGACATATAGCGACCTCGGATCGTCCGAACATGAGGCCGTTTCGATGGCTATATCAACCGGCTTACACTGTGCCATCCAGCTGCAGTGAAGATGTTAATGCCTCGAAAACTTAAAAAGTGCTATTCCTCTCAGTAGAAATCAGTAGAGATAGCAGTTAGGAATCGCTGTTACGATGGATGTTCTGCTTGTTTCACGAGAGCAAAGTAGGGAGAGGTTCGATACGATAGCTTGGTATCTATGACTCGTTAAGCTGCTCGGGATATGGTTAGGGGAAGTTCGTAACGCCAGCTGACATATGCGTAGGTGAGAAGGAGGTCCTCAACTATCCATCTAAACATTGAAAAGATGTCGTCTCGCATATACGATCCGGCTGATTCGGCTATCCGAGATCAGTTGCAAATTGAGCTGAGCGAGGTTTAAAATTAGGGAGAGTCCGAGGCAGATGCTCCGATCACCGGAGTACAGCCTTTATTTGAATATGGATAACGACTTCCTGAAGCCCTTGTTAGCGACAGGGTTCAGCCTTGTCCCAACATGCAGCTATTGGAGACGAGACTCGGCCAGTTAATTGTCCCGCGCGAGGTTAAGTAAGCGGCTCACAAACGCCCCGCGCCAAGAGCCAATGTCATCATTGGCAGGGTAGTGTGCTCTGTGATGTACAGAGTTGACTGGGATTGTCCTGAGGGACTTGCCGCATCCGGCAGTCGTCCTTAGCCGAGGTGGAGCCGGCCGTTGAGTGAAGAATGAAGGCGACGAGGAGCTATGTTCGGGCATGCTGGGTGCCTTACCAGGATGGCTGTGCCCACTTCCCTACGAAAGTGGCGTCTGTCAAAGATGAATTCGGGATTCCTATGCTCGAGAGCCGAGATCGGTAAGTGGGAAGGTTTCTGGGTGCCTGCCGCGCGGGAGATGACGCAGAAGACGTGGCTACGTCTTGGGGTTTGGGCTGGCCTTGTCCTCGATGGGCTATCTTCTTCTTTTTTGACTTTATCTAGCTGAGACCCTCTTCTTGGATGATCCGGTGCTCGGCCAAGCTCTGCACAGAGACAGCTGGGTAGGGTTTTTAGTGTTGTTATGGTCATTTTGGCGAATGCGCAGATCCTGGTCTTGGATACCTACTTGAACAATACGTTAATGTTTACTCAACCCTGACAAATGCTGTTCTAGTGTCTCTTCAAACACAGGGATCGAGGGAATTAATCTAATCAGATGGCAGGTCGGCCCTCCATTGGAGGAAGTCTGGGAAATCGCACCGTCCAAAGATCCGGGGATATCGCCGTTGCCCATCATCCGTGTTGACCGATGGGGGCAAGGTGCCAAGGCGCGATGCGGGTCGGACTCCGCCCACGGTCCTCGATTAGGCCCGGAGCTTTGGACGCTTGGAGGCATCTTGTTTCTCTGCCTTGATCGGGTGCAAGATCTTGTGACGGCATCCCATCGGCTGGAGGAAACAAGTGAAACAAGATGTGCGGCTTGCGGGTATAATACCCAACGCCATTTCCGGTCGGCCCAGCTCGAATGCCGAGTGAGATTGGTTCACGGCTCTCGCGTACCTCGACCGGCTACTCAGTGGTTGCTTGTTACTCTTCATCATGAAGACCTCGCTCTTCCTCGCCTCTCAGCTGCTGGCCGCCGGCCTCGCCTCCCAGCCATTCCTCAATGAGGTAGACACTGGTTTGGAAACCCGCCTCCAGTTCTTAGGCAACTGGACCGAGGGTACTCAGCCCGAACTCCGCGAGATGCGCTCGCTGCAGGACTTCGACTTTGCCGCGCGCCAGAAGCTCAAGGCTAACCAGTACGCCTACTATCGCCTCGGTGCCGGCCAGGAGTGGAGCTACAGGAACAACCTCGACATCTGGCAGAAGGTCCGCTTCCGCCCACGCTTCCTGAGGGACATCACCAAACTCAACGACTCGATCGGCATCGAGCTGTTTGGCCACAAGTTCAGCGCGCCCTTCTTCATCGCGCCGGCTGCCAACGCTGCGCACTGTGACCCGGAGCGTGCCGAGCTGAACCTCATGGAGGCTGCCGGCAATGCCGACATCCTCTACACCGCCGCGCTGCTCGCGGCCAAGACGATCGAGGAGCTCGCCGTCGTGAAGCGCAACAACACCCTGAACGGTCCCCAAGTCGCCTTCCAGCAGATCTACACGCAGAACAACCTGTCTGTCACCTTCAACGACCTGAAGCGCGCTGAGGCCGCCGGTGCCAAGGCCATCGTATGGACGGTCGATACGCCGAGCTCGTCTGTGCGCATCCGGTCGGCCCGATACACCTCCACTGAGGCCGGCGTCGGTACTACCCGGCCCAACACCTGGGACACGTACGCGCAGCTTAAGAACCACACCAAACTGCCCATCATTCTCAAGGGCATCCAGTCCGTTGAGGACGCCATCGATGCGGTTGAGCACAAGGTTGACGGTATCTACATCTCCAACCATGGCGGCCGTCAGCTCGAGTACGCGCCCTCGTCTCTCGAGGTCGCCTACGAGATTTACCGCAATGCACCCCAGGTGTTCAACTCGACTGTCGTTCTGGCCGACAGCGGTGTCCGCTCTGGCAATGATATCCTGAAGCTTATGGCTCTGGGTGTGCACGCCGTGGGACTTGGTCGACCGTACGTCCCTGGCCTTCTGTAATTGGCAAGCCTGTCTGTAAAAGAGCTAACAAGATGTCATATAGTTTCATGTACGCTAACTGCTACGGAGTTGAGGGCATTGCCCAGGCTATCCGCATCCTCCGCGCCGAGCTGATCCAAGACGGTCGCAATCTCGGCATCAACTCTCTGTCAGACCTGAGCCCCAAATTCGTAAGTGGACCCCTTGTGACTGATCCAGAAATCAAAACGATGTGGTATCTAATAATTGATATTAGCTAAATCTTAACGAGCTTGCTAAGGATGTCAACCTCTTGGACTGTAAGCATTGAACGTGACCTGAGAAGGCTTCAAGAGCTAACCTGTCAAAAGAGAACTCTATTCTGTCTGTTTGTCGGATGATGTCTCTTGAATTTAATTTTGGCAGTCGATATTACCATGCCAATATTAAAGTTTCAGATGGAAACAGCAGGCTTCACCCACTTCGAGTTCGTGTGTCAAGGTTTGAATTGGCATAATAGTACTTCCACATCTAAAAACTGTTCTCCAGCGCAGCCTGGATCTGCAGCGCCAACAGCCTCGAATTGTAGCGACACAGCGCCAGATTACCGCCCATGATCCACAAACCCGGGTGTCCAGACCGCCTCCAGATCGTGCGGAACTCGCCCTCCTTGTCTAGACCCCACACGTCTCCGATGCGATCGGCCGTCTCTTGTCCCAGTATCTGACGTGTCTGCGTCCGCATGTTCTGATACCCAGTAGCAAAGATGATCTCATCCGCGGCCAACTCGGAGCCGTCATCAAACTTGAGCCCCTTGGGAGTGACCTCGGTGATTTCGCACCCCTGTTTGATTTTGATCTTACCATCGGCGATGAGCTTCGAGGCCCCGACGTCAATGTAGTATCCGCCTCCCCGCTGGAAGTACTTCAACATGAGCCCAGCGCCGCCCGGCCCGCAGTCGACCTTGAACCCGGCCTTGGTGAGGCCCTCGAGCGTGTCCTTGTCCTTCTCGGCCTGCCGGACCGTGATCTGCACGTGCATCGCCTTGAGAACTTCCGAAGGCGTGCCCCACACCCAGATGTCAGAGTCCTCGACTGGCGGGCCGTTCTCATCGTACAGGCCGCCTAGCGCAATCTCAACGATAGACTTGCTCGATACGACGCAGGTGCTGGACCGCTGCACCATGGTAATATCGTAGCCCTTCTCAAAGTAGTCCTGGCAGATATCGTGGGAGGAGTTGCACGAGCCCACAACAATCGCTCGCTTGTGCTGCCGTCCGGATTCGGGGTTGGCACCGGGGAACTGCGACGAGTGGCAGAGAAGATCGCCCTGGTAGTCAGACATACCCTTGATGGAGGGGAAGTTCATCTCGCCCGAGTGCCCGGTCGCTTGGACGATGTGCTTCGGCCGCAGGGTCGTCGTCTTGCCATTGCTGCGCCGGTGCAGCTCTACGGTCCACGACTTGGAGCCGTCATCCCACTGGCTAGATTTGATGTCCATGCCCATCCAGACATTGAGCTCCAGCAGCGTGGCGTACGACTCGAAGAAGTCCGCCAGCTTGTCCTTGGGCGTGAACACTGGCCAGGTAGACGGAAAAGGCAGGTACGGCATGTGATCGTACCAGACCGGATCGTGCAGGACGAGCTGCCGGTACCGCTTACGCCAGTTGTCGCCGATGCGCCCGTTGCTGTCGACGATGAGGCATGAGACCCCCAGCGCCTTTAAGCGAGCATGCAAGGATAGTCCGGCTTGTCCCGCGCCTGATGCAGTAATCATGTCAGCACTCTATTCTGCCAGACGCTGCCGATTTGCAGCGGGCTGAGGGCGGTTGTTTGCTGTTTTGGTTTAGCTGCGAAATTTAGAGTTCTTACCGATGATCAGGACGGTGGGATCCGAGCCATCACCAAAGTTCAGCTCGGCCTCGCGCCGCTCCTTCCAATTCTTCCTCTCCGGGTCCGCGCCGTGGTTGACGCCCTGCGGACGCTGGTGGTGCGTCTTCTCGACATGCTCGCCCGCCTGCCGCAGCGTCGTGAAGAAGGTCCAGATCTTCCACTGCCCGTCTTCCTGCTGCGCGAGCCTCATGAACCCTTGCCCTCTACCCTTGGACGTCTCGAACGTGAAAAAGGCCTCGACGCCCTTGACATTGCCTACGTTGTCTAGGTTGGCGACGCGAGGGGCTCGGAAAGCTGTCGTCGTGTCAAGCTCCACCTTCTGCAGGCGGTCCTTGGCCTCGTCGCGCAGGAACGCCACGATGGCGTCCCGGCCCTTGAGCGTGCGCAGCTCCCAGGTGAGTGCGAGGTGGTCGCGGAAGTAGCAGTTGTCCTTGAGGAAGAGCTGACTTATGGCGTCAATGTCATTGGCCGTAAGGCCTTCGTTGAGCGAGCGGACAATGGAGGCGGCAATGGGAGCGGGGTCGAGTGAGGCCGCGTCACGGGCCGAGGGCGGCCATGTCGCGATGGGGATGTTGACTGAGCCAGGCACGCTGCGCTCGTCAGCCGGCCTAGCCGTCGGGGAGGATGAGGTTGTAGTTGTCGCCATAGTGCTCGGAGGTGATACAATCTTCGAGGCCTCCAGATCAGAAGCGATGATGTGCTGTGTCTACGAGGACGAAAGCCGGTGGTGAAGGCTGGAATACAGCTCTTTGTCAAGGACCTTGAAGCTACTTATTGGGAAAACGAGAGATGATGATGACGTGAAGGAACAAGAGTGACGCGATCCAGTGCTTCCTGCATCCTTGTCTCCGCTCTTCGGTGATCCGATTCCATTGGAGGAAGGAATGGGTGCGCCTTCCGTAGGTCGGATGCAGCTCAGGGGCCACAAGACGTCAGCTGGACGGAAGCCTACTGTGACCACTCACGCCGCCGACAACGGGCGCTTATGCACGATGGCCGGGACTTTGTCTCAGCACAACCCAGCCACTACAGTTAAGGAGACTACAGCTCATCTGACCAGCGCTAAAACCTCATCTGACCGCAACAGGGGCAAAAGTGGAGAAATTTTAAGTTCATCTGCCCTCATCACTATTTTCAATTTCTTTTCCGACCAGATCAGATAAGCTCTTATCAAGAGATAATAGATAAGAGAAGTAGCTAGATTAAATAAGTAATTTAAAATTAAATCTAACTATCTTCTTTAATATTCTTAACTCTATATCTTTATAATATTAATACTAATAGAAATAGCTTTAGAATTTTTCTTTTTTCTATTTTAATAAACTTCTTTTATATCTAATTCTAATTAGTAATAAGCTCTTATAGATTTTAATAATAATAATGATATTATTATAGATTAGATCTATAATTATATAGATGTCTTAAGAAAGAAATTAATATATTATAATTAATTAGAAACTGATTAGATATAGATTACTTACTAGTTTATAATTAATTAGAAATTATTAGCATTTAAATATTAATATATTACTTAAAGTAACAGTCTTATTCTTATTTCTTCTCTATATAGATTTATAATCAATACTCTTTAGATTTAGGATTTAGTTTTTATACTAACTATCCCTAAATATCTAGAGATAAATAAATATAGAGTCTGCTATATTATCCTTATTATAGAACTTTATAGTACTTAGATTAATAACTCTAAGAATTATATATATAATTAGAATTAATTACTATATATTTTATAGTAGCTTCTAATTATTTACTAATTAATTATATTATAGCTTTAATATTCTTAAAGATAGATAATAGCTTCTAAGCCTACTTACTTAGCTTATCTTAAAGATATTCTTTATTAATATTTAACTTATTCTTATAGTAGGGTTAAGGTCTATAAACATCTTAATAAGAGGATTAGAGGTCTCTCTTATTCTTCTATATCTAAAGAGATTTAGATGACTATAAAGAAGATTTAAGAGAGTTAAAGAGAGTTTATAATATAGAATAGACTGATTAGGTAAGTATTTTCTCTATAATTAGTTTCTAACTAATATTTAATTAATTCTCTTACTCTAGGTTTATATTTAGTCTCTAGAAAGCTTTTCTAGAGAGAAAGGCCTATTAATATCTACTTACTACCTATAAATAAGTAATAACTAATAGTTAGATATATTATATATCTTCTTCTTATTATAATTAGTTACTAATTAATTATTATAAACTATTATTAGTATAAGATTAGTCTTAGTTTATTATAAGAACTTTATATCTATACCTAGAACTCTTAATACCTATTTTTAGAAACATTTAATAGTTAAGCTCCTTCTATATCTTAATCTACTTAAGAAGATACTTAATTCTAGAACTATTACTTTAATATCTATAGTAAAGACTTACTATACTATTAATAATATATCTTATTAGAGTAAACTATATAATAGGCTTCTATATTAATTAGTAATTAATTATAGACTACTAATTAATTATTAGATTATATCTATTCTATAGATTATAGTAAGATAAAGATATAAGAATATTTAGTTTAATAGAACTTTTTGATTTCTAAAGATCTAATAGCTTATAGTTATATCTTAATAATCTTATATAGTATCTATTCTTATCTACCACCTCTACCTATAAGACTACTAAAAAAGATACTTAGAGAGCTTCTTAAAGTATATTAAAGGATAAATAATCCTCTACTAAGAAGGAGTAAGGAATTATTAGGGAATTAATTAGGAAGTGCTTATTAATTGATTCTAACTAGTTTTCTTACTAGTTTAGCTATAGCTAAATATTATGCCTCCTATAATAGAAAGACTCTTATTAATATTTATAAGAGTCTTATAAATATTAATTGCTTTTAGGTATATATCATTAAGTATAGATTGCTTTATTCTTCTAAGGGTTCTAGCTTAAAGGCAGCCCTTTTTAAGTTTTAGAGACAGTAAGACAGTTCTTTAGATACTTAGGTATACTTAATTACTAATTAATTATAGAGTCTTTATTAATTAATTCTTAGTATATCTAATATATTAAGATTATAGGGCCTTAATTCTTTATTATCTACTTTCTTAAGGAATAAGTAGAACTTCTTTGATCTTATATGTTTAAATTAATTTAAATTAATATAAATTATAAACATCTTTAGATATTTAGAGATAATAAGATTATTTAGGCTATATGGTTAGAAACTTCTTAATAAGATATAATATCTTCATACTAAATAATTGCTAATTAATTATAATATACTAATATTCTTTTAGCTCTACCTCTTATCTATATTATTACTAATATTAATGATGCTAATATATACTATCTAATATTTAAAAGGGTATTTAATATCTTTAAGATTTAATATAACTATTATTAAAAGTGGTATTATATCTATAAATTAGGGCTCTATAGGGTTATATTTAACTAGGACTATAGTAGTATCTAAGGTTTAAATTAATTGTAAATTGCTTATTAATTAAATGCTAATTAATTTCCTAGGATTAGGTATCTACCTCTCTATAGATGTTAACCTAGAGTATTATCTACTTAAATATTAGATCATAAACTATATCTATCTTTATTAGATTTATTTTTAGTAAGGAATTAATTAAATTATCTCTTTATTATTAAATTTAGAGACTACTTAACTTTAAAGAAGGATGGCAGATCTGATTAGCTGTTAGTTAGAGGTCTATAATAGTATTTATTAATATCTTTAAGATATTAAATTATTTAGTAACTAATTAGATACTACTTACTAATTAATTCTTATAGAACACTTTAATTCTAGGGTTATTAAGTAGGCTAAATATAAGACTTAATAAATTATTAAATTAAGGCTGAATCATTTTTATTCCCTAATATAAGATTTTTAATAGGATAGTATTTCTCTAAATACTAATCTAGTAGAGATTCTTTATAAACAGGCCTATATTTAAAGTAGATGATATGTGCCTATTCTTAATTGTATCAGACAGTAAGTCTCCTCTTACTCTTAATTAATTATTAACTGATTCTATACTAATTATATCTTTAGAAATCAGAAGCTTGATTCTTAGGTTGTATTATAAGATAAGATATATTAATTATATAGTATTTAATTATTATATCACTCTACTAATATTTAGGTACAGACAGAGAATAGTATTTATTATAAGAGTATATAAGTAATCTATCTTATATTAAATTAATTACTAACTAATTATAGAGACTAAAAAGTATAAAAGATATAAGGTCTTTTATAGATACTATAGTTAATCTTAAGATTAGAATCTTAATAGTAATAAAGAGTTATTATTTTTAGTTTTCTTATCTAGTATCCCTTAAAACAGCCTAAGAAGCAGTTAAGAGAGTAGTTAATAAGAGTATAATATCTCTTAACTACTTATTTATTATTTACTAATTAGTTTTATAGGCGTAGTTATAGGAGGAGTTAATAAGGGTATATTACTCTATATTTAAATAGAAATCACTTACTAATTAATTCTATAGATATAGTAATTCTACTAGATCCCTCTATTATATATCTATTTAAAACAGCTATCAGGCTTAAGATGATCTATATTATTAAGAGATAGAATAAGAGAATTTAAATCAACAGAAGGTATAAGAAGAGTTTAAAAGAGAAAAGAAGAGAGAGAAGCTTTAATAAGAGAAGGTAGAATAAGAGTATTGATAAAAGCTAGAGATAGAGAGGATGAAGCTTAAGTTTTAATTATAGATTGAGAGGCTTAGGTATAGACTTAGCTAGAACTAATTGTAAATTAATTATGGCTAGACTACTTCTTTACCTACTAAGGATCTTTAAATTATAACTAGATTATATATTTAGAATCATACTTCCTTACTAAAGGATATTTTTACTTCTTTTGCTAGTAAACTTTATATAGGTAGATAGTCTTATAAGCTTATTTTTTTAAGTTATTAATATCAATCTAGATAATAATTAATTAATTTATAAATTATAATTAGTTTATAATTAATTTCTTATATTACCATTCTTTAGAAATAAGACTAGAAGCTTTACTTAAGTAGATTTTATCTACTGTATCTTCTTTCTGTTCTTCCTTTAAGATCTTATTATACTAGCTAAAGAATAAGTATAAGTAGAGAATTAGACTACTAGATAGGCTAAGGGGTTGTTAGTACTTACTAATCTTACTTATTATAGAGGTCTTATCTTACTCTAGAACTAATTAAGAAGTAGTTGCTCCTTCTTAGTATTTATTTTAAGTAGAAGTTAAAATAGAAGAGCTAGAAACTAGAAGAGGACTAGAAGTAGGACTAGAAATAGGATTAGAAGTAGGACTAGAAGTAGAACTAGAACTAGAAGTAGGAGTAGAAGGTATAATCTAAGACTAGAACTATAAATTAATAAGCAATTTATAATTAATTGTTAATAGCTAAGGACTTACTAATTAATTATATTAGTATTATATAGTAAGTTGCTTTATAAGAGTCAGTAGTCTGGCCTTTTCTTTTAGTAGGGTCATACTATAATAATAAAGATGTTGATATAGGTTTATTAAGAAGGATGATCCTATTAGTATGGTTGATAGATAGATCTTATTTTAATTATCTTAGAAGTAATAGAATCATTCTCTAGAGTATATAATAATATAGCCCTATTAATCAGTTAGTAAATAA